AGCTAGGTATGGTTTAAAAAAAGTATTGCGGCAAAATTTGCAAGTTATTCGATTTTTCGATATTTTCATCAATTGACTTTTCCTTCTGGGCAATTTTTTTAAAGTTAAATTTAAGCGTACTTCTTTGTTTTATGTTTCGTATTGGATCTCTTTTAATTGTTTAATCAGAAAAAAAAATGTAATTCATATATTTGTAATATATGAATTAAATTACCAATTAATGGATGTATGTCTTTCATTCCCGACACACGACAGTGATCCACCCGCGTCCCACGGTGTGAAGTACCCGTATTGGCTTTTTCAATTCTTGTTTACTCGTATTATTCCAATTTTCCCCGATAATTATTGATATTCGACCTAAAATTATGTAGCATTCTATTACTTTTTTCCACCAGTCAGCGTCTGGACGAACTTAATATTGTGTTATTATTATACAGACATAATTCGTTTTGTTTACAGAACGGAAATATATCTTTGGTCCCGGGTAAGAAGGGCTTGAGTCTACTTGGCGGTTTTCAATGCAAGACGATTAAATTTAGAAAACGGCTGAATTACTAAACGGCCTAACCTAAACGACTGTTCTGAATGGCTCCGCGGCAATATAGCACTTGCAAAACAAAAAAAAATCCATCGTAGTGATTTGAGAGATATTTTAATTTTCAGTACGTAACACGGTGTTTGAATATAAACACATTTACGCTAAAATGAAGGGGGAAATATTGCGTATGTACGAAAAAATGATTTAAAAAAAAAAAAAAAAAAAATGTCAAACGTTTTACGTTTTTGAAAAATGGAATTTTAAATAAAACGAAGTTATATTTTAAATATTCACACATCTCGGGAGGTTTACCAAATAGTTTATAACGCAACATCAAACGTGATTTTCAAAAGACCAATATTACTATCGAATTTATCGGATATTCGTATATAAATATAAAAAGCTCAACGGACAAAAAAAACATATACGTCATGAATATTTGATAAATCGTCTGAGTGTTAAATAACACATTACTCAGCAGCTGTACATTACATTATAGTATACATTATGCATTGTATAGGGGTAGCGTAGGCCACTGTCGTGTGTAGGTACGGGTAGTTTGGAAAGTATCGGTTAATGATGATCGGGTAATTTAGCCTACAATATACCGAAAGCGACGGTTCATCATTACGATCGAAAGACGATTCTGAGCCGGGATGAGATTATTTAATATCTTAGGCGTGTTTTGTCCCTTATTGTCAAAAGTTAACCCAGAGACGATGTACAATAATAAAACCAATGTTTATCATCGATTTTTGTTATAGATTTTTCTACCGGAAATCTTGCTCAACGACTATTTATGAGTGGTTTCCGACCGTGAATTTTGTCTAGATAACGCATTTCTTAGGGGTGGTTTTGCTTAAGACTTGGGAGAAAAAACGTCGGTAAAGCCGTGACATTTACGCAATAACGGTTTTGTGCTAGTTTCGATTTTGTTTTTATTTTTAATGCTAATTTAGATGAAAATTAATCTCAGAGACCTGAAATTATCACGAAATATTTTTGTTAGCCTTCTAGATGTGGTACGATTTTCAAAATATTCTGGCGAGTTAAAAACTATTTATAGTCAACTGGAGTATCGAGGTTTTAAATTTGTATTCGGTCTTATGTGAATTATATTTTTAGCAAAACGCTCAACAATTTAATACAAAACTCATCACTAGTTGTTTTTATGTCGCTTTACAAATTTTGATAATTCTTGTCACGATTTTTTTTTTTTATAAACGTTTAAAGTTTTATGAAGTTTTAATGAAAATCGTAAAACAACAAGAAATTCGGGGTACTATATTTTTTTGATTCATGCGGATACATTTTTTTTGGCTCATCAAAATACAAACAAATTTGAGACGAAAAAAGACGGATTATTGTCATATGTATATGGTAGTCGCAAATTAATACAATTTTCAATCAGACCGTGACTAATCGTATTTTGCTCAGGATCATTTTTCGTTAGCAATTATTTATCGAATGCAAATATATATTAAATTATCACATAGAATACGTTCCAAACTTTCAATCTACAACAGTGACCTGATTCATAGTGTGAAATATGTCTGTCTTTTTTTTATATCAACTATCGAAACATTTTACACTCAAGGATCCATTTACTCATGAACCTCTTGAATATTTGACTTTCGAAAAAAAAAAACTATACAAAATCATTTTTTTAAATAATAATATTATGGGATATAACCAAAGAAATAAATACTAACTACACTATACAGTGGGGAGACGAAAGGCCCTTTCCTGTTGAAGGTAATATTATCAGTTTCCTTTAGTTTGAGTCTTCGAAGACTAGGGAGACGCTCAAGTCATTATAACTAAAACATTATTAATAGAATTTTAAAAACTCGAATTAATATTTTTAAAAATGAATTTTAATCAGACTCTTTTTTACTTTATTTTAACTGAGTGGGTATAAGCGTGGGATAAAAGTTGAGAGGGATCGCAGTTTATTTTTAAACTCTATAATTAGTAGGTATACAATTTTTCCGAACAAATTTGTGTGAGAGAAAAACATTTTGGAAGTATTGTTTCCATGGTGGGTTTCCTGAAAGTTTAATTGAGTTTAGTTATTTCTCGGAAATGGTCCTCAATTTCGAGGCACATGCGTACCTTTATTGTTAAAAAATGTATTTACGGAAAAATATTATGCTAAAAATGCAATTACGCAAATGCTTTTTGTGATATTGCGTACTGAGGTCATTCCAAGATATGCTATATAAATGGATAGTTTTACATTTTTTCCGAACCGTTATAATATTGTCGGATGTCGACAATAATGCCGTGAAAACTCGGAAGATTTTTAAAATATTTTATTGGAAATAAAACAAACATGACATTACGCATATTATAATGATGTCACGGCAGAGGCACGGCGCTGTAACACCGAACGCTGCCGCTGGACCGAATACAGCAGCACACGACGGTTGCGAACACGGCGCTTTTTTCTAAAACACGTCTCCGGAGAATAATATTCTCATACAGTAGATATTTGCGGAATATCAAATTCTGTCAACGTGAACTGCGAAGACTGCGAATATTATCTGTGTTTGTGCGACGAGTTTAACGTACACCTAAACGTCAACTCGACTGGTTCATATGATTTTTCAACAGCTGTTAATAAACACGAGCGTGTTTATTATATCGCAAAAATCCGACGTGCAAACGTGGATAACGTATTCATCTTTATGTTGAAAATCTGCGATTTTTGTATGACTATAATATAAGTATGTTTGTAGCCCAAATAAGCGATCGAGCAACAAAGCGGGACGTACTTCGCACCATGGCCCATTGTTGTGCGGTTTGGAGGTTCGAGAGGTGTAGAAATTTAGAGCAGTTTAGTCAATGTACTAAAATTAACGGCAAATCGTTACAATAGAAAAACGATTCTGAGCTCGGTAAACAGAAAGTGTTGCGTTGTCGGTCGTGCTTTCCCCTTGCGACCGAGGTAATCAAGCAATCAACTCGGTAAATATAAAACCGATGTATCGTCGTCATTTGTCGTCAGTATTTGTTTAAAATTTTTAACAAAACTGTTAGGAATTTAGAAAATTTTTCCAAATAAATTACTCCCGGATGAAAAAAATTTGACAACAAAAGTAACACAATATTGTAATATTGGATTGTTAACATCTGTGTGAATACACTAGGGCGGATTAAGGCGTTCGAGTTCGGCAACTTTCATACGCACGTGTAGCACGTACGCCAACATATTTATACCGGAACATGAAAAACCGTTGAAAATTGCCAATCAGAATGACACATCAGTAGCATATGGTCACGAGTGTGCACGCAGGGGTGACTACGCAAAGTTACATCCTGTATAATATATAGGTTTCTAGCACCGCGTGAATGCATATTTTCCATTATTTACATATACCGCGGAAACTATTAACATAACAAATTACCAAAACTCGCGTTCCCATTGAAATAATGTTTTCAATAATGTTAATTACTTAGTGTTTGCCTTATCATTTACCATTGATTATAAATACAATCAACGCTGGTACATATTACGTTTTTTTTTTAAATAGGCAACTAAAAACATAATAATAAATCGTAGAATTTCGTCAATTCGAGGGAATATTTTTAAATTGAATTTCACGATGTTCACGTTACTTTATAGTTAACACCTAAGGGGTTTTAAATTGAATCGTTCGTTATTTTTGTTACAAACATATCAAACATTTTTCTTAAAGATAATACGTAAAACAACATTTTGGGGTGGGTTTTAAAAATCACAAATCCCCCACTAAGATACGGTGTTGCATTCAGCTATACATCGTCAGGGACGTCTTCAGGACAATTCCGAAAGGGGGAGGGGGGTAATCGGAAAAATATTGAAAAATTTAACAAAACGATTTACACGCGTAATCAAATTACATTTTCCGAGCTTATTTATCGATTTCCAATTTTTGAATATTAAATAATGGGTGCCTACACATACACATCCAAATGAATCAGTAAATTTTACCCGATAAAAATTGAAAATATCACTAAATAAAAAAAAATAAGTATATTCATAGCGAGTAATATTTTAAATAGCTTTAGAAAGCACGGATTAGCATAACATAACAATAGCGATAAATAAGACGGTGCGGACGAACTGCGTCCCGAAATCCCTTTTCCGCACGAATCGCGTCCCGACGATATTTAACCACAACACGAATCGCGTACCAATGTAAAAAACGTTATTTTCCTTGCCATTGTATGCAGACTTGGGACTGTCAATAGTAAATTATCATTAACGGTCGGTTAAAAATATTGATTTTTGTCGTTGCTGATGACCCGGCGTGATGTTTATTATTACGGATTAAGGTTAGATCACGAGTTGTCATTGTTGGAGTATATTTTGATAAAGCTCCGTGAATTAGTTTGGATGGTCGATCGTAAAATATGTCTACGGCCTTTCGTTTCAAACTATCATTCAGTTGTTGTCTATTAAATAGTTCAGCAGAATCTTTGATATGATTATGATCAGTTGCACGTTCGACGATTTCATTTTTATCATTTAGTTTAACGTATGACTAACACGTTTCTTTTACAGCAATTTCGACGTTGAATATCGTTCTTCAATATTTTATGGTAACGAGATTTGTGTCCATCGATGTTAAATAAAGTTTTGTTTTTTTCACTTAAAATCGCCGACGTCATTTTATGCGAATACGATTTATTGAGAAAACTGAGAACACAACGGGGTTTACGATCCACAAGCCAAACCAGACTAAAAGTAAAATTAATACTAATATAATATGGGAAATATAATTTTCAGATTGTACTGATATCGTGCAGTCGTTTAAATAAAACCGGACACAATTCGTTTGCAGCCAAATAAGAAAAACATTTTTTATTGCAAGTGTATTACCTGGTATTCAAAGTGGATATTAGGAGGGGGCTTAAACTCCTCTCCCAAAAATATTTGAGATATTTGCCGGAATATTTTTTAGCCATGGAAGGGTGCTTCCAAAACATTTCTTACTGAATTTCGTAAACATTAATTCTTAAACAATTATTTTAATCCATCTTTCACAAAATGTACGGGTTGTTTTTTTTAATCAACTATCGATGGAAAAAATTCGGATTTTTGAATTCTTTTAGGTATTTTTTATTCAATTCAAAAACTGTTCTTAATTATAAATTTAAATATAATTTGAATTATCTGATAGTAATTTACTATAATTACACTAAGTAAAGTAATCAAATAAAGATAAAATACGGGTGAAAAGTTGCCGTTAACAAATGTGTTTAAACATTCATTTTTTTTTTTTTTTTCTATAATTATTTAATATATCTTTTAAATTATGAGCGTAGCAAAGGATCTACACAAAAAAATCAAATTTTAAAATCTTAAATCGGGACTGTTGAAATTCGAGGTCCGAAATTTCGATTTCGGACTTCCGAAATGCGGATTTATATCGAATCGTTACTATCAACAGCAGTGACAATTAACGATAGCTTAATTATTGGTTTTAAAAATAATTTAACACGCATATTATTTGTTGTGTCGCAGATATAAAAATGTAATCGATAGATCGGAGCGTGATGTGTCATCAACGGATAGGACGAAATTAGTAAAAATCCCAAGTCGCGCCTACCGTACGCTATACGTGATCAAATATCTGACGACGCTCGTCGTATTATTTATGAACATTCGCGGTTTCGAATTGAAATCGAATTGCGCGATTTCAGTTTCTCGACTGCAAGCCATAAATGTACGTAGTGTACGCGACAACGATGTTTGCGATATGAAAACAACAATCGATTTTTCGCGCCCTCTAAATAAATACCGCGTGCAAAACGAACCTGTGTCCGAAATGTTACAACGAAAACCCTGCGGAATTTTTACGACGACCGTGGCAGCGAACGGTAATTGATCAACAACCCCGCGGCCAATTGAACGGCGCCGAACACGGGCAACGGTTCGTGATGTCAAGTATAAATCTTCGACTGACTCAACACGGACTACACAACATTTAGCCCACCTACGCACGGGGAGCTACACCAATGAAACCGAACTGGATCGCGATTTAAATTACTCGTCGGTCACTAACGGTTCACTGGTGACCGAGATCCGCACGCGAGCCCACGGTCGAAAGCGATCGACACCGTCAGTTTATTTTGTTAGACTGTTCGGTTATAGAAGTGGCACCTGCGTCAGCGTTCTTCAACACCGTGGACGATTCCGGTGACGGAGACATGATTAACGCACAATCGTTACCATTACCGTAACCGAATCACCGGGAGACGAAGAAGATGTTTGGTTAATCCGCACGTCGAAAGGAACGTTGAGTAAAATCGTACAGAACGGGACGTTTATCTGCTTCTTCTGCCGACTCTGCGTCAGTCGTTTGTTCGTTCGACCGTTTTATTTTTCTCGATTGAAGAAAATTAGAAATGAACGATACAAGATTTTACACGATTCGACGAGAGTACGTGACGCGACGTGCGAGTACTCGACATTTGAACCGCTCGGAACTGATCACTATGATCACTAACGCGTTAGTAACCGACTAGTAACCAGCATCGCCGTCCGTTGTGTTCCATTGAATACCGCACGTTGTGATACAAAACGGACTGGTTAGTAATTTGCGTCAGCGATTAGTTTCTAATGAATAGCTCCGTGCGCAGACGGCTTTAGATATTGCCCGAAAAACGAACACATTATCATTGCTGAACAATTATGGTTTCGAGTGTTTTGACCGTTTCAAGTTTGAACAAGGGTAATAATTATTTGCTTTCCGTCATTTGCGGTTTTACTGAAAAAAAAAAAACTGTCATTTAATTTTTCGAAACGAAATTTATATAGCACGAGGCACATTGAAATTACGAAAAGACCAAAAACGATTGACAATTTTTGACAAGAGGTTTATTATAAGTTGTACTTAGTGGTAAAAAATACATTTTTATTTTTTTATGTGTTTAAATGATGATTTTTAAGGAGAGATCATTAGATCATAAATTACCAGAAGAAAAAAAAGAAACGTACAAATATTTTTTCAAATTAAATAATCTAAATTTTACCCCATCGTCAAGACCTTTAAAAGTAAATTTTCTAATAAATCGACCTTTTTAAACGCCCTTAAATATATTAATTAAGGGTTAGAAATATATTAACTTATTCTCCATTTAGCTACCAAGAGAATGGTTACACTTGTATAGTGAGTTACACTTAATATGAATTCAAATAAAATTATCTTTACAATTATTTATTTTTTAGTTTAACGAGACTAGTTCTTTTACAGTAATGTATGTAGATTGTAGACCATTCTTTTGGTAACTAAATGGAGAATAAGATTAAAATATTTTCAACCCGTAAAAAATATATTTAAGAATGGTTAAAACTTGAAAAGAGTTGGTTTATCAAAATTATCCAGAAATGTGTAGTACATTTAATACGCATATTTTATTCATCAGTAATGACCGATAAAAATTTTAATTCCCTTTAATATTGTTTGAAAAAAGTCGAAATTTCAAATGTCCTGGGGAACCAACACGATAAATTCGCCCTATACTACACAATATACCGACGTACGTACATGTTATAATACGAATAGGTATCACGAGAGCAATCTATCGGTGTTCGGCCGAAACACTGCAATCAAACGGAAAACGGATCCAATAAACTCTCGCTTGTATTATTCTCAAGTTTTTTAACAATCGATAGGACTTCGCCAGGAGTGATAGCCGAGGCTGGTAGTGCCGTGCGTAGAAGCGACCCGACGGGTTGGTCAGCTTGAAGAATTTGACTGGCGTCAGGGAAAATATCGGAAAAAAATAATTGTACCCTAATTTGACAGTCGATTTAGCGAGTTCGTTGCCGGGTGTTTCTGGGCCGTGGTTTTCGCGAAATGAGCTCTCTCATTTCGTAAGTGATAAAATTTCTGCGGTCGTCTCGAGTTCTCGCGGTCGCGGCGGAAGATATTGTAAACGTATCCGGAATGTTGATTGTGAGGATATTCATAGCGGTTTTATTTTTGTTGGAGTTTTTCGACTTTGTGTTCCAAGAGGAGGAAGTTATCGTGGCAATGAAATCGTCCAGGTAGGCGGCTAAGGTGCCGCGACGGAAAGCATCGCCGCTGTTTCCGCGCGGTTTACACAACGTACCCGCGTCCGTAATGTCACGTGATAATGACGAAAGCGAAGAATGAATTGCGATCAAGGTTATGTCCGCGGTTCTTCGTAGGTACTACAGGTACCACCGGACAAGCAACCGGGTTACCACTGTCGCGTTGATAACAACAACAACAATAATTAATGATGACGAAATTTTCAAAAACGGTAGTCGTCGCGTAAAATTCAAACCCGCGTGCGAATGTCTCCGCGGCCAAAATGGACAAGACCGCCGTATTCAAGGCGTACGTGAAAACCATTAAGACTCGTAACAGAGCATTCGGATCGTCGGCTCCTGCGGCGCAACCCGATAATAGTATACTGAAGCAACGCAAGTCGCACAGAGACGAATTTTCCCGTAAAGCCAAAGACGCCGTCAACGATTTGGCCAAGCTAACGGATTTTTTGGATCGTCACTGTACAGACTACATTGGCGTCCAGTCGTTCAGTCAGGCCAAGACGTTGACCGATGCGGACCGTGATAAAATCGACATCGGTGCGCAACACATCATCAAAACCAGTGGTCAACTGGTAAACACACTCAAAAAATGCTTGACCGGCGATTCTAGTCAGATAGACGACCACAGACGGCAGATAGTACGGTATGTTGAATGGCGGCTAAAAGCCGTAACAAAATTGTTTGCTGAAATCAAAGCGAAAAGGGCACAGAAATGTGCCGAATATGAAAACGTTTCGAAACTGAGTAATTTAGCCCCAAAAGAACAGCGAAAAGAATTGACCGCCGCAGCTGCGGTTGAGTACGAAGCAGCTGATCGACAGTACACCGCTACTCAGGTAGAAGACGAACTGTCACCCGAAGAACTACAAATGTTTGAAGCTGAAAATATAGAAATGTATAACGAATTAAATCAACTGTCTAATGAAGTAGGACCTATAAATACAATAATTGTTATACTGATAGAAAAAATATAGCGGTTTTTGTTTTTTTTTTTTAGGTAAGGAATATAGAGTCCAAAGCTGTACGAATTGCTGAACTGCAAGAGTTGTTTACTGAAAAAATTTTGGAACAAGACCATGATCTAGAGAGAATAGATACTATTGCGACAAACACGACTGAGAATATTGTGGATGCTAACACCGAAATAAGATCAGCTATACAGAACAATGCTGGTCTTAGGGTGTATATATTATTTTTTATCCTAGTGCTTTCATTTACCTTACTGTTTTTGGACTGGTATAATGATTAAAGTATTGTTATTTGGATTATTGTATGGTAGGCCTTTTGTTGATTGTGTATACATTTTAGGTTTTTATCATAATATTATATTGTTAATTTTTGTCTTTTTCCTTTTTGAAAATTATTGAAATAAAGTTTGAAAATTATAATTTTAACATAGTTAAATTCATAGGTTCTTGTAATATTGCGATCAGAAGTTTAACCATGTAATTAATTGTTTACTCAAATTAAGAGAAAAACTACCCAACAGTCAGGTTGCCTACATGATAGATGTTCAGACTTCATTGTTACCAAAGTCGGAATAAAGATAACATACACAATACAAACAATAAATAGGCATAATAAATCATGTCATAAAACACATAAAACCGAAGTTCATACTGTAATAATTTACTTTTTAATTGTATAATTTTTTTAAGAATGATCTTAATAATCAATAAAATCGTACGGTTTATTCTTGTTTGTTCAAATCTTAACTAATCCGAAGAAAACATCGAAATATAAATTACTTGAAAAACTTAATGTTAGGAGAAAGATTCAAATTAAGTTAACTATTTGAATATAAATATTTTTAAAAATAAATTAAAACACAATCAATCTAATTAATCATCTGTAATATATGTTTATCACATTTTTTTAATTGTGCCACAAAATACCATAGTTAACTTTATAATTTTTCATGATTTGTATTGGCTCAAACAAAGTCAATAAAATAATTTGTACGGTTCTTTAGACAAGCTTTCACACAGCCACTATCGATTCAAAAATGTAATAATATTAATTTTTAACTTTTTTATTATTTACACTGGAATAAGTTAAAATTAGCGGCGGGTCGAATAAAAGTTGATATGTTCATTGTTCAACCTCTAATTTCCATTAATTTATTATTTTGAATTGTAACCAACATTGGTTACAAATATGTATTATAATTAAAACACAATTTACAAATTTTCAATTTATTTTATTTAGTTACATGTAAAACATTTAGAACTTACATTCTTAAGTTCTAAAATTTGTCGATTTCTTTTGTTTTTTAATTGAACTAACTATATACAAACATATTGATTGTTGTTAAATTATTTTCTAAAAAAAATTGCTTTCGTTACACAGTATTGATTGTAAATACCAGTATTTACGGTTACAGTTATACACAAATATATATGTAATAGATCATTACATTGGTTTAAGCGTATTTTGCAAAATACAAAAAAATGATTCAGTTATGGAAAAAAGTAATAAAAATAAAACAATAAAGATAATGAAGAAGATAAAAGTGGCAAAAATATGATGCATTAATATATTGAAAAGGAAAAGGCCCATTTTGTTGTATATATGAAGGAACTTAAGATTTTTTTTTTTTAAATGCCAAATAAAAATCAAATGGCAAAATGCTCAATGTATGCAAGTAGTTGAAATACTGATGAGTACAAGAGAGGATTTCTTTTATGCCACACATTAATCATTCCAAACCTCAGTCGTAGCTCGATAAAAAATATATATATTTTTATATATATATGTATACATACGAACATGTCATATATAAATAAATATATATATATATATAACCAAAATTATAAAACTGACAATAGCTCAAAAATAACTTTTGATTTCATATAATCCACGAATTACAGGTTTTAAAAATTGCATTAATACTCGAAAAGTCGAGATTAAGTACATTGTTGTAACCATCAGAAGCACTGCAAAGTTGTTTTGCGCCATGTGTGGAGACTATAGTCATCAGTGTTGAGATAACGAAATAATATATTCGTTAGGGTTTATATTTGACTAAAGGTATATTTTTTGTTTGAAGACATTTGTCGCACACCCATTCTGCATATACTTCAGCTGTAAGTAACTGGAACGCATGCTCCATCAAGCCCGTACAAACCCTAAACAAATTATTATTTATATATTACTAATATACAAATTGAAAATTGTAACAATTGATATAGACACATTATTAACATATATTTTTTGTGTTTTGGCCTACCTATGAAACCAAAAATTACAACCAGATTCACATAACACGGCTTGATCGTTGTCGTGTACTTCTTTATGACAATTCCCACATGGATATATTGGTGGGGCATTTGGGTTTTGTGGGTTGAACACCATTGGTTGATCATGAGGATATATCTGAAACAATATAATAATAATGAAATTTACCAATATCAAATGTTTAAACATTCTCGTAAAACATAATATTCAACCTAAGTGTTGTTCAGCTGGTCATATTGTTTTAGTCTTTATTAAACCTGGGTTTTCAATCAACTGATTTGTTGAATAGCACAAGTTATTCAAAAAATAAGAATAATTTGATAATAATTGGTTTTTCAATATCCAAATAAGGATAATTTAAATTATTTTTTCATCTGTATTAAAGTTTATTTAACAAATAAAGTAATCTTGATAAATATTAACTATTATCAACGATATAATTATTTATCATTCACCATCTATTAACTGATCTTTATTTATTATTTTTAAATATTTAAGTGCCAACAGCTGCACATTACAATAAATGTATTGGAGTTATTTTGAAACTGATGAAAATGGTTTTATTGAGTTATTCGATTATCAAAGACAAATTTATATAATTAGAGTAAGAATCAACTACATGGTTGTGTGGAGAGATCATATTTTTAGTCGGGTAATCCTTCAACTGACATTTGTTTAATATATTATATAACTCTCTCTCTAATTTACTTGAGCTGATACAATCATTTTCATATATGCCGTCTCTAGTTTTGATTAATTTACTTTCTTTTAATACTCATGTGATTCCTTCATATTCTTTCCAACTTTTAGCATCGTTAGCAAATGTTCTTCATAAAACATAAATATAATTTCTGTATTTTTTGATAAAAATCATCATGTTGTTTAAAATATGTATGTACCTATAAAGCATAATGTAAATGGATTATATTTATTAATTTTTAACCAGAACTTGTCTTTGTCCTTTCAAAACACTTTGTTAGATTGTTTATTTTAATTTTTGTGTTGCTGTTGTTTGAAGTCATAATAATGTATTATTAAAGAAATAATAATAAATAATAAATAGTATTTGGAAATAATGACTAAATAATAATAATATAATCACTATTTATGATTATGATGATAACATAATATTATGACAATACATAATTGTAATAATAACAGAGAAATATAAAAGTGAGATTTTTTATATTATAAGAGGCATTTGTTGATTCAATATTATTTCAAAACCACCCACAACATATTTCAACCGATAATAATAAAAATCTTTATGGCTTATTCCAATTCCAAACACATATTATTACTATATTCTAATTATTTTATTATCAGAATTAAGTACTTGGCAAATAAATTCAGTTTTGAGTAATAAGAGACAGAATTTAATATTTTGTTAGGAAATTTATACATCAAATAAATGTATTCACCACATAGTTATTAAAAAATAAACTCAAAGTTAGAAAACTGAACCTTAGTAAATGTTAATAAATAAATTGTAAAATTAAAATTATTAATTTAACTACATAAATATATATAATTATTAATTATATACATTTATATTGAAATACCAAAAAAAATAAACTAGACGATCAATAACAGAATAAAGATCTTAAATGTATCGAAAATATTAATAATAAATTTTATATTAAAAGTGATAATTACCTTTCCAGCAGATACGGGCATTGGTTTAGAAGTAGGTCCAGGTCCATAACCACCTGGCTGTTGATTATTGGGCATTTGAGGATGATGCATCATAGGGGGCATAAGTCTGTGTTGTTCAGAAGGTTGAGGTGGACCCCTCATCATTTGGGGACAAGGCATACCTCTGGGACAGTTCATCATATTACTGGGGCCCGGCATACTATTGCACTGCTGGTTTGACATTGGTTGCCTACAACCCATTGAAACGGATGGCATATTGTTAGAACCCGGACAAGGTGGCCCACGTACTTGACACCCGTTATTGTCAACTGACATGTGCGGGTTCATTTCGTTCATATCCGACGAATTTACTGGCATATTCATAGACATAGGGCTATTCGTCAAAGGTGAAGGACCCCCTCGACCCATCATCATGGGGCTGCCGCCAGGTCCTGAGTTGGGATGACCATTGAGTGGTGAAGGGCCCATTGTCATGGGACTAGACATTGGTGGGTGTATGTTCATATTGGTGTTTTGAGGTATGGGACTGCCCATGGGCGAAGGACAATTCAGCGATGGCTTTACCATGGCAGCACATTCCATAGGACTATTGCCACGCATATTTGGCACCATATGAGGACTTCCCATAGCAGATGGACTTCGATTCATTGACAGAGCATGGGGACTGTTGCCAGGCGCCCCACAACTCATCATAGGTGGACCACAGACCATTGGATTTCTGTGTGGACTACTACCACATGGGCCGCCCATCGGACTACCCATTGGTGGACCGCAATTCATAGGTGAACCGCCCATTTGATGGCAAGGGCTACCAGACATCATAGGACGAGAATTCATCATTTGTCTGTTCATTTGACTGTTCAACACTTGTGGTGGAGGGGTATCGTCAAAAGGGTTTGAAGCAACTATAGTATCACCATAACCTATAAAATATATAAAAATTATTATACAAATTATTATCTAAATTTAGTAGATTAGCATTCATATGACTAAACAAAAAATCTATGCAATAAGATCAATTTTAATTAATTATTTGCCAAAATATGAAACCAACATTTAATGAATAATTATTGAATATAAGTCATTATTTAACTAGGTTAATAAAACTCTAATCCATATTACATATTATTTATTAAGTTACTTAACATATACAAGTATATTTTTGTTCATACTTTTTCACTATAACAAATAAATTTTAAATAATGACTTTAAAATTTCAGTAAAATGGAAAAAGTACCAAAATATTATTTACCATTTATTCCATAAAGGCAGATTTATAAAAATAGCCATCCCTAAGGGTTAAGTTGTTGCAGTGCCCCGTTCAACCCTCGACTAGCTGGATCATATTTAGCAGTAGATTTTTGTTCATGCCAACTTATTTAGCAATATCAACATAGAACTTATGAGATAGATGACATGGAGTTCGGTGTAAAGTAAATCAAGATTTTCAAGGAGTTTGAATCGTTATATATCGATTTTTCATTAGATATGTATCTAAAAAGAAAACTGATTTGTTTAATTATTGGGTATTTAATAAACAAATATTGACATTTTAATACAATATTTGATCTATTTTATGAGTTTACTAAAAACAATAATTAAATATCTCTTAATACAGATATATACAAAAGTATCTTAAATAATAGTTGTGGAACATATTGTGATAAAACAAACTGTACAAAATTGTATGATATATCAACTTGGTAGAGTACATACTTGTCTACAACAAATTATTTTATAACATACTGTCGTACTTAAGTGTAAATTGTGTATTAAATTTAGTAGTTAGTACTTATAATGCAAGTCTTACATTAACTTTTAATGTATTTCCATTAATACATTTAAAAGAAACTGTCATAATGTGCACACTTGGTATTATTAAAATAATTAACGCTCAGGTGTTAACTGTGAGTAATACTTTTTTTTAAAAAACAGCAGTAGGAGTAGACCTTAATATATTATAATATACAAATCATGAAGAGAGCAAGATCACGACTTCAAGAGTGTCGCCGTACAAAGATAACTCCTTAATCTAATCTATGTTATCAGTGTTATCATAACATTCCCTTCCTAATAATATAATTACACTAATTATAATAATTATTTTAAATAGTAAAAGTACAAATTACAAAATTGTATACAAATTATTTTACATTAATTTTTTTTTGAAATAGAACAAACTCAACTAAATATGACTTAACTAATTCTTACAATTATTTACAAAATCAATTTAAAATAACAAAACAACTAATCTATAGTTTTTTCCGAATAAGATTGAACTGCTTTTGCGCATGCAGATCGAGCCACCGAACATTGTCTGACTCCCAGGCGATAGCTATACGTTCTGTGATTGGCAGACAGTTAGCGCAGGTCGTTAGCGATGTATGATGCTTGTTTTATGGTGGGGATGTGCGAACAAGACCAAATTTGGTCGGACGAGCGATTCAATCTTATTTGGAATAGAGTATACTTATGACTTAACTTGTTTAAATACTTGAAAGTATATGAAAATGAGATGAATCTCATTTTCATACAAGTCCTTTGGTATTGCTCAGTCTTTCAATTTTTAACTACAAATATTAGGGAAACAACTAATACCATTGAATACATCAAATGATTCTCAATATATTTATCTCTTTTAAATTCTACATTATCATTTGATATAATATGAACATTTTTTAACATCTCCAATGTCATAAGTGTTTGTAAACCCAGTATCGACTTAGTATTATATGATTTACCTACTATTATAAATTTAACTTCAACAGAATTATCAAATAGAGAAAAAAACACTTCTAGCCTTCCAACCGGTTTCATTTTAAATCCTCCATAATTCTCTATTAATATATTCATCCCTTTTATTATTTTTTGTAATCATAGTCTATTACAATTATTTTATGATAATATATTCAACTCAGTTCTCCTATCCACTTTAAAGTTAACCACTTTTCTGTTTATTAAACCTATTACACCACTTATATTTTATTGATTTTATTTTCACAACTGATTCAACCGAAAATACATTTCCTTTTTAGTATCCAATTTAATTTCTGCGGTTTTCTTAATTAAATTATTTTAAAATATTTTTTATACTTTTTTATATACACACATTTTAGCAAAATCATATACCCATTACAATTTCTACAGAGTTTATTGAATTTAAGAAAATTTCTATACCAAGTCTTGAACCACAATTAAAACAATTATTATTATTCTCTAGATTACTTGACTCTATGGTGGATTTACCAACTGCATGATCCTTCTTATTGTCTCTTTTTGACTGATTCTGTGCCACTTTACTCTAGTTCCATTTGTATCCACGATTCTGCTCCTTCTGATTTGATTTCCATTATTAATTTCATGTACTGTTTTATCTTCTCCATTTGCTATTGTATTTATCAAAGAAACATCATCTCTTAATAGCCTTGTCTGTATTTCCTTGTCATATATTCCCAATATTATTTGTGTTTTTAAAATTTTGTTCCCCACCTCACCAAAATTACATCCTTTTATAATTTTTTTTAAATCCATATACCAAACATCAAAATGTTCACATTCTTTTTGTTTACGACTGAAGAACTTGATGTGTATCATAATTTCTTTAACTTTAGGTCTGTAATATTCATCCAGAGATTTCAATGTAGTGTCCGCAGTTTTCACTTCTTTTTTAATTGTATTATACAATTTTAGATCATCGCAACCCAACATTTAATAAACGAGCAACCTGTATTTCGTTTTCTTTTTTATCTGTTTCTGTTGCCTTTGAATAGATCTGTATCTTTTGTTTATTTATAATTTTCAACCACATTTCCTCCAGGCACAAACCACCTGATCTGTTGAATATCAGCAACATTTTTTATGTTCTTTTTTTTCTCATATATTATAATAAATACAAATCATGAGAGCTAGAAGCTAGAACACGACTGCACGTCTCACGAGTGTCATTGTGGACGAAAGTCAGAGTGTCGTCGTACAATGATAACTCCTTAACCTAATCTATGTTATCAGTGTTACCATAACAGAAACAACCAAAAAAAAAAAAAATAACGGTACGAAATTAAAAACGATAAGATTAAATTATTAGTGATAAAAACAATATATCTATCTATCATAAGACACTCATTATTTCGGAAAGTATTAACTTTTTCCAAAATTTAGCATCCAGAATATCTAAGAAACAAGCTGCTCTATAATTGTATATTTGTTTTATTTTTTGTCACACTTATTTATGAGGGGTAAAACCACTACCTAGTTTTGATTTTCAAATGATAAACCATATTAAAAATAAATCCGTTGACGAGATATTCCACTTTTAAATTTGGGTTGTGGGAAAGTGGTGGTGCATTATTAACATGCTGCACGATGTACTGCCACACAAATGATACCCCACTACTCTCCTCCAACCCAAATTTAAAAGTAGAATAACTTATCAACGGATTGACGGAAATCAAAAATTACAACACAACAATTTATTTTAACTAATACTTTGTCTATTTATGGTATTTTTAATATAGGTTGTCATTTTAAAATCAAAAATAGGTGTGGTTTTACCACCCAGAAATAACATAAATATAAAATTGTAGAGGAGCTTGTTTTTTTTAAATATTCTAGAAAACAAAATCCAGAAAAAGCAAATACTTTCCAAGATAACGAGTGTTTACAATAGATTGATCACCCTGTATAGAAATGGCCAACTGTTTTAAAATGTATATACCCAGGTTTTAATGATTTAATGTGGCCATAATAATAAAATATAATATATTTCAATATTTCCTCAAGTTGATAGTAGTCGCCAGTCGCAGCTATAGTATTAGACTAGCAATATTGATTAAGTATATTTAACAACTGTTGTTTGTTCCAAGTAGGCAGCTACTGATAAGAACCGATTATTTTATTAGTGAAGCGATATAAACGGTTTTTTTTTTTTTTTTTTTTTTAATGTCTAGTATTAAAAATTGGTTTCTCTTGATTGAAAAAAAGTATTTTAGCTTTATGAAAAGATAAGTGCATACCGAAAAAATTTCAGTATACACAACAGTCTAATTTCTGTACAAATTGATAATATCTACAGCTTTTAAATACTAATTTATATCTATACGTATCAGTTTGTTCCTTGAAAATCTTGAATTTATTTTATTATTAGTTAAAATAAAATAACAAACTGTTATCATATTTTTTTTTTATAAATTAACTGATGGTTAGTGCTAACAGGACATTGTAATTTATATTAAACATGAGATGTCAAAGTCATTGCTACATAAAACTGTAGCTTAATGAACAGTTATTTAAAATGTAAAGAAATTGTAAAAACGACCTTAAGAAGTTTTGATCTTTATATCATCCTTGTATTTTATACTAATAGTGTAACCATTAGTTATGGGGATTTATGAGTGAAGCAAGTTGGGCAAAGGCAAAACCCCTAGTTAAAATATATTAAAATTTATCATATATCATCCTTCATTCAAATTTGTATTATAATGTAGCTTGGAAATATTATTTTCAAAATCCAAATAAAATGCACCAATTGAATAAGATGTCTTCATTAAAAAAAAAAGATTAAAATCGAAAGACTCTCTAAGGCAGACGTGTAAACAAATAACTGATGTAAATCATGCTTTTGGATAAAATCACAGGCTACATATTTTTAAAAATATAATTTATTGCTTTAATTTCATTATATCGTTATAAAATGTATAATAAATAGGTATACTGGCTTCATTTTTAAATTAATCGATTACTTTAGAAAGCAATTTAGAATACCAAAATAGCTTATCATGTATAACTCGAATTTCGTGAACTCTGGGTCACGACCCAAATGTTTGAATTTTTTTTTATATAATATTAAATTAATAATTGGACTATATAAAATAATAAACTTTTTAGAAAATAAATATATATTTTGAGTACAATTAAACATTTTTCGATATACTTTTTCTTCGTGTTCACTTGATATCATTTGATAATTAATTGTGTATCACAGTCTGTGGCAATTATGCGTAAATAGTGAACAGAATTAATACAGTGTGTAGAAAATTGTCGATATGAATATCTAAAAATTAAATATTATTAATAAAAATTCTTAATTTGTAAAAAAAAACTGATTATTAGTGGGAAAGTTGTTAAAATGTTATCATTTTCCAAAATGGATTTTATTGAAAATGTTTGGGAACTTTTAGTTTAACTGATATTTTTAAGAAAATATAAGAAGTTCATAACCATAATTCAGCATTTTAAGTTTTCGTATTAGATTTACATCAGTTTGCCTTAAATATCAGTCGTCTTTCAATACACAGTTGAATAATATAATTGCTCTTTTTCTAAAATAAAAATATTTTATAGAAGACATTGTTAAGTATATTAGCATAATTGATAAATATTTAAAACAATAATTATTTAATTGAATATAATAGGTATAATCTATAAGAATAAATAAAAATTTACACTAGATGTACACATTAATTTAAATAAATTATGTCTATAAAAGTTTAAAGTTATTTACAACTGTGAACTAGTAGAGTTCGATTGGGTTTATAATATTATAATATATCACATTAACAAAATGTTGATAATGAATTAATTTTATTAAGTAAATGAAATGAATGATAAAATAAGCAGATAGACACCAAAATAAGAAAAAGCAAAATACTGAACGTGTTACAATATGGATCGTGAAAAGTAAGTAAAACAAATATTGGTGTGCAACTGTACATAAAATACCTATTATATCTTTTTGGTTAATTTATTTTGATTTAAGAAACTAAGGCAAAGGTCTAAATAAGAATATATTATTCTAATAAGTGTCATTTTATATAAGTACATATGTCTTTAGTTACTAATCCTCTACTCCTTACATAATTCTCCTATTAGTTCCAAGTCTAGACTCCGTGTCATAATTTTCTTCAATTTTTTACATCCATAACAAAAAAAATCGGTCTATCTTTTTAAGTAATACAAGTACAAGTAGTTAGTACATTTTTAGGTTATCAGACAAAACCCAACATAATTTAGTTCCTAATTCTATGGAGAATAATTAGTGATGTGCCGTGTATTGGTAAATATTTCAGGTATTTAAAATTTGGGTACATACTTTTTCTTTAATCTCATTTAGATAAAACTTTCTAATAAAAAACAAGGGAAGACTGATAATAAAAGTTTTAAAGGTAATATAAATATTAAATAACATATTAAATACACATTTTGTATTAAAATTTTTAGTTATCGTTTTTTTTTATGATACTTTATTTTTTCTTAAAAAGGGTATTGAATCCAAATTAATGATCTTAATAAAAACTTAATAAATATAATTTATTTACTCTGATAATCCAATCTGGAAAACCGTGGAAAATTCAGGAAATGGAGTATTAATCATAATGGAGTATTGCAGTAACCATGAATTGAGTTTTTGTATTAAAAAATAAGTTCACCCTAATTATCCAAAAAAAATATTTACCGGGTAAATGCCCATCACTAAAAATAATATTTTTAACTCTTGCTATATTTTAAATAAGCACTACATAATAAATAATTCACAATTTACCTGTTAAAGGAGGTGGAAGTAAATCTTGCGGTGATGGTGGTGGTGGTTGGGGTGGGTGATTGGTTACAGTGGCTGCATTAGAAGTCCGCCGCTTCTTTTTAGCTGGAGGTGGTGGTGGTGGATCCGGAGTCATCATTGGAGATTTGAACTCATTGCCCATGGGTAACATACTGCAAAAATTAAAAATCAAAGATAATTATGAGACTTGAGTATCATGAATAAACTCTAAAAACAAAATTAAATTAACTACCTATATAGGTATACGATTGAATCATATTAAATAAAAATTTAACACTTGAAATCACAAGGTACTAGCTTTTTAAGTATAATTGTTCAGTACCATATGAAAAATATGTCCGCTCTTAACTAATAGGTTATAATAATAAACATTAAGTCATAAAACTAGTTAAAGATAATAATTCTCCATTAAAAATAAAATTGATTGTTTTATTTAAAGTTGCAAAACAAGTTCTAATCAACATTATTTGTGAATTAATGAATAATACATTTAATACTTCAATGATGGGTTTTATTTATTATAAAGTTATGGAAAATATATTTATTATTTACTGAAATTAATAACATAAATTATATATTTACAACATTCAGACTTTATGGTAATTTTAAAATCTTGCTCATTATCTATAAAAACTTTACTTTATTTTACTTTCAAATCACAGTATTTTCACCGGTTTAACTATAATAAATTTAATTTTATATTCAAATTTCTATCTTTAAAAATTTTTAAGCTCAAAAAACGATTTTATTCATTGAAAAATAATAATTAACATTTGCTAAAACATAGTAAGCTTACATAATTACTTGAAATTAAATATGTTAGTATTATATAAGTTTTAGAAGTCAAAACCTGTTACTACAAGGAGTGCTGGAAAAGAACTATGTAGGTAAAAGACCAAGAATGACATTAGATGATGTGGTTACAAAATAAGTGGAAACTTTAGGTGGATTTAACTAAAGAATTTTGACAATGAATAGTTGGAGAATTGGTCGTGAGACGGGAAAGTTCTAGAGACTAGAATACACCGAAAAATTGGATTAATTAATATTAAATAGGTATTCATATAAAAAAATAAAACATTCTTAAAGGTACCTGATAATTTTAATAAATAATAGATAGGCAGCATAACTGAAAGTTGAACTGGTCTTGAATAATTTGATTTGAAAATTGTTTAGTCATTTTAGTTTTCTTAGTTTTTACAATAATACTAATGAACTGAATTTATAATATTAAACTGATCTTTTAAAAGTTTATCTTTATATATTTTAAATTATTATTAGATATTTTGATAATACGTAATCTTGAAACTGTCATAGTATACATTCTAATCAATACAAATTTGAGTGTTTAATAATATATTATACGTACGAGCACGGTCCACCCATTTTGTTGAAATCATCCGGATAACAGTGGCCTCTTTGCATGTGCGGCGGCATGTCTTGACACTGGTTGTAATATGGCATTTGATTACGGCCTCTCGGTAACCTATACCAAAAAATAAACAACATTTATAGGAACGCACCTACCCAAAGCACAAAATGCCCTCAGAATATAAAAAAGGAACACTTACGTGACATAAGGGGCCATGCCACCCATGTTTTGGCTCATTGCTAATAGGTTGAACTCAGCGTATCGAATGCATCACGGCGTGACTGTAGGTAGTACAAATCTGCCAAAAGACGAGAAAGAAAAACGCTAAAGAGATGCTACAATATTGAATTATCAATACTCGAGTGTACACAATCGGCCGAGCTCAGAAAAAAATCGACGTCTAACGGTAAAAAACTCGAAATATACCTACAGCACCTACCGTAGGGCAACCACCTAGACAGTTAAACGTATGTATTTACGATAGGTGGTTGATTTTATTTTATTTTTTTTTTGGTACTCACGGAAATCGTGACAATTCCTCTAAATGTGTCTTGCCAGAACTGTGGAGATCGGCTACGCTGATTGACAGACACTCGCTGCTGCCTACGCCATCGGCCGGCTATGAGATTATATTTTCCGTTTGAGTTTCGAACGGGTAGTATAAAACGTATATAATATTATGTACATATGTACAACATACATACGCGCACACGTATCTCTTTCTCTCTCCGTATATATTGTATATATTTATATTATATACATATATATATATATATAGGTATATGTATATATCTACTTATCTATCCGTACGTAGTGTTATTATTATTTATATATTATTATTGTGACGACGCACGCGCGCACGTAGATACGGACACGGAGACACGGTGACGGAGAGTAGTAAAGAAAAAAAAAAAAAGGGCGCACTGTACTCGTCGGTCACAATAATGGCCGTCCCGACGTGAGTTTAACGACGAGCAGCACTTATCCGACGACGGCGGTGGTGATAATAATACGTCGGCGGCGGCGGCGGCGGCTGCGAAGTACGAGACGGTTTGCTGCCGAAAAGCGGGTCCGACGATTCTGCGGCGGGCTGGCGCGGCGATAAGTACGCGTACGAAATAAATAATGAATTTAGTGTTAAAATTGCGACGAGAAAAAAAAAAAAAAACCAACGTAAACATAAACATAAAAATAATACGATTACTTATTATATTATTATTATTATTGTTAATACTTCTTCTTTTATTATTATTATTATTATTATTCTATAGGTACCTACGGCCGGTACACTGTAGTGTTGTAGTAGTAGTAGTAGTAGTAGTAGTAGTAGTAGTAGTACCTATAATAATAATAATAATGGAAAAAAATTCGAAAAAAAATAAATAAAAAAAAAAACACACACACACACACGAAACGAGTAACGCGGCGGAGGAGGCGGCGGCGGTCGGGGGATCAGACGGAGATGAACGATAATGCGCGTTTCTGTGCGTGTGTGAAGATACGGCGCGTCGCGCACACACGATCCGTATATTATATTTATAGTCGGACAAGGACGGAGGCGGACGCAGGAATTCCGAACGAAAACATCAATCGGCCGACGCGCGATGTCAGTGACGTTGCATATGCGGGACGCTTGTAACATCCGTGACGGTTTCTCGCGCGCGGGACCGCGGTTACCGCGCGGTCGCCAGCCCGGTCGCTACGCCAGCTCCCCCCGTCCCCGCCACTGCCGCAGCGCCTACCGAGCGACCGCCGCCGCGCCCAGGGTGTATTGATCTCTCAATCCGCGCGGCAAAGTGCCTTTTCTCCCCACCGCAATCCGTTCCCCAAACCACGCAACGCGAACCTAACGCGTTCCGAGCCGCCGCCGTCGCTACGGCCCCGTTCTTTTCTCGTCGTCGTCGTCGGAACAATAATAATATTATTGTATTCCTATTTGTATTAGTTCCCAAAGACGACGCAACGCGGTACAATCGCGGTACGCAGGGTATTCTCCGGTAAGTACTCGGACAATAATAGTACAATACGGTACGGAGTCGTGATAATAATAATAGCGTTAAGTGCCCGGGCTATCTAACGATATTATTGCGGTTTTTTCTATACGCACATTGTACGAACCGGGTGGATTGCGTGAAAAACCGCCCCGTCCCGCTGGGATAATGATGATCCGGAGGTCCGCTCCGGAAAGGATGCTTTTGTCAGGTATACGGACGGGTTGGTTTTTCTCTCTCTCTCTCTCTCTCTCCATTATTACGCATTTTCGGTTTAATGGGTTTTCGGCAAACCGTCCGACGGCGGACGACGGGGGCAGCGCAGGTATACGCGTTATTGTACTGTAACGTTACCCCGCCGTCCGTTGCCCCGTCGCCCGCGCGTCGCGATACTATTCGGATCGAAACGAGAGAAAAAAACGTACGTATACACACCCGTGCCTAATATATCGTGTTATACCTATACAACACAATATCGAACGATAATTTGAAAAAAACAGGTTATTATATTATTTCGTCGTGACGACGACGGTCGGTCGACTCGCTCGAAAAACGCGCACACGCGCACACACGGCGTTATAACAGTGCAACGCGCGTGACGTAAAAACACAATGCCGTCTAAGCGAATGAGGTGGGATTATGTACAGAATTACTGTACACTCCCGCGCCGGGGCTTACCGGACTACCCGCAGCTATAATTGGTATTTATTTATTTTTTTTCGTCTCTCTCTCGCGCGCAGGCATCCGGGTGTAATACATGCGTACGAAAAGATCCGACGGGTTTTCAGCTTCTCCTCCCGCGTGTTACCGCGGTGACGTTGTGCGGGGGCTCGGACGGGAATACAAAAACGCTCTGACCGCGCGTTTCTGCGGTTTTTCGAACGCGGTTTTTGAGGTCGCGCGTTTCGGTTTTCGAGACCGTTCGCGCCGCTTAAACGCGCGGTTTTTGTACGTGGCTATTCCGCCGTTTGATTTGGTTTACCGAGCAAACCGCGCGTCGAGTCTTCGTCCTAATTACCGAAACCAAATAAAATATACTCGACGCCGTTGTGCTTTCAAGCCGATTGTACGGAACGGGGTACGTAACCCCCAAAGCCACCGATCGTGGCCACAGCGATCGCTTATTATTATCGGGTACACGCGTTACGATACCTTTACTTGTTAATATTGCCGATTAGGCGAGATTGACCGCGGCCGTTTGTCGAAAAGCCATCCGCTCGATGCGATAGTAATAATAATAATAATATGATAGTGAAATCATTGTTCATTATGTTCTCTACGCGTGTGGCGTGTGGAGAATTTGAAATTTTTCTTTTACTCCGACGGTTGCGTTATTATAATGTTAGAGAGCCGTGAAAAACAGAAAACGATATTATAATAGCGTATGATTTCCGGGTCGCTCTGGAAGTGGATACCGCGATACCTACCTGGATACGCGTAGTCTCGGTGTCATAATATTATTATTGTTCTATTATACGATTACGCCGGAGGTGAAAGTGCGGGTGACAACGACGATATTGAAAAAAAATAATTGAACGATAAATACTCGCTCGGAAAATGAAAAAAAAAAAAAAATAATAATAATAATAATTATTATTCCACGGGTACTCGACATAACGCGCCTGTCCGGCGGAGCCCGTCGTCGTAGGTTCGGACGGGCGTGGATGGGGGCAGGGGGGAGAAACGAAAGGAGAAAAAAAAAACCGAAATTCTTCTTTATCCGGACGCGCACACCTGACGCGCGGGTCGCATTCGATAATAGTGTAAATACAAAGGGCTCCGCGAGACCGGCGGTTTTACGAGCAACCGTCTGGTTTTCGCGAAATATAATTTTTACGGCCGACCATCATCGCCGCAGTATTATTCTCGTTATTATTTAGTAAGGTAGTGGCCTGCCCCCACCCCCGACATTCCGTTGTGCAGTGTATTTATAACAATAAAAAAAAAAACCGATTTTTTTTCCCGTATTTTACACGATTTTATACGTGCAAGAGTCTACGGTGATATTATATTGTATAGTGTTACCTGAAATCCTTTTTCCCGCAGCTATACAAATGGCGAAGCCGCGAATAGGTTTTCTCGAAATACAATACTTCGGTCTTTGGTCCCGGACAATAAGGAGACTCGATTTCGCGCATATGGTTTTCAACGCGAGTAAATTTGATTTTCGTAAATCGCTTAAGGCGATCGGAAGCGGCGATTTCCCGTCTTTGTCTTACACACACGTGCGACACGTGCGTTCTATTTCCGACGTACCGATTGGTCTAGCGAAGCAATAATCGTTTTGGCAAACACATTAATTGAATTTGTCGTCGTCGTCAATTTCAATGTTTTGAAATCGACTTGTCCACGTTTTTTGATTTTATCTCCTTAAATCTTGGTAGAAAAAAAAACCATAATAAAAAAGGCACAAACGTGACATTTTCGGAGACATATTATAAATGAAAAATTGGGAGAGTTCATCTCAAATATGTTTTCAGAATTCTTGTCGCTTCATTAAACCAGTCGGTAAGCCGAAAATAGAACATTTTACTCCTATGTTGCACGTGTGTAGGAAAATCACCGCTTCCGGTCTATTCAATGGCACAGTTTCGGCCGTTTATTCCAAACGCCGGCGTTTTCTACATGGCCACAGAGTCGTATAATAGTATTACGCTTTTTTTCGCACCCAAACAAAAAGTACGTAATATACTAAGATATTTTAATTTTCAGCATATACCTAACACGTGTGTCGGAATGTTCACGTGCGCTTGTCTAACCAAAGGTAATCGGTCAAAAAGTCCGTTTTAAAAAAGTTGAACAAAAAGTCCGAGCACATATTTAGTGTCGGACAAAAAGTCTGAATATACATAATATTCTATTCAATTTTCATTAATAATTATTTATTATATAGGTATATACTATATATATAGTATAAGTAGTCACGGTTTTTGTCACAGCTTGTTCGAAACCATGTTCATAGTCTGAGGATCGGGATAATCATTGTTTTAAAAAACACGGATTAGAAAAAAATATAATAATATAATATATAAGTACAATTATTTTAGATTCTGAGTGGAGCAAAGAAGCTTATGGTTTTACAAAGATATTTTTATTTTTTTTCTGTGGACAATTTTTTTACTAGAGATTTTGCTTCAAAGAGATTATTTTTCAATTTCCTCAGGTATTTTCTCATCAAATGCGAAAAGATGGGAAAACGTACGAAATATATTTGTACAATATTACGGCTCTTTTTTTTCCTGTGGTCAACTTTTCTACCATCAATTTTGCTCAAACTTTTAATGATAGCAATTTTTTTAAAAGGTAATTTTACTGGAGAGGTAATTTAGAGACGTCATTTTTCGATGTTCTCTGGAGTTTTCTCAGTAAATTTGAAAAATTTGGAAAAAACATGGGAAAACCGAGAAAAACGTAGGAAAACTGGGAAAATCGGTACAACATTAAACAAATATTATTAAAGAAAATATGTAGTGCCTATTTAATTATTTTACTATAATATGGCATATATATTGTTGACAAAGCATCACTATCAATTGAACTCCGCTCAGAATCGATTTTTCGTTAACAATGGTTTTTCGTTGCTTACAGATATACATTAAATTCTCGTCTTTATCCTACCTTTCCAACTTCCTTCCTACACCAGTAGCTATCCTCATTTTCTTACCTTTTTTTTTAAATTTTTAAAATTAATATTAATTATATATTACTCTATACCTATATACCTATATAATAAATTATATAATTATAAATGAAAATTTAACAGAATATTTTTTATTATCGGAATTTTTGTCCAACTTTTTTTAAACGGACTTTTTGTCCCCGGAATTTTCATCCGGGATTCTCAAACAAGACCAACAAATTATACACGACACAATGCTATATGAAAATAAAACAAAATACCGACAATTTACTCAAGTTAATTCCTCCTAGGGACCAAAGAAGTAGTTATTATTTGACTATTGTTGTGATATAGTTTCGAGTATATTTTATTCGAGACCAACGAAATTAAAACTATCAAATAAAATACTTAACGTACGGTTATTATGGAATTGTTTCAGATGTTTGAAATCAAATTCGTTATCGAACAATACGCGTATATCGGCATATCGCGTTGGGTCCAAGTTGAATATTTGAATATTTCGTATACTATTCGTTTTTATAAAAAATACAAAATGTAAATCATTGAATTTCCAAGGTTGTTAACTTCGGTCTGAAATATTATTAACGATTTTTTTTTTTTTCTGTAAATGTTAAATAATTTATTCGAATATTTTTTAAAGGACATTATATAATACCTGTTGTTCCAATACACGCATTATTATAATAATATGTAGATTGTGATTATATACTTACATTTCATTATATTGTGTCTGCGATATTATAAAATATACAAAGTATCTATACAGGTAGGTTCTCAATACACGGTGCACGATGCGCTAACAAAAATCTACGGATGGGCGTGATTAACAATTTGCTGACTCCAAACAAATGTCACCCATTATTTTGTTCTTTGATAAGTAATACATTTAACGCTAATAATATAACATAATATATTATATCCATATTTGAAGTCTTAATTTAAAATTATTTAAACAGTTTCATTTCCTAAATAACATAACGCCGTAATCGCGATAAAATACCAAACAACTATAATGAGTTATCAGTTTTACCGTCTTTAAAATTGAATTATCGATTCGGCAGTCCAAGATAATTTTTTTTTTTTTTGGGGGGGGGGTTACCTCTCTATCTATGTTAAATGCTACATGCATTTTTAACGACAATGCTATTTATTTTTCAATTTTTAATTAACTACTTTATACCACCTAAATTTAAAAATGGAATATCTCGTAACGGGTTGACGGAAATAAAAAAAGTTGACACCAAAAATGTATTTATTTATTTAATACTACGTTTATCTATTTATTTTTGTTAGCAATGGTTTATCGTTGGTGACTAGTATATATTAAATGACTTTATGTATCTCACATTCCTAACAACCCATCTACAACAGTTAGTCAACAGCATCAGTCCTCATTTTTAGTTTAAAATTTGTTCCTAATATATCTATTATACGTATAGTAAAACAAATTCTAGAGAGAGGAGGGCGAGTGTACACTCAACTCCCCTCTAAATCACTACAAATTTATCACTTTGAGTTAGTAAAATTCAAAATTAATTTGAATTATTAAATAGGTAATTAAATGTCCGAAGATTTAAAGGAAAATGATAAAAAAAAATATTGAAAAAACAATTCTCACTCAACCGTTTTGATTCTCTATTAGAAATTATAAAAATATAATATAAATTGAGTAAACTATACAAATATAATGAAAAAAATATAAAATAATATTATAACGAAACCGTTTTCACTGCGTCTGTGCGTATCTGATTTCGAAGTTTGGAAGTCTTGTTTTGTCGAACGATAGGTAATAATGATGGTGATCGAATAATTTGATGGGAGAATAAAAGCAAAAAAAACCGAACACACGTAAACAAAAAAATAAATAAATAAATAAATACAACACTATTTTAATTAATAACTATAAAATTAATAATAATATTATTAAGCGCACACAAATGTGGACGACTGTTGCCGGCTGTTAGTCAAAATATACTCATAAGTAACAACTAATAACTAATGAGAGAACCAAACAAGTAACAACAGTACTATTACGTTTCGCGATGTTTCGACAGGTTTAGATTAGTATTACTAAGTCCATGTATTGTTGCGGCCCTGATAAAATGTATATTGTGGCGAAATGGCAGGCGTAGAAGAATATATCGTACATTGTGTAATTTAAGTTAAGAATTATTGCTAATGAAAAATGATTCCGAGCGAAATTAGATTAACGTGTTTTGAAATAATGCAATTTTACGATTTTTATAAAATTGTTAATCTAAAGAAACTTATTAAAAAAAAATTGTTTTTTGCTACTTAGTACAACTTTTTTCCCCTATTTAACTGAATGCGGTGAGGGATATTTAACCTTATGAAGAACTACTTATTAAATTTTCGATCATTTTTACTGGGCCAAATTATTTTTATCCACATTAAATTTATAAAAACTCAAAAATGTTTAATGCTCAAAAATTGTTAGAAAAATTTGAAAACATTAAATTACCAAGTTAAGAAATAGTTAATGTTAGTATTTGGTGAAAATATCAGTTCTTTACAATTATTTTACATTCTCTTACTACTATTACAATAAAAAAAAAAAAAAACCAAATTATTACAGAAACCATTATTACGTAAATATTCTCGTTTTCCTACGATTTTTCCTAATTATTCAGGAAACTTTAATGACCAAGATGTGAACTAACTAAAAAATAATTTGCTACCAGAATTTACCGAAAACTCACCAAGATAAATTTCGTAATTTAAATTTAAAAACTTTACGTTCAGTTAGGCTCTAATCTTTTTTGCATGATGTTGAGATGGATTTTTATCAATTTTATAATAATCATACATTTACAAAAAATACCATAGATTTCCAAAACAATTAACAGTATATTTTATGAACAAAATAATTAATCAAATTAATTTTTTAATAAATGGAATTTGTTTCAAACACTATAAAACTGTATAATAGTTGTGATAAACTAAGTGAAGATCTATTGGAATGTGATCATTATTAAATCATATGGATTTATATTTTAGTTTTTATGATTAATCACGCTGGTAAAATTAAAATGTGTGTTATCATTTGGAATAAGCTCTCTTTTTGGAAGAACTGTCCGAGACCCGTTGACCGTTATGAGTAGTGATAATTTTCAAACGTGATATTATGTATCAGTCGTACGATTAGATGCACTCCATGGGTTAGAGGACAGTTGTTTTAAATAATACGTATATATATATATACCTATAAACTCATATAATATATTTAAATTTGTAATGTTTAAATACTAAATACTATGTCATAATATGGTAAAATTGCTTCGTCTGCTTTAAAGTGCTTATGTCGGACATAAATTGAAAATAAAACAGGATTTGTACACGTTGGTAGCCTTTAATTTTGTGTATAGTATGGTACAGCATAACCGGGTCCAGTTTTCAAAAACTGTTATTATAATTTTCAGACAACTGCTTATCAATTGCGTTATGAGTGGTGCTTCTAATAAATACATATATTTATTTAGCAAGAAACAAACATAAGGTACCTTATGATTATTTATTAGATATTATAACAATAATTTGAAATGGTTTATTATTTAGTATGTGGCTATCATGAACGCTAAAAATTTTTATTTTCAACATAAAATTGTGAAAATTGTATACCAACCTCTACATAAGTGTACAATCCTGTGCTATGAATAATTCCTGTGAATGGTTAATATTAATTTGTTCTGTGGATATAATCAGGTACGTATACAGGGGGGGGTTCAAACCCCTTTCAAAAATTAATAGTTGTGTAGTTTATTTATATAAATTTAATATTTTTTAGATTCCGAGTGGAGCGAAGAAGCTTTTGGTTTTACAAAGATGTTTTTTTTTTTTTTTTTTAATCGTTTAACAACTTCTCTACTAGAATAATTGCCAGGATTTCTAAGTGTAGCACCTTTTCTGAAAGAAAATCGGTATAGGGAGGTATTTTAGGGAGGTATTTTTCGATTTTCTCATAAAATTTGAAAAACTGTAAAAAAAAAGAGAAAGTATAAGAAATGTAGTTATTAAAAAATATTACGGCCTTCTTTTTTTCTGTTTTTTCAACTTTTCTACCAGTAGTTTTGTTTCAACTTTTAATGATAGCAGTGTTTTTAAAAGGAAATTTCACTAGGGAGATACTTTAAAAAGGCAATTTTTAGATTTTCTCAGGACTTTTCCCAGAAAATGTGAAAAATATAGAAAAATCAGAAAAACGTAGGAAAACCGGGAAAATCGGTACAACAATAAACAAATATTAAAGAAAATATATAAAGCCATTTAAATTATTTTGCCACAATATGGCATATATATATTGTTGAAAAAGCATCATTATTAACTGAACTCCACTCAGAATCGTTTTTTGTAAATAATGGTTTATCGTTGTTTAAAATAGTATACATCAAAATACCTATAACAGTGGTTGCACTTGTCCCCATATCCTAGGACGACTTTTTTTTAAATATTAATTATTGTACATTTTTTATGAACTTCCTCCCCCGAATTTTTTTTTTTATGTACGTGCCTGGGTATAATATATTAATTTTTAAACGCAAATGTTAGGTACTTAATTGTTTTTATTAGTTTCCAATATTATTTTAATCCACAGTTTCTTTATCGTCGTTCGTAAGACCTATGTCAATAGTTTTTATTTTAATTATATAATTTAGCAAACACATTTTAAAAATGTGTACATCATCCAAACTCACACAAAACAGGTTTTAAAGTGGATTTAATATATATTTACATAGGTTCAATAGGTGCATAGGTGTAATTCAGTGATTGATATACTATATACTGTTTATACTATTCAATAGTACAAGTACAATAATAAAATAATATAAAATAATAATTACTACTAAAAATAACTCTACTAATTTTACTTAATATTATAAATATAGTTTGTGAAGATGTTTGGGTATTTGTTAATCTTTCACGTAAAAAGTACTGAACGGATTTTGATGAATTTTGGTCCTTGGACAAAAACATAGGCTACTTTTTGTCGCGAAAATAAAATTATAAAGAGATGAATTAGGGGATGAAAAAGTTAGGTTAGGTATCTATGGTATGAAAATTAAATTACTTTTGTTGAATTATGGATCACCATAGTAACATGGATGAAATGGAAAAAAATGTATAACAAAAAAATAAAAAAAGGACGGACATACTTTGCACGTGGGTAGGAAGGAAGTTGGAAAGATAGGATAAAGACGAGAATTTAATGTATATCTGTAAGCAACGATAAACCATTGTTATCGAAAAAACGATTCTGAGCGGAGTACAGTTAATAGTGTTGCTTTGTCAGCAATATAATATACATATTATGTCATAAAATAATTAAAACAATAAGCGGTTACATGACAACAATGATTTTTGAAACAAATATTTAAAATAATGAAGCCTTAATAATAACAAAAAATAAATAAAAACTGTTGCCAATTATAATCTTATTTTTAATCTTTCAATCTTTTTTAACTTAAAGAAACAGATTTTCCTCATTATCTCGAATTTTAATGATAATTTTTAAAAATGACCTCTTTAAAGTATCGCCCAGAAAACATTTTTTTTCAGAAAAAGTGTTATACTTGATATTCGGAGTATGCTATTTTGAAAAAAAATTGTTAACATAAAAAATAATAAATAAACATTATTATAAAACCAATACATTCCTCAGAATCTAAAATGTCATAACATCTATAACAATTTAATATAAATCTAATAAGTCATTTGACTGTCTGTCGGTCTATTACTAATTTGAAATAGGATGAGCTATTTTGGTAACTTGGATGAAAATAAAAACTAAAAACTATGTACTGTACAGGGTGGGTAAATGAAAAGTGAAAATACGTAAAACACGTCATCTCTGAATCTTTGTATTTTTTGGTACAGTAACAACATACAGTACTTTTATGTCCTCATCATTTTAGGGTTATTATAGTGGATGTATGTATAGTTTAATCTCTGTGTTGTATAATGTATAATTCACTAGAACACTTTTAGTCCGCTTTTAAAGAGCTACTTTACTAATATAAAACAGTCACTAATTTTATGTGTTTAAATTATTATTTATTTTTTTTTATTTAATATTAGAACATTTGTATTTTATTTATGTTTTTTAATTGTGAGAACAGTTGCCTATATGATGTATATATATATATTATAAATAACTAATTATCACCTATGTAAATTTAATATTGTAATGACGATTTGTGTTTTTAATAAGGAAAAATAACGATTGTCGAATATTTAAATTTAAATATTTTGGTCCAACGGAATTTTGTTTTTAGTTACAGCCTTACACGCCACTTATTATAACAGAGCAGTGGTGTTGGACGTAACTTGAAAATATTAATAAATATATTTGGTAATAAACAGGTAATTTTACATGGGTCATATTTTTGCTTTATTAGCGTTGGACCAAATAATATCATCTAGTGTCACTGAGTACGTACTTTAGATGATTCAATTAATGAACCACTTGAATTGGGTGGGTGTTGGCCCAGGGTGGTAAGTATATAATTTAATAGAAATAATTGTATTATACTAAATTTGTTGAATTGATACCTGTTTGTTAATGGGCCACATAATGTTTCCAAATGAAAATGTACCAGTTAAAAAGGGAAATTTTAAATTTCAAAATTTAATTTACAATTATTCAATTGTATTTATGAGTATCTAGCGGTTATTAGTATGTATTAGTGAAACATAAATATTAATTTTACTCACAAAAAACTGCAATGCAATAATTTATATTGATGTAATCATTCTTGTTAAATAAATCACAATTTCATATATTTTGTACTATTTAAAAATCCAGTTTAAATAATTTATTTTTGTAATACAACACTTAATATTATAAAATAAGAGTCTAATGATGTTATTGATAATTTTATGAAAACGATACTTGCTAAAATATTATTATTATGACCACAACCAATACAATAATAAAATCGCTTACTAAAACAGATTAATTTAGCATTTTCATATGGCTTTTCACCGTCTTTCACGTTGTTTCGATAATATTATATTATTGTATGGCCTAATGATAAATATTTCGATAAAATTAGTTGCATAATTTTTGTTGCTGTACGGTTAAACATTATGTTCCATGATTTTAATATTTACGGATTTCACAATTTTTAATTCAATATTGCTTCAAAAATAATTATTACACGTTCGATGATTCACGATTTCAATTTGAAAGAAGCTAAATCATTATCAATTAAACAAAAAAAAGAAATTGTTAATTATGTATTAAGCATTTTAAAAATTGATCAAAAAGATACCACAATTCAAGATACAATTAATATTGTGAAAAACGATTTGAATAAATCATTTTTCAACAGGTAATATATTTATTTTACTTAAGTGTATAATTTAAATATGACTACTATTTCTAACAATTCAAATTCATTATAGATATTTTTATAAATGATATTTTTGTTCAAGAATGAAAGACCAATTTCTGAAAGAAAATCACAATTGGCTTGAGACGTACTTAAATTTTCTGATGCTGTGAACAAGCTTATATTCGATGAGTTTCAAAGTCAATAATTTTGCTTTAAATGTATATAAAATATAAATTTATATACAAATACTTTATATGTATATAAATATAAATATTTATTCTTAACTTTTTTTTATTTATATACTTTTCGTTACATTAAAATTTTAAAATATTATATTTATTATGTTTTAGAGGTAGCAAACTGCACTCTAGGTGGATCGAGGAAATACTTTAATTTTAGCTCCGATAGGTCTAAACGGAGAAAAACGTTTGAATTAAGATTTTCAGTATCACCACTATAACTCATGCAACGTCTTCTAGTTTATTTAATGTAGCATATCGCATTAACATAAAAAATGGAATTTTTCCTTTAAATTTAGTGACAAAAAATAAATGGAAGAACAGAAAAAAAGAATTCAGAAAGACTACCGCGAAAAAACTGGATTATTGTTGAATATTCCAAAACAAAGTTTTGGAACCATTAATGATGGCGATATGGCAAGGAGATATTTTAGTGATCCACAATTAGTATCTCAAATAACCCGAGTCAATGAAAAATTAATTAATCGTTTTGCCAAAATTTCGAATGTCCTTGCAAGTGGGTTTGAAGTCAATTATGTGGATTTTGAACGATTTTATACTAAAACAACCGAGTATTATTTTCAATGTTACCCTTGGTACTATATGCCCCCTACGGTACACAAAATTTTGATATGTGGGTCAAGCGTAGTAAAATTTGATCTACTGTCTATAGGCTAACTTTCAAAAGAAGATTTGGAAGTAAGAAATAAGGACATAAGAAATTTTCGACTAAATCATACACGCAAATTTTCCTGAATTATTACCAATCAAGATTTTTTTCAGAGACTTTTATGTACATCTGAGCTACATATACTCTACATATTACTATAAGTTTAAAGAATTTGCCAGAAGAGATGAACAATTTGATTATTTTAGAGGAATCTAATAATAATGAATCTGTTAGTGATGATGGCAATAATTAATAATAAATATTAAGTAATCGAAATAATTTAATTTTTGTTATAATTGTTAATACTTATTTTGCTATCAATTAAATTATTTTTCTTATTTTTTGAAACGGTTAAATTCAAATTCATAATTTTTAAGAATTTATCAGTATTAATAGACGATATTATAATTGTTATTAAAATTTCTGATTAATAGAGGTATTGACAAAAAAAAAAAAAAAAATTGGTTCAGCAGTTCAAATATTATGAACTTTAATTTATAAATTAAACATTTTGACCGACATATTTTTATTTGGAAACACTCTGGGCCATTGGGTGAGTGGATGGGTTGTACGAGTATGTTCTATAAATTAATGATTAGATCCAACATTTTTTTAAAGAATCCGGCATCACTCATACCGTCTCGTTAATTTTATACTCTTCCACTTGTATAGGTATACCTTAATTGAATAATTTGTTTCATACATTATTACCTAACAATAATAATGTTGTCATTGTATTTATTATTATAAATAACAGTTAAATATAATATAAGATTGAATATAATATGTCTAAATATTATGATACCTGTGCCTAATTAACACAATGTGTTCGATATAGGAATTTATAAAGCCAAGGCCGTTTCTAGACTGTTGGTGGTAGAGGAGGGGGGACTATGTAGGATCTCGGAAATGTATTATTATTATATGAACTCCTAGTGTTCAATTGAATTAATATTAAACTAGATACCGTTTAAATAAACCTATGTGAGTACGTAGGTACGTGTTTTATAGTAAGTAATCGATTTATAAAATTTAGACATCTGTATAGTTCGAAAAGTATTATAGGTAATAACTTATTACTAGTATACTAATAAGTATACTCATTTTTGCGCAAATTCTGTGTACGATATGGTTAGATATTTAACTCGTGTTTTAAAAAAAAATTATTTTAAATTTATTTTGTACAGATTTTAATATTTTAATACTTCGATCATTGTACAGTGTATTATGCGTATTTATTTTTTTCATGTTAAAAAAGTATACTAATTATTGCCTACTTTTGACGTTCGTAATTATTTACCCAAACTTGACCGTTGTTGTTTTACATTTTTGCAGATGATTTGCATTAGAACTACTTATGCGAATATCATAATTTATAAAATGAAGGTTAAAGTCAGTATAAACACAATGTGCACGCATCGGCTATAGGCTTTAAGAATACCTAATTTAACAACTACGCACAAATTATTATAAAATACCCGCGCCAAGTATAACCGAGTAAACTAAAATTTAATTATTATAAGTTTTATTGGTCACATATAATATTATAAAAAATTACAAATTAAAAAAACGTCCTATGATATTGGGTACGGGTGCAGCCACTGTTATAGATAATTTAATAATGTATACCTGTAAGTAATGATTTATCGTTGCTGATTTTGAGCGGAGTTCAGCTTATAGTGATACTTAGTCAACATTATATATGTTGTATTATGGTAAAATAATTAAATAGGCTTTATATATTTTCTTTAATAATATTTGTTTAATGGTGTACCGATTTTTTCAGTTTTCCTACGTTTTTCCCGATCTCAGTTTATCACATTTGCTGGGAATACTCTTGGAAAAATCGAAAAATGACTTGTTTAGAGTATATCTCCACGCCGATTTTCTTTCAGAAAAGGTGCTACACGTAGAAATCCGAGCAAGACTTATGGTAGAAAAGTTGCGTACAGTTAAAATAAAAAAAAATTAAAAATTTTTATAAAGCTATAAGCTTCTTCACTTCACTCAAAATCTAAAAGTAAAATATACCTTTTGTATTTTCCGATTAATGTAATTTTCAATTAAATGAAAAAACTTATCGAATTTGGTTTAATACAGCGTTAGATTAGGTTAGGTTAGATTCTTCATTTATTTTACCAGCTTTTTGGTTCAAGCGATTGTATCTGAATAAGTTTTACTCCAATCCAAACCCGGATTAAGATAATTTTGGGTTTGAGGCCAAACAATTTTATGGGTCCATAGGCATATTTAAAATATTGGTACTTATACGGTACTACCAGCCAACGTCAAGGGCCCGCGATATCTAGTGGCCTTAGGCCATGATCCCCTCCTTAGTCCGGGCCTGCTCCAATCAAACTTTATATAGCACTTCGGATCGTATTGGTATGATCTAGTGAAATTAATTCTATAAAAACAAATTTGGATTTATCGTCAAGTACTCAATTCTACTAGAGATAAATTGTTGAGTTTTTAACCATCTAAATCTTAAAAAAATAGGAATTAGAAATTGTCATATTTCAATTTTCGATTCATGTTTCCATCTAAATTAGAAGTTCCAATTATAAAATATATAAGATCATAGATGGATAGAAATACATAGAAATTGATGGAAAAGTAGTCAGTAGTGGGTGGGTTATGGATAGTGATAGACACTTTTGAATAGTTTATATTATCGATAGTTATTGAAGATTTTGTTAATATATTTTTTTAAATGTCCGAATATTTAAATTCTACAAAATTACCGAATATTTGAAAAACTATTCAAATAGTTTCTCCCACAACTGAATAAATACTTTTTCTTATATTAAATATTCGAATTTCGAATAATTTTTTCCACTACCTAATCTAAATTATTCAAATATAAGCTATTCGAATAAAACTATTTAAATTGTTTTTTCCATGACCCAATAAAATCCATTTCAAATTTGTTTTCCATAAGTGAATAGTTTTCAATTTATCGAATAGTTTGAATCCGATCAACTATCGAATAATTTAGTAGTTGCTTATCGATTGTGCCCATCACTAAGTTTAGGTGCATACAATTTTTTAATTTCTGGTATTTTTAACGCATTCGATCAATTTAAATTTTAAGTGCTCGAAATTTTATATTGCCTGTGTTAAACTATTTTCCTTTAGCTATAAAAATAATTCAAAATACGTACAATAAGCAATGTATTCAATGGTTCAACTTTTTTAATAAGTAAGACAAAAATATATAAAACAAATTGCGAATTTAAAATAGAAAAAAATAACTGAGAAGAGTAAACATATTTTGAAAATTGCCTAAACCATGCTAAATAGTAGTAAAAAATTAGTATTAATATACCGTTCAAGTAGCCGTGGTTATTGAATTACTGTATAGTTGTATAAAATGTGATTAAATAAAATAATAATTTAAAGTACTTTCACACTTAATATTAATATAATAATTCGTGTGATATTTCTGGTATACTTGCATTTTAATATTTATCATAAGTATTTGTGTATTATTATGCGATGTTCGTAAGAAATTTTATTAATAATTAGCTATTCTATTTTCCGGTGTTTTTATTCATAATAATTGAAATGCTTGAAAAAAAAACTTGGCTTTTGTTCAATAAATGTATAGCCAATAATATAAATTAAAAAAAAAAAATAAACTAATATAATACAGCGCGCAAAGGAATAAAAATAGGGTATTGTAAATGGCACGACGCCATAATTCCCAAAACTACTGAGAATGACATTTAAAATATGTATATAATTACATATATACATTATCATATTATATTATGATATATCTTAAAACTAGGAAATAAATAGGTTTTCTTGGAAAAAACAACTCATGTTCGATATAAGTACTTGTTTTCAGTACTATAAGATTTATGTATTTACATTTAAGATTTACTGTGATAGTTTGATTTAGTTTATTTATACATATATATTATTTTATATTGAATACTTTTACTTTTATCATTTTAAATGCAAATTTTTTGAAAAAACAAAAAATAAATATCCTTTATTAATCGAGTTAAATTAAAATCTTTTTGCATTTTAACTGCTTTTAACTGAAAGTTTTTTTATTTCTTTAACTTGATTGAGTTGATTATTTTTACTAAATTGGCAACCTTTGTCTATAGGTATAGAATATATTAAGTGGAAAAGGTATAGAAAAGAGAAGACTGTACAATAGGCAGGTCATCTATGGAGAAAACAAGAGAATTTGACAGATATAGTATTACAGGAGGATTCGAATGGAAAAAGACCTTTGGGAAGACCATCACGTCTTCACTGACAAGACAGCGTAAGTAGACACACGTAACTGCAGAATACAGCATTGGCCAGAAAAAAAAGAACAAATTAGATTTTTATTTTAATAGATTACATTTTATATTTTAATATATTATGGTTATTTACCATTTAAGTCTAGAGATTCACGTGAGATGTCAATAAAAAAAAATATTAGCTTGTATTTAGTCATATTCACGAAAAAAAATATGAATCAACACAATATATCAGTATATGTTTATATATAGACTCAATACCTACTAAAACTATGACTATACGTACCAATACGAATTCAGGATCAATGTTAATTTATAATCATAGGAAATTTTAATGATTTGTGTAATTCACTTTTATGTAACAAAAAATATTATACATAATACAAAATGCATGACGTAGAGATAATAGGTACTTAATGAGTAATATATTAATGGAACATTGGAACATATTACTATAAAATACCTAGTGGTGCCCAGCTTATATGCAAGGTATAGAGTCCGTTATGCCTCTAATGAACAAACTCTAAATAACGTTAAATGTTATTTAATTTAAAACAAAAATTGTATAAATAAATCAATTGACTAAACAGAAATGCCTAAAAATTTAATAGGAGGTTCATTAAGTCTTACTTTGTGGTCAAAAAAACGAATTTGAGTTTGTAAGTTTGAGTTAATGTAGTATTTTTTTTTTTATAAAAGAATTTTAATATCAAATTTTGATAAAAATCTTTCGAGTAAAAATTATGTGGAACAAATATAATTTTTCAATTTTAGATACTGAGTTTAATGAAGAATGTATTGGTTTTACTAAGATATTTATAGATTTTTTAAATCTCTTTATACTGTGTACAAAAATTCTAACAGAAATCTTCCTTAGATATTTATGAACGGCACCATTTCTGAAAAGGAATGTTGTCCAGATGGTAATTTTGGGAGATAATTTATCAATTTTCTTTACGGTTTTCATAATATCAGAGAAAAACCAGGATAAAAACGTAAAAAATATAAAACGGGAAATTTATGAAAATAATGCTTTTATTATTTTTCATTAAATGCAGGTATTATTAAAAAAATATTATGACCTTTTTTTTTCTATGTACAACTTTTCTACTAGCAGTTTTACTCTGTTTTACATTGATAGAACTTTTTCTGAAAGTAAATCTGACTGGGAAGGTATTTTAGGGAGGTCATTTCACGATTTTTCCAAGAGTGTTTTAGTAAATGTGATAATTCGGGAAAAACATAAAATACTGGAAGAACGCATGAAAAACGGAAAAATCTTTCAGAAAAGGTACTACATTTAAAAATCTGAGCAAGTCTACTGATAGAAAAGTTGCACACAGATAAAAGAAAAATAAACATCTTTGTAAAACTATAAGCTTCTTTGCTCCACTCAAAATCTAAAATACAAGTAATCATTGTAATACACTTTTGATATTTTTAGACGATTGTTGAATAGATATCCTTTTTTCCCGCTATGCTACGGATCCTTCTTGATTAAAATACTTAGTAAAGTTCTTTCTCACAATCTTGGTACTTTTTAATTGCTGACTCCTCATTTTACGTTGTAGATTATGCATTCTTCAGGGTCATATCTTTTTCCTAATTCCACACAATGTTCGATAATATTTTTACCTGTCTATGCTTCCAAGAGGCGTATAACTTTGGGAGTGATATTTTACTCAAGACATTGTGTAATACCCAAATTATGCCTGAATGGCAGTCTTTATGTTTTCTATCTTTAAATTAATGTGAAAACCAGAAGCATAAATTCCGTAAGTGTTGTTAACTATGCGTCGCGGTCGTGCCTTAGACAAATAATAGCTAAAAATTCTTCTTTATTTATTTAGAAAGTCTCGGTTATAAAGTTTGATAAGATCTGATCACATTTTAAGAGCCTTATCACTTACAAAACGTACTCAAGAACTAGATTTGGACGTGGAAGTTCAGTAGGTTCTGAAATTTTCGTCGTTGATGAGTTTTTCTATAAAATTTTGTATGATTTAGTACACTATTATCAGAAACATGGTCATTAGTACTTATACTACAGTAAATATATTCACAATTTGCATTTGTTATAGTCATCAGAAATTCAGAACTATACTGTGAGTTTTTTTTAAAGTTTAAATAGTAAGATCCACTATCTTTATCTGAATATGTTTCTTGTATCAAACCTCGGTAATACGGGAACTGCCATTTGTTTTCGAAATCAGCTGCAATGTCCAGCGAATCCTTAGAATTTTTAAGTAACTTAAAAAAATAATAAATACCGTATAGGTATTTAATATAACCTTAATGAGGTTTTTATTAATTATTCCAACATTTAAAATATTAAATCGAAATAATAAATACGCAGTGCACATTATGAATTATAGTTCAAACATATTTAAAATTTTGAAACGTAAGTCTCTTATTAATATTTAAAATAAAAATATTTATTACGCAATAATGTGTCGATTTATAGACAATTAAGGTGGAATGACAATAAATTATTTATAGCTTACGGTGAACATAGGTTTTAATTTGATTTTGAGTTTGAGTAACCAGTATGTTTATCAGAACAGTGTTTTATATTTTTCCAGTGTGATGAAATTTGGAATCCAAGTTATCAAGAACATACTGATCCAGCAGAAAGTTCAGCTAATTAAAGCAGTCAGCCGTCTATTGCAAATCATTCATGGGGACCATCTAGTAAAAGGCATAGCACGTACGACTAATGAAATAGTAGAGGATGTGTTGACAAATGCGACACGGCCGTGTGGTGTTAATATGCTGTTTTTATGGAAAGTATTTTTTATTTTGTCAAAATTTTAGTACTGAAGATGTTTGGTCTTTTAAAAATAGTTTATTGAGAATTTACCACTTTTTTATCGCCTTTTTGTATGTGTACAATAACGCAAGTACACAAATGATCTCCTCCGATGACATTGTAGTTTGTCTCTTGTAATTATCTATTGGAGAAATACTAATGGCAGAAAACATAAGACGTACAAATTTTAAATAATGGAACCGTTGTGTTGTAATTTGAAAAAATCGTGTTTTTCGCTTTTTTTGGCTTTTCCCAATTGTTAGAAAAATTCCTTTGGATAACGAAAAACGACCTTTTTTGAAAGTAGCGAAATATTATAAAAAACATAATCAATATCTTGTCATTTTTGGAATGGAGCAATATTTCTAGTATAAAACATTGTGTTAACATAATAAAACCAATAAATCGGTAACGTCGTTGCGCGCCGTAAATATAACATAAATATTGTAATAATATACTTTGGAGCAAGATTTTTGGTAGAAAATTTGTTCATAGATAAAAAAAATTGTAAAAAACCATCATTGTAAAACCAATAGATCCATCTCTACACTCCGAATTCAAAATGTACTAAACATTCTTTTGTTACGTGTACACGATGAAAATACAAACATATATTTTTGTCATAAAGACAGTATAAATAAAAGAGTTGAGAAGGTAATTTATGTAAAATTATTTTATTTATATATGTGATCAACGATAAATCATTATTAACGAAATAGTATTCTGAGCGAAATTCAGTTACATGTTTCGAAATGCTGTAATATTTACAATTTTCTAATTTTGATCCTCAAATGATTATTTGAAAAAAAAAAAATTGTACCCATATCAATCGTTTGTACTTGATTCTATCCCAAGCCCGTCGTTTGTACCTCAACGGTTTTCAAATTATCTCAAGTTTATTTTTGGAAGTTGCACGCCCATCGTTAAATTTTGAGTTAAAAACCATATCAATCATTTGTGCCTCGTTTGTAACTGATTGTACCTCGAATCTCATAGTTTGTACTTCAACGGTTATAATTTGGTTTTCCGTTTGTTGGTCGTTTCGTTTTTATATAGGTCTGTGTATAAACCTAGGTAATTAAGTAACTTTATTAATTCAGTAATTCTGCCATTAGAAATTAAAATACAATAATGTCAATACCTTTAATTTATAATAATTAATCAATAAATATTAATTTTCATTAAATTCACGTTTTGATTCTGAGTGGGACGAAAAAGCTTATGATCTTACAATCATGTATAGTTTTTTGAAAAATGTACAAATGTATGGTAAAATATTACGTCCTTTTTTTTTATTGCATTTTTTCTGAAAGGAAATCTGGTAGGGGTAGGTATAATAAAATATAATTTTAAGTGTGTTCAGGAAGATCAATTTTTAAATTTCCCAGCTATTTTCATAATTAATTTTCATTAATTAGAAAAACTGGGAAAAAACGTATAAAACCGAATAAAAGTTACAATATTAAAAAAAATACTACCAAAATGATAAATATGTAATTATTTTACAATAGTATGACATACATATATTGTTGACAAAGTAATACTATTAAATGAACTCCTCTCAGAATCGTATGTTCATAAGCAATGGTCAATTATTGCTTACATCTTAAACAGTAAATTACTTTGATGTACTAATTGTAGTAATTGATGTACTAAATGTACTAATTCATTCATTTATTATGCCAGTAAAAGCTAGATACATTATATATTGACTTTTGAAACAGCAAAAATAACATTAATTTAGATTATAGTTGTTCGTAGCTATATTTACCAAAAATTATATTGTATAGATTAGAATTTGGTAGTTTGTGGCAACAAAATTTGATTTTGAAATTCTAGGTGAAGTAGATAAATCGTCATGCCTCTCAAATGTTTTGGTTGCATTTCTCCAACAATATGCTCTATACTTGGAGTTTCTTTGAGGTAGTTGAACAAAAACTAATAATTCCTGGAAGATTAAACATTTTTTGTACGTTTACGATCTTAGGAATCTAATATAACACTATAGGAATATCCAATTTATCATTATTAGATCTTGAGTGTAGCGAAGAATGTATTAATTTTACTGAGATGTTTCTTCTTTTTTCTTTCTTTATACTGCGTACATAAATTCTACCAGAAATATGGTTCCGATATGTCCACGTGGCGCTATTTCTGAAAGGAAATATTGTCCAGATGATATTTTTGAGAGGTTATGATTTTTTGATTATCCAAACGATTTTCAAAATATCAGGGAAAAACCACGATAAAACTTTTCTACTAGCAATTTTGCTCCTACTTATAATGATACCAATATTTCTAAAAGGAAATTTCACTAGGAAAGTACTTTAAAGAGGTCATTTTTCGATTTTCTGAGGATACCATTTAATTTTGATTTTCGTTGAAATTTACTTAAAACTATTTATAAAGACTTGAAAATTTGATAGAAATCTTGTATTGGACTTTTCTATTACTAATTGTTTATTTTTTCATGTCCATCTACCCAGCACCTCCAACCTAAATTTTCATGTTGCTACTAATACCAATCGTTTATACCTTATTTCTTCGAATTTCATTGTTTGTATCTCAACAGTTTTAGTGATATTTCCGTATGCTGATGTAGTTTATTTTATTTGAAAATGTAATTTGTTTTTATATAAGTCTGTATATGAACCTATACCATAAATAATTCTTTAGATGCCGTTCGACATTCAAATACATCAATAATCAGTACCATTAATTTAAGGATAATGAATTTCATGAATGGTTTTCGAATTAGCTGAAGTTTTACTTTTAGGAGTGCTGAGGAAGCGCTGCCACCTTCATTTTTAAATTTCGAGTTGAGTTTGAAGCCATTATTAATTATTTATATGTCGTTTGTACCTAATTCTACCTCGAGTGCCATCCTCAACTTAAACTGTTCTTGTACAATTAAATTTTCGATGTGAAACATTTTTACAAATTATTCTTCATTATTGGCAGTTGAAAAGTGCGTTAATTGTTCTCGCACTAAAAAAAGAAAAACAATTTCATTTACATAACCGACTGAAAACTTGGATTCCCTAAATGATGCGTTATCATCAATGTTTGTACAGAGTCTGAAGACATGTAAAATTGTAAAACTGGAAACATTAAAGTTATTAACGAATATGTAAAACAAATATTTATTGAGCCGTATTAACCACTAACAACGAAACAAAAAAAGATGTCCTAGGGTAATGGAGATGGATCTGCATCCGTAGCTGCCTACTGTTATAGATAATTTAATGTATATTTGTAAGCAACGATTGACCATTGCAAATGAAAAAAATAATTCTAAACGCAATTCAGTTGATAGTGATGCTTTGTCAACAATATATGTGTCATATTATTGTAAAATAATTAAATAGGCATTGTATATTTTCTTTAATAATATTTGTTTAATTTTGTATCGATTTTCCTGTTTTTGTTGTTAAGTGTTAACCTAAGCCACCTGCGTGCGCAGATCTTGTTGGCAGGGGAGCAGAAAATGTATATGTATATATATATATATATATATTATTATATATTAAATATTACATGCAATATAATTAAATATTATCTTGGTTATTAGTAAGTTCAATAAATATTTAATTATAAATTGAAAATAATAAATAATAATTAAAATTACACAGATTTTGGAAAAAATTTAGTCCACAGGTGGACAGCTGCCACCCTGCCACTTCCTGTACACACGCCTATCGTGGTAACACTGTTATTGACGCATCATCGATTTTTAAATGAACTAATTCAGTATTTGTCAGTCACGCATACAAATATTTCTTTTACATTTTTTACTCATTTTAAGCGTCGAGTTAAATGTCAAAAATGATCGAAATGGAGTCTCATCAATCGAATTTACCGAAGGGCCCTCGAACATTGACTCTTACAAGTGACGATTCTGGCTTCGGTTTTACCTTCCGCCGCAAATACAGACGGTGCTCTGGCAAAATTAATGGATTTTTTTTTCCTAATGATATCCCGAAGGTTACGTCTGTAATCGAGGGTGGAGCCGCTCACCGAGGAGGGCTTCGTGCAGGAGACAGGATATTAAAAATGTAAGATAATAAAAATTGTCTTTGAAAAAAAAAAAAATAATAATAAATTTGTGTAGATAGTTGTGACCTACTTTTTTTATTCAACTATAATAAATGAATTTCTGCTTGTTTTGCAAACAATCCGTAATTTAAAATTGTTATTTTTATTTTCATAGAGGTGACATATTATATAATAAATTTGAAGTACACGAAATTCAAGAATTGATTGATTCATGCGTTGCAGGCAATAAAACTTTGGAATTGAAAATTATCACACCATTGGTATGATTTTTATTAAATTGAGTGACATACCATTAGTCTGTTGTATTGATCTTACAACATGAATCTTTATTTGTAAAGTTTTCTTTACTCTCAAAATTTTTATGAAATATACTATTTTGAGAATATTAATGAAAATGTACAGCTTAAATTATTTTAATTATTTTAATGTTTTTTAACCATAGAAATTATGATTATTGGATATTTTCACAAACATAAAAAGAAAACTAACTTGAATATTTTGAACGAAAAACCCAACATTCAACAAGGGAAATTATTTATTTGCTTTTGCAATTTTGCATATTTGTATTGATTGATTAAAAAATGTTTAATTTATACTAAAGCGGTTTTCATGACCTACCGATTGCCCATGGTTTGAACTTTGCATAATGTTAGAACTTTAAAAAACTATAATTTTGAAATTATATCAGTCCGCTCAATTCTTACTTCACCATTGTTAAATCGACAATATACACATGTTCAAAACAAAAAATTGAAATTTTAGATTTGTTCCACATAATTTACTTGAAAGATTTTCGTCAAAATTTTATATTAAAATTCCTTTATAAAAAAAATACTACATTAAACTCAATTTTTTTTTTTTTGATTGATTTTTAATTTTTCAAGCGGTTTTTATCATGAAAAACCTGGATAAAGTGTCGATAAAACGAATAAAAATGTAGGTAATAGTAAAAAAATATTATGACCTTTTTATTTTTCTATGTACAACTTTTTTACCAGCAATTTTGTTCAGATTTAAAATGATAGCACTTTTTCTAAAAGAAAATCTGACAAGAAAGGTACCTTAAGGAGGTAATTTTGATTTCCCCAGGAGTTTTTCCAAAAAATGTAAAAAACCGGGAAAATAGACATAAATAGACAAAGTATTACTTTAAATAAATATTGGTGTTAACATTTTTAATTTTCGTAACTAATAACACTCGACTTGTGACTACTCTTCCTCTCTCTGAACACAAAAGTGAAATATCCTGTCAAATGGCTGAAAGAGATGAAAAATGTTAATACCAAAATTTATTTATAGTAATACTTCGTCTATTTATGGGATTTATAATATAAGTTTTCCTTTAAAATACTATAGTTTCACCGAAGGAATACCTTAGAAAAAAATGCCGTATAATTATACTATTTTCCTGTTTGTTGGGAAAAATCCTGGAAAAATCAAAAAATAACTTTCTTAAATTACCTACTCAGTCAAATTTCTTTACAGAAAAAGTCCTTCATTTGTAATTTAGAGCATGATTTTTGAAAGAAAAGTTGTTTACAGATAAACAAAAAAAAAGTAATGATAATAAACATTATAAAGCCAATACATTCCTTGCTCAACTTAGAATAGGGTAAGGACGTTTACTGAATCATCCTGTACTTATTCCTGTAAATATTATTGCATAGTCACGTTTTTAGTTTGTACAAAGTTTTTTTTATAATAAACGGATATAGAGTGGGCATATAGTACAGTTAATAAATTACATAGGGAATTAGTTAACACATTTGTGAACTAAATAATTGTTTATTTTTATTTAAATTTACAGGCCTTTCAAAGAGCATTCTATCAAAATATGTCATTTTTTAAAAAGGTGGAAATGAATGTCTTCTCTCTCGGTTTGCTTTATTTTTAGGCCATTTCTACACAATGGAAATGTAAATATTTGTAGTTATAATTGTTGAAATTACATTTTATTGTATAAAATACATTTAGAAATTAGTAATTTGGTACCTTCGCTTTTTTACCATGCAAAAATATTATAATAAATAACTGAATGCATCATTTTATATAATTTGTATATATTTCAATGCATAATATTTTAATACCATAATCTCCAATCGTTTGCAATGTATGTAAATAATACACTAGTAATATAATTTAGATTAAATATGATGTATTAAATAATTTAAGAATTATAACTTTCTTACATAAGTTATCTATAATCAGTGATGTAGTCCAAAAAAAATTCATGGGTACACGATTAAATTATTAGAAAAATTAATGTGAGGGCTCTGCTTCTCTAAACTTTGTCTACTTTTCTACATACAATAAATTTTACATTTTTTTTTTAACTGTAAGACTTACATATATTACCTCAAATTTAAGTAATGTATTTAGGTCCTAAATAATAATTAGTACTTATTTAAATTTATAAACAGTGGTGTTCCCATTAATTTTTTTGAGAGTATACTGTAGATATCATCCAATTTTTTATGTTTTTTGTTGATTTTATAGAAAAATAAGTATACAACAAATAAATTAAAATTTCTAAAATAAATTACTTGACATTTTTAATTATAATTATTACTAAAATAATACAGTTTTTCGGTTAGGTTGCAGTTCAAGTGATGCAAGTGGTATTAACGAGTCATAATAATAATAATATATCATGACGGTTTTTTTTTTTGAACTATTTGGGAGTATACGAGGTGTGGCTATTAAATAACGAGACTGCTCGCCTAGAGAGGGCTCTAGATGGGTAGTAAAAAAAACGAGTAATGCGTTGGGTATCTAGATATCTTATGTATGCACGTATCAAAATACGTTTTCGTCACTAAAATAGTATTTGAATGTAGAATAATTTTTATAATAAAACACTTTTTCGTAACTAGTCTCGTTATTTAATAGCCACACCTCGTACACAGTATACCAATCAATAAATAATCGAAAAATGTTGAGAGAATACAGCAAATATGTAGCAAACCTTATAGCTTATGGGAACACCACTTATTATTTAAAAACTAATAAAAAAGGGTTTTTATTTCTTTTATATTAAACTATATATTTAGAATAATACAAAACCTCGATGAGGTCGTCCAGTAGTTAGGCTGAGACAGTAGACATTAGTATGGTGTCTTTTTAAATCTAATAGATTATAAATAAAAATATGCTACTAAAAATATAAATTATTAAAAGATTTAAATGTTAGGTACCTATTGCCTAACCTTGGATGTTTTCTAATTAATGTATCAATTTTTAACTGCTGAATATTATTATAAGTAAAGTTATAAAATTAAATAACCTGTATATTTAATATATAAATATCTAACTGTATAAATTATAGCAGATTATACTCCATTATGTATACATTATATAGCATAAATATTATCATACTGCTTATTGTATTGAATGCACGAAGACTAGAATAAAGGGACCAAAATCCGCATTATTAATATAATAATGATTTTTCTAATAGATACACGCATAAATGTAAAATTAGGAGGTGGGTACACTTCTTATACCCACGTGTACTCTCCACTAAATCATTGTCTATAATAATACAAATTGTCAATTTTAGATTCTGAGCAGAACGTAAGAAACGTGAGAAATGTATTGGTTTTACAATGATGTTTACTGGTTTTATTTTTTGTGTACAATTTTTCTACCACCAATTTTGCTCTGCCACTTAAACAATACATGAAATAAAGATAAAAACAGGCAAAGGAATTATACAAAGAGAACTTCCTAAACGAGATACTACAGGAAGCTGAAAAAGACCATTCGCCAGGTAGTATACAGAATTTCTTCAAAATCATTACCATGTTATGGCCTATACATGTAACATAATCTAATTTTAACTCTTTGTATTCACGACAGTAGTGAAAATAGTGGCAGCACCTGCGTCCATAGTAATGGCTTTAGCTGACTAACAGTAATCAATTGCAGAACAATTACACACTGCTAGTGGTTCTAGACAAGCAAAAAGGAGAGAAAAGGGAGAAAATATGTTGCGTATTATTCAACTACTTTCAATTCCTTTTTCCCGTTTGTAAGGGACTATATAAATATTAATTTGAGAAAGTACTAAAATTACCACAAATTATGAATTCAGTGGTCAGCCTGAATACATTCTAGAAGTACCAGGAGTCTCTGTAAATTCCTTCAGAATTCCGTATACTCAATTCGAATATCTTAGGAGTTTCCAACAGGAAATTAAGAAATGTTAAAATATATGTAGACATTTTGTGGAAAGTATTTTGAAGTATATTGAAATCCGTTTAGGAAGTCATATTTTTAATCATATCGGGCGTTTTCACCATACACACTAGACTCCTGGTACTAGGGTATGAATACAATAAGATAAGAACTGTAACATAATATTTTACCAACTTTGAAAATCCTAAATATACATGGTGTCCCACGATTTTTTTATTTTTTTTTTATTTATTCAATCCAACAAAACAGACAGTATAAAAATTACAAATTCGATTAACCTCTCTCTTTTAAGCTTGAAAGCTTGTATTGGAGAGAGGGAATTATTGTAGTTAAAAAATATTAATTAACATATAAACATAGCGTAATATAATAATATAACATAATAAAATTAATAAGATAACAAGATAATATAAATAATCTAAACAATATAAGTATGAAAAAATTACAACTGTAAAGCATAAATGCATAATTTAATATAGACTTAATATTACATTAAATTTAAAAATAAATAAACAATGAATAACTAAACAAACTTTACATACACAAAGCGTTAGGGCTAGTACACATGAAGAGCGTTAATCGCGCGTTGGCATTGACACGACTGTTCACATGGTTACCGACTTTACGAATTTTTTACGCATTTTAAGCACTTGTTTTTACTGTAGTCAGTCGAGTGTTGACTGTTGAACGTCAAACATGCACTATGCAGATGCAATTTGTATATGGATGCTATATCGTAGAAGACAGCGTCATAGACAAAAAGAAAGATTATATTGGGTTCATTCTATTTTACAAAATAGACTAACTCCAAGCCTTTACTTCACTCTTGATAAAATTACAAACTTGTAATTTCTTAAACTTACAACTTTTTCGAAAAAATAATTGCACAAACAGAACGTATCGCTACGAAACGCGCGTTGCAACTGAACACTTCAATGCTTATCTGTATATATTTCAGACATGTTCTAACGCGCGTAGACAGGGTAATCGCGTTACAGCGACGTTAAACGAGCGTTATCATCTGCACAGTTAAAGCACACCTTATTTGTATTATTTTGGCATCTTGATGATTTATTAAATAGGTAATGTTTTAAAATTCCGTTATAATATATAGTATACAATTGTTTAATTTTTGATCTTTAAAATATATATTATATTATATTTGTTTTTAGTTTTAGAAGATATTAGGAATTGGTAAAAACTATCTTAATACTGAAATATAAATTACATATACATAGATGATATTAAATCAATTATTCAATTTCCCCGAATTCATATAAACTACCGCAAGTAGTGCTTATAATTCCAGTAAGCTCAGTATCGTATGAACGTTCATTTTGGGTTTTCAAATTTATCATTAATTCACATATCTTATCTTCTAATAAATATTAATTGTTTTCACGCCTATTTTCTAGAAACTAAAACAGCTATTTCTAAAAAACTATTGAGCAGATATGGATGTATGTTATGTTACAATTTTTAGATAAATATCTTTTAAAAAATGGCTATTTTGAAAAGTAATAAAATAAAAAGCAATTTTTTTTATGTCCTTATTCTGATCTAATCCCTATTTTCAACCAATCAATTTGAAGTCTTTGGAAACTGGAATGAAAAAATCATCCTGTCTTCTACACCTCTGCATATAGTGATAGTTGCACCTAATTTCCCTATCCGACTATGGTTCCAGTCTACCTTAGAGACAATCAGTCGCTCTATAATTGTTATGTTCATTAGATTACATATGGGCCATTATTATTGTTACCAAAACATGTCTATCATTTAGGCATGAATAGCATGAATAGTTTTACTTGTTCCCTCACCAACTGCGGTGGTGAATGCTGAGAGTTTTTCTATTTATTTATATCTTGTCATTTTACTTGTAGTAAGAAATCAATTTTATTCTGGGTTTTACTACTTTAAAGTCATCTACTGAAGTTGTAAGTTATTTACTGCAAAATGACTGCCCACTTGTTTTCTTTGGTTACATCCCTCGAAAAAGATAGTCTTGTTGTTTACTTTCATTGATCCGTACGTCTCTATTCCTTTAACAGCCGTTCTTAGTGCTCCGAATTTAAATAAAGTTCGTACATTCCAAGTCTCAAAACCTAAAGCCGATTCCTGATGTTCTATTAAATCCACAGTTTCAAAGCGAATTATTGGTGCCATGAATTTTTATGCGGTACGGTTGTTACCGTACATCCAACCCCAACTTGGAGGATCACACTACCCAAACCATTTAAGATCCATGGAGGGCTATTGCAATGCATCTTAGTACATAGGGCCATGAAGACACCATTCTCTCAACGCCTAAATAAATCTAACGATAAAATCATTAATATTAAGTTATTTATCAGGATTATTCAATTTCAAAAATACATCAATGTGATACATGAGAGTGTAATAATTTATTTCTTAAATCATTCTTGACTTGTTTTAAACAAAAAAAGCTCCTTTCACATCAACTCAGAACATTAGAACTATGATTAATTGTACACAGTTTATAATATATCTCTGAAAAAGATTTTTGGTATCCATTTAAAAAATTATTTTTCTATATTTCTTGTTTCACGTATAAAATTTTACCAAGTAGGTATGATGGTGTTTTTACAAATATATTGTTCACATATAAACTTTCAATATTCTATTAATTTTATACCTCTAGTTTCTGTTTATACTATTAAAGATTTAGGTGTTATTTTCTCTATCTATCTATAATTTAATAATCATATAAATTATAAATCATAATACTATTGTAGGTTTATCTAATATTTAATCTTTAAACACTGTTTACACGCCATTAGTTATTGTTAAAAATGAATATCAAAGAAAAAATGTATGAATACAGTTCACGTCATATATCATGATAGAATTTGTTAAACAAGTATCCTATAAATTTAATCCAATTAAAAATGTTAAAAAAATGTTTAAAATACATTTATTTTGTCTATTCAATATTTAACGAATTGTTTATCTTTAATTTTGTGTGCATACATATTAACTTTATATTATATTGATAATAACAAAAGACATCCTAGGATAATGGAATCGGGTGCAGTGACTGTTATATGTAATTTAATGTACACTTATAAGCAGCGATAACCCATTGCTAACGAAAAAACGATTCTGAGTGGAGTTCAGTTGATAGTGCTGCTTTGTCAATAATATATATGTCATATAATGGTAAAATTCCAATTATTCCGATTCCAAAATTAAAATGGATTCCGTTTTTCCTTCGTTTATTTTTCGGTTTTTCACATTTGTAGAGAAAACTACGAAGAAAATCGAAAAACGACTTCTTCAATGTACCTCGGCAGTGAAATTTTCTTTTAGAAAAATTGCTATCATTAAAGGTTGGAGCAAAATTACTGATAGAAAATTTGTACATAGAAAAAAACATTTTTCCATTTTTCTCGTTTTTTTTTAATAGTTATTTGCATTTGATGGGAAAATTCTAGAGAAAATCGAAAAATTACTTCCGTAAAGTACTGTCCCACACCGATTTCCTTTCAGAAAAGGTGCTTTACAAAAAAATCAAAGCAAGATCTCTGGTAGTAAAGTTGTTCACAGAAGAAAAAATAAATATAAAGTAAACATCTTTGTTAAATCATAAACTTCTTCTCTTTACTCAGAATCTAATATTTATATAAATCATTATTCATTATTATTACAAATATATTTTTGAACGATTAAATTATAACGCTGGTTTAAATTAAGAAAATGTATTACTATAGTAATATTATAATACTGTAGTATAAAAAACAAAAATATATTATTATTTATTCACTTTAGATAATTATTTTGAAAAAAAAAAAACAGTATTCAAAGAATATTAATGTATCATACATTCATATCCAATAAATAATTTTTTAGATATAGCCGTTTTAATTAGTCGTGTAAACAATTAATATTCAATAAAATAATACGTTATGCGATAAGGGATTACAATCAGCAGGGTAATATTCTTTACCTTATATTGAATATTTTACTAGAAATTAAAACGACTATAATTAAAAAACTATTAATCGGATATGAATGTATGAATGTATGATAAATTAAAATGTTTAGAATAATATTTTTTACAAAATGGCTACTTTGAAAATTTCCTAAGGTGAATAAATAAAGTTATTTTTATTTTATCTTTAGGGGATGAAAATAAAAATTTAATTTTTCTCCATGTCCCATTTGAAGGTAATCCGACTGAGAAAAAAAAAATTGAAAAAAATGTAATATTATCAGCGCTAGAAAAATCCGTCAAACACTGTATATTAAATATCATATGTAATATAATTAAATATTATTTTGGTTATTAGTTAGTTCAATTAATATTATGGATGGAAGTATTTTAATTTTATACATCATTAATTTAATTACAAATTTGATATACTAAATTACAATTCCGCAGTTTTTGGAAAAAAATTAACCCGCAGGAGTGGTAGCTGCCCACTCTGCCACGCCCCGTACGCACGCCTATGGTGGTAACACTGTTCTTGACGTATCACCGATTTTTAAATGAACCCCTATTCTCTAATTGTCGGTCGCACATAACAATTTTTCGTTTAAATTATTTATTCATTTACGGAGTCATGTTGAAATTCACTGTTCAAAATGAACGCTAGTCATTTGTATTTACCGAAGGATCCTCGAACATTGTAAGAGACAAGTGACGATTCGGGCTTCGGTTTTACCTTTAGCCGCAAATACAAATGGAACTCTTGTAAAATTAATGGATTATTTTTTCCTAATGATATGTCGAAGGTTACATCTGTAATCGAGGATTAATTCGCTCACCAACAAGAGCTTCATGTGGGAGATAGGATAGTAAAAATGTAAGATGGTAATAATTATTGTCTTTTAAAAAAATAATAATAATAATTTTGTGAAAGTAATTGTGTGCTACTTTATTTATTCAACCATAGTAAATAAATTCCTGCTTGTTTTGCAAACAATCCGTATTTTAAAATTTGTATTTTTATGTTTATAAATGTGGCATACTAATGAATATTAAAACATTACCCATATTCTATTAACATTTGATTTTCCACACAATAATTAAAATATAAATAATAGAATCCGTCAGTAGATTTAGAAAATTTGAAAAATCTGTAGGTAGAGATACTTAAAGTGTTTAGTTAGTTATTTTATTTTACTATAGTAGATATGTAAAGTGATAAATCATAATTTAATACAGTCAAAAGACATAATAATGACCCAATAAAAGGTAATTTTTCATAGACTATAATCTATTAAAGTCTATATATTGAAATTTGAAATGTAGGATTGTTCTATATAAAGTTGAAAGCGTTTTTTGGATTCAGGATAATCCTGCCCAATGTAGGACGGTTGGCTACCCTAACTGTTGTTTACAAACCTAGGTAGGTATATTGAAAACCTAAACTAAATATCTTCCCATGTTCGTACAATGATAGTATACATTTAAATCTACATAAGAATAATGACGATTGTTAATATTTTGACAATTGTTTATAGGCACCAGCTTCAAAAATGACCTTCAAAAATATTCGACAATGTTTTATAGCTTCCTTATGGTTTATCGGTACCTACTGCTTATAGGGAAGTAGATAAAAATTAAGTTGAAGTTATCAAAATAAAACATTTAATATTTAAAAAAAAATCGTAAAATCTTAAAAAAATTGTGAATTTTTTAAATTATAATTACCGAAATATAATTTGTGTTACTACTATGGTTTTAGTGGCATAAATGATACGAATGGGCAATGATAATAATAATAATAATTCATCTGTAAACAAATAAATATGGGCGTAGCTCAATTTTATTTTAACAGACAACGGTTGAAAATAATGGAAAAACAAATAAATGTGTTTACAGATATTATGCAGGACAAAAATACATAAAAAAAAAAAAAAGTAACTTATTACAATAAAAAAATAACAATGGGTATGATGTGTAATATTAGTTTATTAATAATTTAGTGGGGTCTTATTGTCTTTTTGTTAATAATTAAACGATTATGGAAAAAAAAAAATCAAAGTTGTGGTGATTATTACACAGGACCATTGCTTCCGAAAGGGACGAGTTTTTGGCAAAGTGTTGTACTCTGTGTCGGGATATGTGTGGATACATAGTGTGGGAGATTTGCGTTGATGGTGAGGGACTTTGAATTGGATTTGATTTAACGGGTGGGGCGAATTAATGTAGCCGCCTACGAGGTTGGAAACAACACGACACATCCGGCGCATCACGTCCGAAAACGGTGCGGCGGGGAGATCTGTAAATGAACGCGAATAAGTTTTGTGGTATTATAATGTCGTGACGATTTTGTTTGTTCGCAAAACTGTTTCAGAGTACTCATACGCAGTACACCCGCGCGGTTTTCCAACAAAATGTTGAGAGAACACGGCGTGGGTATAATATTTAATAACGTTGTACCCATGTCCGACGGCCTATCGGAACGCCGTTGAATGTAAACATGCCCCCTGTGCAGTCGTGTAGCCCGTATAGAAAACCTAAGCGAAATACACGAAAAGAAAAAAAAAAAACGCAACAATAATAATATTACACGTTTATGCCCGCGTCGTAAGAATAACGATGATTGTTGATATTTCGACAAACTATTGTTTAGAGGCGCTCGGTTCACAAATGACTTTCGAAAACATTTTACGTACCAGAAATAACAATATAGGCGCAGTAAACATTGTTGGCAGGTGCACGGCCGAATATTGAATTGTTGTTGATTTTAATAGAAACCGCGCTCGTGTAGTATTTCGGGCATAAGCACGTTTATGGGTATTGTAATATCGGTACCTACCGTTTGAGAGAAAAAAAAAAACACCAAACGGAATATATAACATTTAGAAAGTCCAGTGAGTACCTGCGTCCGAGTAGCAATAATGCTGGAGCAGAGGGAAAGAACCAAAAGGCGTAATTCATTTCTCGAATTTGCACAGCGATTCCGAATGGTGCGTTCCCGATGGGTAAACTGTAACGGTTTATCATTCGTATTTGTTCAAATTTACCGCCTTTGTCTACATTAATATTGTGGCGAACGTTTAGTCGTAGCGTTCGCGCGCGAGTTTTAATGAATATTATTTCGTATTGTTGTAATTTCGGATTATCGGAATGCACTATAACCAGATGACATTGTGTTATTGCGGCGAAAAATAAACAGAAAACATATTATTGTTATTATCGTCTAAAAGACAACATAACCGATTTTGGTGATAGTGTCGGTGTTATCACAGGAATGATAATATTCTTGACCCATCAGCGAATTTTAAAATAATAATAATAAACGAGTGTTCGCTGCTCGTCGGTCGCACACGTTTTAAAAAAAAAAAAAAATTCTCAATCGTTCACTCATTCGGGACGGCGTGATGGATTGTTAATGGACAATGTCGTCGAAAGTTCCGGCGGGCCCTCGAGAAGTGACCATTACAAAGAGCGTCACTGGCTTCGGTTTTAACGTCCGCGGTCAAGTCAGTGAGGGCGGCCAACTGAAAAGCATCAATGGCCAACTCTACGCTCCTTTACAGCACGTCAGTGCCGTACTCGATGGCGGAGCCGCTTACGAAGCAGGAATCCGCAAAGGAGATAGGATACTCGAAGTGTAAGATAAATAATAATAATTGTTATTAAAAAAAAAAAAAAAAAATTTATAATAATAACAAAAAAAAAAATGGTTCCATTATCTATTTAACTGTATGAAACAAATATGCAAACGATCGGTATATGTTAATAATTTTGTATTTCGGCTTTTACAGAAATAACATTAATGTCGAAGGATCGACGCACAAACAAGTTGTTGACTTGATAAAATCGGGCGGCGATGTGTTAACATTGACAGTAATTTCCGTTACACCCCAAGTACGTTTTTATATATGTTTAACTTACCTACCATAATAATTGACAGAGCATGTTTCAGCACGATAATATTTTCCTTATACTCAATATTTTACTAAATATATTAAGTATTTTAATTGAAATGTATGATTAAACGTGTTTGATATTTCTAAATCATAAAGGTTACTATTATCAGATTGTTTTCTCAGACATGAAAAGAGAACTGACCTGAATTCCATAGGTTCACCAACATTTAACATTTGATTTTGTGTCAAATTTTGATTATTAAATGGTTATTGATAATTTTGATAGAATATTAATGATAAATCATCACAATTTGAATTTAATATAAAGTACTTTATTTTACCTACTTATTATAGTATTATTACTTTTATGTTTTCATTTATTGCAATAAATTTTTAATAAAAAGACCATTATAATTTTATATCATTACTAATTTAAATTAATTTTTCTACTGAGAATACTAAATTTATTTTTTATTTTAATATTGTAAATAAATAATAAATTTATTTTTTTTCGAAAATAAATATGGATAATATGACTAACTATATTGGAATAGGGGACAGAAAGAGTTTTAGCAGGCCAGTGAACTATATAAAACCTATATTATAATTTATGAAGGTTCCTGTAAATATTATTGCGTAGACATTATTGGGTAAAACACATGTGAACTAAAACAATTGTTTTCCTTTAAATTTAGGAAGCCGAGAGATTAGAACCAAATGAAGAACAGTCTACATACAATTATATAGACTACAGTGATAAAAGATCATTACCAATTTCTATACCAGATTACTATTCAGTCGATAAGGAAGGAGATAAATATGTGGTAAGGAAATTTGAATTTTAAAAAAAAAAAAATTTAAAATTAATTTGACCAATTTTAAGTAAATTACTTAAGATTATTTAGAAAATTTTTTGATACCATTTTGAATACTAAAAAAAACACAAGTATATTTGTCTATGTATAGACTGTAAATATATACAATTATTTATTTAAATGCATGTATTGTTTATAGTGAAAAATTCTTGTAGTTTCGCTAAATATTTGATAATATTCATATTTTGTGCTATTTATATACATGAATATTTATTAGTACCTTGTAATTTTATTCAAAAATTTAATTTTCAAGTTTATTTTGCTAGCATTATATTATTTTTTTCAATTTTAATATTATCATTTTGTACTTGAAAACAATTATGAGTGGAGAAATTAATAATTAAACTATTTAAGATTTTATAATTTTTTAGTGTATTGAATTGGAAAATTAAACAAATCATTATCTTTATAAAACTTTAATCAATAACTTTTTATTAATAAATGTTTAGATTTTTTCTTCCTTTCAAAGAATTTTTATCATAATTAATTTTAGTAGTTATAATATTGTGACATAACTATTTGTTTAAAAAAAAAAATGTTATTTTTATTTAGGTGTTCAATATATATATGGCCGGTCGTCATTTGTGTTCTAAACGATTTAGTGAATTTGTCAATCTAAATGCGAATCTTAAAAGAGAGTTTATTGGATATAGTTTTCCTAAACTCCCAGGAAAATGGCCATTTACGTAAATATTATTGAAATAAATTTATTCGACACATTTTACTTAATAGGTAATAATAATAAATAATTTATTTTATTAGTTTGAGCGAACAACAACTCGATACAAGAAGAAGAGGTTTGGAATTTTATTTGGAAAAAGTATGTGCTGTTCGTGTGATAGCTGAATGTGAAATTATGCAAGATTTTTTAACTGATTCGGGTAACGCGCAGGTAATTTTCTTTTTCTATTAGTTTAGAATTAAAAAAAAAACCATAGTTTTATATAATTTTTGTGTTTAGAATATTGACTCCATTGTGGATTTAAAAATAATATTACCTGACCGAGAAATAGTAACTATTAGAACAAAAAAAAATGCAACAGCTGAAATTGTTTACAATAGTGTTATTGATAAAATAAATATGACAGAAAATATGGCAGCTTATTTTTACCTATTTGAAATTGTAGAGTATAATTTTGGTGAGTGTTTTCTTTTTTAACAATATTAGGCACACATCATTTACCTAATATATATTATTATAGAATATTAATAAAAAGTGTACTTAATTTAAAATGGATTATTTATTAGTTATTAAAAAATGCATAATTATTAATTTTACAGAAAGAAAAATTCAACCAAATGAAATAGCTCATCAACTGTATGTACAAAACTACCGAACAGCCAGTGCTAGTTGTTTATGTATAAAACGATGGCTTTTTAACCCGGCAATTGAAAAGAGTCTTATAGAGTCAGATTCTTTAGCTGCTACATTTATTTTTTGGAGCACTATTGACGAAGTTGATCGTAACCATATCATTATTGGAGGAGACCGTTTATATGAGTTGAAAGCACTACAAGAATCTTCGAAAAAACTAGATGTATGTTATTTATATTATTATTAAATGATGGTATTTGTTTTTGTTAATAAAAAAAAAACAAAATATATTAAATCAGTTTAATATAATATAATCTCTTAAAACTAAACTAATTCAATTTAGATTCTGAATAAAGCGAGGGATCTATTGGTTTTATTGTGTATATTTTTATTTTTATCTGTAAACAACTTTTCCCTTAAAAATCTTACTCCAATCAAAATATGACGAGATACCTTTTTTGTTGCATTTTTGTTCTAATTAGTACTTTGACAAGGTCATTTTTTGAAATGAGGAAAAACTGGTTCTTTCATTAAAAAAACGATTAAAATATTAAAAATTAGATTATCATTGGGAACCGTTTTTATTTATTTACTGTTATTATTTTAATCTTTTTTAAAACAATTGTTATTCAGAAAACAATTGTTTTTTCCTTTTGTTCATTTTATTTTAGATTTTTTTCTTCATTCTGGATTGTTTTTTGTTAGCAATGGTTTATTATAGCGTACACATATAAATAAAATGTTTTTATATATATTCCCCCTTCAAAAATGACCACACCCAGTGTCGGCTCTTTTTTTTTTTTCATAGAAAATAATATTATTGATTCTGTTTCTAAAATGTAATTTTTATTGATTTTTATATTTTACAGTATTTAAAAATGGCTAAAAAATTACCTGGTTATGGTGAAGTAATATTTCCACATTGTCCATGTGATTCTCGAAAAAGTGGCCATGTGATGGCAGCTGTTGGCTACTTAGGTCTAAGACTTATAGCATGTACTGATGATGGTACTTTAGAGGTAATATTACAACATAATTGTGTATCAATTTGTTATTTATTGTTAAATTTCAATTCTTATTCAATCAAATTTCATGGTAGATTTTGAAGAATATTTAGTAATAGAATTGAGTGTAAATCAACAATTTGTTTACCTATAGAAAAACAAAAATAGTACTAACTCAGCAATAATTTGAATAAATCTGTATTTCTAAGAACATTTTAACAAAAGAAGTCCTCAAGTACTTAAAAATTAATAGAAAATTAGATTTATTCTAATAAATATATGCAATAATATATTTCTGATGGTAAACAGATAGTAAACAAATGTATTACAACAGATAATATTGTAAATAAAAAGGTCTTAGTTATTTACAAGTACAACATACTGTTTTATTTTTTTATTTTTTTTAATATTAAAATCAAGTTTTTCCATATTTTTCTTCTTTAATATGCTTCATTACCTAATTTTAAAACAAAAATAAAATAATTATTATTTGTTAATTGTAACATGTAACATACATCCCATTTAAATGACAGCACTGCTGGTTATACAAATATTGTTTAAACAGACATTCTAATAGAGTTACAATTATTAATGTTATGTATATTTGTGGCTAGTGTTGAAAATTGTTTTATGTCAAATTTTTTTCAGAACCAATTTGTGCTGTTAATTTTAATACTGAAATGAATTATCTTATCAAACTTTAAGGTTAGAACATTACTCGTATTTGTACTTTTGTTTTTTTTTTTAAATATATTTTTAATTTTTAAGCGAGATACAAATTTTTTTACATTGTAATATTTCACATACTCATATCTCGTTAAAAAATGAAAATTCTGAAAAAAAAAACTAAAACCAATGTACAAACATAGTTAATGATTTTAATACCACTAAAGACCTTAGTCTGATAATAAACTGATTTACTTTATTAGTGAAACTATTGGTACAAAAATACAAAATTGGTTTTGCTGAACAAACATCTGATATAAATCAATTTTAAATATTAGCTTAACATAAACATAAATTATATTTTCAATGTTACAGAATCAAGCAGTTGAATTTACGTGGAAAACTATTAAATGCTGGGAAATTGATGAAACTAATGGCTTATTTAGTTTTCAGTTTCAACGTGAAGAAAAAAGTCCCAAATGTGTTAAACTACACACACCTTATGTAAGTAGTTTTATCTAAAAAATTAGTGATCATTTTAAATTCTGAGTGGAGCAAAGAAGCTTATAGTTTATTATTTTTTTTTTATCTGTGCGCAATTTTTCTACCCAAAGATTTGCTCGGATTTCTACGTGTAGCACCTTTTCTGATAGGAAATCAGTGTGGGAGGTCCTTAAGGGAGGTCAGTTTTCGATTTTCTCAAGTCTTTTCGCAGCAAATGTGAAAAACCAGTATAAAACATGGGAAAACTGGGAAAAATGTAGGAAAACTGGGAAAATTGGTACAACATTAAACAAATTGTATTAGAGAAAATATATGAAGCTTATTTAATTATTTTACTATAAAATAACATATATATATATATATATTGTTGACAAAGTATCACTATGAACTGAATTCTGCTCAGAATCAGTTTTTCGTAAGTAATAGTTTATCGTAGCTTACAGATATACATTAAATTCCCATTATCTTAACTTTTTTCTAGTATAGGGCTTGAAACAGAATACTATTAAAAAAAAAAAAAAAATAATCATATATGAGTATTGTTGATCATTATTTTATTGGTGCAGTTTTTTAAAGCCGGACCAAGTGAATGAGTTTATTTGAGTTGCATTAAATTTAATTTAAGTAGTCGATTCGAAGTTGAGCATGGAGACATTAGTGCAATAATGTGAATATTGTTTTTGAAAATGCCACATTAAAGGTTTTATCTAGTAATTACTTCAATAGATATGTACGGATGGCACTTGAGATAAGTTTTTCAAATTTTTTCAATTCAATCCCCAGAACATTAGACTCACAAAATCTATATAAAAAAGGAAAAACTATAAATTTTTACATATACATTTTTTAATCAGAGTTATCCTTTTCTGAATGCATTGCTATTTTAAACCAGTTATTTAAATTTATTGGTAGGTCTAATTTAGGAGGATCCCTGCTGATTTCCTTAAAACTATTTTTTAGTTTTTTTTTTTTCTAAATCTTATTTATGTTTAATTTTACATGCTGATCGCTCAAACAGTCTTTGTAAATTAAAATGTACTTTTATATGAGTTTATTCATACACGAAAATGAGACGTGCGTTTGAACACCCCGAAACGCGCATGTTTAATTTTGAACATTTCTTACCATTTCTTAACTATAATTAAACAATAATTTCTCAATGTATCTTCAATGCATTTCCGTTTTTGATTAATCATTTATAGCAAATGGATTCTGGTTTTAACATAGCTTTGTTCATTAATAGATGATTTTATCCTTTTCTGAAAGCTGTTTCAAACCCAACCTTTTAAAAAATTAAATAGTATATTTTATATCTCATTATTAATGAAATTGTCTGTCTGTACAGTTTACATTCCTAGCTGACTGCTTTAATCGAATACAAGAGGAATCATGGAAAATTGAAACACCATAAACAGTACATGCTATTGAATATAATATCATATATTATAATTATGTATTATTGATATATAAATTAAAATACTTACCTGAATAGTATTATTGCAATACAATTTTGTTCATGGTATTAGGTTCAATTGAAATTGTATTCTTCTCCAAAAATATAATTTTAAAATTAATTTAAACTAAAAGGTTAAAAAAAAAAAAAAAAAAATTATAATTATAATAAAATGTGATAGAAACAAAACATATTAATTTATATGAAAATATATTATTTAGTATTTTTCTCCATTTTTAATGTAGTAACTATCAATTTAAATTTAAAAGTAAGTGTATTTATACTATAAACATCTTTAAATTGGAATTTCTATTTTTATTATGTTAATTTAGATGTATTTTAAATTTTGTTCTATTTTTGGTATATAATATGAGATTTTTTTCTTTCTTTTTTTAAGTTTTCATATAATTCTATGAATATTTAATAGTGATCATTGGATTATTTAAACTAATTTAATAGAGTAGGTATTAATTAAATATTGTAAATGAAGTATTAAGAAGAATACCTTTAAAATCACCTATATTTTCTGGTTTTATATTTTTAACGGTAAAAAAAAATTATGCACATTAAATTAAAGCAATATTAAAAATTATCAAATTAATATACTTGATTAAATTATAATATTATTTGTTTGGTGAATCTGTAAAAATTCCATATTTTTTTTTTTTGTTATACATTCCCATAATATAAAATTTGGAATCCATTTTTGTTTTTGCATTTTAACGTTAATCTTTAGTTAGTTTCCGTTTATTATTTCTTCCTCTATGTTTTCTTATTTTATACTAGATTTATATAGTATTGTAAATTAAAATTTCCAATTTATATATTATTTATATATTTATGATTATGTATTAGGGAATAAATATTGTAACATATTTTGTCCATCAAATAAAATTATAAGTGCCAGTGTAATTGTAATTTTGGCCATTTATAAAATTTTGGTTTAAAAAATAATAATAATAATTAATTGTGTGTTGTATAAACACAACTATATATTTTTAATAATTATTTACTTTATTTAAATTTATTATTTATAATTATTCTAAATATAATGTGTATATATATACATTATATTTATTAAGACATTTTTGAAAAAAAAAATTGTATTCTTTTATTTTTAATTAGGTGCACGGTTTTCATTAATTTAATTGTTTCAACTGTGTGTTGAACTTTAGATAATAATTAATAATATAATTATTTGCACATGTTCATTATTACACAAATTTATCTTAAAATATAATATATTTTTTTCTATACTTAATTACTATGATAGTAAAATTGTACCTGTATTATCATATTACAATATTATATTCTGTTTAACACTCTGTATAATAGTAATAACACAATTTAATACAATATCATCATTTGTTATATAATTGCAACATATTAAATTGATAAGTTTTTTTTGTTATTGTAATCACAAATTTGTTATGTACTAAAATAAAAATAATCGAAGATCTAAGGGATTGGCTAATTGTGATTTATAAACTTTATATTTTTTGATTGTGAAATGGAGTGGTAGACAGTTTTTTTTTTTTTTTTAATGCCTTGTTAAAAGTAATTATATTAAAAAAAAAGTCAAATGTGAAAAAAGTCGTTCATAACAAATTGTTCATTCATTTTTGTGGTTAATTATTTTTTACAATATTTATTTTAAAGCTTGAAAACTATTAACTCCATTTGACCTTTACTATATTATATTTTATATTATTATGTCTGCCACTCAGTATTTTATAAAATTATATATTCTAGTTTTTTTTAAAAAATTTATTATATTATTATTATTATTATTATTATTATTATTATAATTATTATTATTATTATATTATCGAGTCTATAATATATAACCAACACACAGGTTGTAATTTAAAAAAAAAAAAAAAAAACAATATATAATATATTTTTTTAAATACATAATACAATATAAAATACATATTAATAATTATTATTACCAATACATTATTAACGCCATAAAATAATATTATTATTGTGTGATTATATAACTGCATATTATTATTTATTATGTCGACTATGATAACTTGTTTTGATTATATTGCGAAGGTCATCGACTCAGTTATACTATTTCGTAAACCTAATGTTGCAGTCGTTTACTAGCCCAGTATTATAATAACTACACGCTCGTGGACAGCTCTTCAGTGTGATTATTGGGTCCCGAGCGGATTCACCTATTTTTAATATTTCGATTTCGATACACAATCGAACGACACAAACATGACGGCGTCGGCGGAAATCGAAAAGCTCACTTTGACTGAAACAATTGATCTGCGAAATAAATATGTCTCGTAAGTGCTATTTTTATATAGTTTTTTTTCTCCTTCATTTATTTGACTCGTATCCAATAATTTTTCCGTCGTTATTAATAAAAAAAAAAACGTCCGATCGTCACGCGTTTCGGGTTTTGTCAGTTATTATTTTCGAAATCGCCCAAACACCTGCCGGACGTTGGGGAATCGATTTTTTTTTTGTTTTTCGTTCATAAATATTATACGACGGGGTTTACGCGGGTAACACAAAATTGAACATAGGCACATGCGTCCCGTTTTTGTAGCGTATGGGTTGCACACGAGTTCAAAACATTGCTGGGCGTTGTTGACGTTTGATTTGTTAAAACATCTAAAATACTATGTGTTCATTCAACACCACCTGTGCGGGCGGGCCAACAACAATGGTCGTAGCCGATTTCGTTACTACTGACGGTTTGATATTTTTAAACCGACGTGCAGTGTACGTATACTGCCCCCCCTCCCTCAAGGCCGTAATTTCATCTAGGATTTATTTTTGGAGGGAATCCAGACTGAGAATAATCCCGTTTACGAAATCTATCGAATTGTACGCGTATAAACAAATCGTTTCGAGACGCGGCGCGAGGGTGTTAATTCTTTAAATACGACCGAGCGTAAAAACGCATGGCCGTCACTTTTGGTTTTCGTCGAAGGCTGAACACAAACGCGTTATTATTCCGTTTCCGAGATAACGACGATAATGCACTTTTGTACTTTTACCAATGTTAATATTATTAACACAGTTAGCATAATAGTATCGTGTAATTAATACCCGTTTTTTGATACTGCGATATTATTATTTCGTATTGACTATTCAAGGCAGCGCCGATGATTAATTGTATCAATACCTATACTATTTATTTTCTTTACAATAATATTCTGACGTAGATAAACCGCCACTTGGTAATACTCAGTAGTAGTTCAAATAAATCGAATTCATTAATACGGGGTGTCACCGAAACGTCGAATTGAATTCTGGACAGACGTATTTTCGTCGAACGACGATATTGTTGTTCCCGATTTATTTTTTAAAACTTTACAGAGTGTCCCACGAAGATATTGCACCCATTGCAATATATCCCGAGGTAATAAAGATTTTTTATATATATATATATTACTCGAAGGAGTTAACTTTTTATTTTCATTAAATTCGTGATTTTGATAATTTTTTAATATTCAGAAAAAGTACATATAATTACGCAACAGGCTGTAATCGCATTCGATAATAATTGATCATTTTAATTATAGCTGTACAATGTTTTTGCTTTGAACTTTAGACGATTATATATTGGTACTTGCTATCTATATTATCTAGTTTATTGGTAAGAGGGAGGGGGTTATCATATCCGAAAAATTCTCGAAGTTAAATTGGATTTGGTCGGATCAGTTAGGATCCAATGCGAATATTCGACTTACAACCGGCTTAACAGCATTTGAATTTGCAGTATTATTATTTTAATAAGGGCGCGTAGAATTGTTCAGCTAAGCAGTGTACTGAAAAAAAAAAATTGAAGGGGGTATCCTTCCCCATTAACTACAGACTATATTATGTTACTATACGTGCGTACATCAATAATTATACCTGTGTACGTGTCCTCTGCCAAATAGGTTTGCTTATATGTGTATTTTTTAGGAAAAGTTGCGAACTGTTTTATAAGAAGAATCCTTTGAAAATCGTTCGCGGCCGAGGCCAGTATTTGTACGATCACGAAGGACGAGAATATTTGGATTGCATCAATAACGTATCCCACGGTATGACACTGATGAGAGGACGCAACACTATAGCATTTTAATACTTTATTATTAATTATCATAACTACTTATATTATTCGTTGACTGTGCACAAGAATATTAAATGTAGTTGTACACGTGACACGCGACTCGAAATTTTTACTTTTTCAGGTTTCGAATACCGATTTCGTACCGGTTATTATAGTGGGAATTATAGGTGCCGACCGAGATAATATTTTCATATTTGGAACAGTGAGACACTATCTATAACATAACAGACGGTATGTTACCCATTATATAGTGGGATATCAATCGGTAAATCGCCTTGGAACACGATTCTACTTAAAAGCATACGTTTAAAATATAAACTTGTATCGTTTTTAAGGTTGAGTCAGAAAAATTCACGTGTTTTTTGATATTTTGTTTTTTTATGGAATCGTGTCAGTGTCACTACATAGTATATTCTCGTGCACAAGCGTCTTGTTTTACACGCTGCAATACGCGCGGAAAACTCACAAACCGCATGGCCATTCCGAATTTAGACGGGAGAGTTTTGTTGTATCCCTTATGGAAAATCACGAATAGATTTACTCATTGCAATGGTATATAGGCAAAAATAACAGAAGTGCAAATCGTTTTGAAGTTTTTCTCGGGGTTATCGGCCACTGTATAGGACTATTCCGTTGCACACCCTATCTTTCACCCTGTAACTGCTCTATACTTTCCAGTCTGAACCTTCGTTTAGAGATTTTCCTGAAAACCGACAGTTTACTCGTGAAAATACGCTCATCAAAATTTGTTTCAAAATAATTTGAAAAAACAAATTTCGCATCGAAGCATTTGCGCTTTTTTCATCTAAAACGAATTTCTGACAGTATTGGTAAAAAATGAATTTTATAATATTATTAGGACAAAGGTAGTGACGGAGAATAAATTGCATGACGAATCCGTAAGTTTTCTACGCAATAGCGCGCAAGTCGTAAATAACAAAGAATATAATAAATAGTGGATGTATATAAATATTCGCATGTGTTGCGTCCTCCTAACATAACGAATATTAGGTAAATAGTAGACAAATATAATGTAAGAATAATTGTTCTAAAATTGTCTTCGGTCCAATAACAATTTTTATTTTATACACGCCTGCAAACTAGTTTTTTTATTTTATTTTTATTAGTAGCGTATTTTTAGTTCCGTGTTTTTTTTTTCGAGTTACCTTGAGTCATTTTTTGCAACGAAACGACAATATTTCGAAAATATGTTTGCATTCGATTATTATTTGACCGGTACCTACTTCTATACTTGTTCCCCTTTTAACGCACAACTCTTAAAAATAGGTGGGTTAGAAGAATATATCATTTGAATAACATTTAAAGAATATCATGATTTTCGTAAAAATATATTAATTTATAACGTGAAAAAAATAAAACATTTTGTTATATTACTACCTTTATATTAAACGATCACAGTAGGTTTCTATTATAGGATGGCGTACACACATCATACAGTAGCGCGTACCCAGGACTTTTCAATTATGGCTGAGGGGAGGGGGAAAGACAGTAAAAGTTATACCAGCAAAATATAACAAATTACCTACATCTAAACGTCTATATGGAGGCTAACTGCAAGAAAAAAGTCTTAGCTTTATAAAGCCTATTTTGTAAAACAAGTAATTATGTATTACAATTATTATTAGTAATACGTTTTTAGTAAGCTGAATCATAAATTTAAATTATTATTTGGTTTTTTAACGTGGCTGATAGGAGGAGGTTTAAGTCGTTCCATAATCATTTGGGAGGTCTGTACGGTTATACAAATCTAAAAAACATCCTTTTCGGTCTTCCCGCAACATGGTGTATTCGTATTGAAATCCAAGCAACATTTTATCATTTCAATTTAAAAAAAAACCAAGATTGAGCTCATTTAGTCTAGAGGGAGCCGCTAAAGGTGTCCAAAAGTAGCAGGTAAAGGAGTTTTATTACATGCAGACGTATTTTAGTGCGATTGTTTTTAAAGAATATTCCACGTGAATAACATCGCGAAAAAACTTTTTTAGACCCATCTACTCTACGGTTTTCAAAGCTTTCAATAATGATATTTTCCTACATACTCATCCGTGTGTTTTTATCTTATTCGCTATCACCACGTCACTCCTAAATGATAAGTACCTATTACTATATTCACGGACGCGCTGTTTTTTTTCCGGTAGCAGTGTCTACTGTCTGCTTATAAATTATAAAATATACGAGTACAATAAAGATATAAATTCAATTGACTTGTTGTAAACAAGATAACAGTAAGAGTTTAGAGAGTTAAAGACTCGTATGTATATTTTTATTAAGTTAGTGCTAATATTTAATAAATTCACGCTTGTTAAGATTAATTTTTTTTGATTAATTAAAAACAAAAAAAAAAGTATATATTTTAATACCGGCTATACAGTTTAATACCTTTGTACCTACTTAGAATTGTCTTGCTACTAAACCCGTAATCCGAATTTCCTGTTTAGTTTTGGTGCTGTATTATTAGCAGTTTGAAATAAACTTAACGTGAACAATAGTTATAGCCTTATAGAGTACCTATCTTTTTTATAATAGGAATCTTATCGTTAGGTAAATATACAAAGGCTAAAATAAATAAGAATTATTGTTATTTAACTATGTTACCGCTTGAACAAAAAAAAAAAAAATCTTAACACGTAAAACGCATCGAAATATATTTAGTTCATATTCGATTAATAGGGTTTTAAGTACTTCTATTTTTTTTTATAGTTGATATTATTATTATATTATGTATATTACATTAGTAATCGGTACTGAAATATCTACAATTAGCATATCATTATATTAATATACACGATAATCGGTATAATATTCGCCTTAATTATTATTATCGAACAATAATATAAATTTATTTCGTTTATAATTATTAATTTCCATAACCACGATAATACTAATGTACCTACATGAAATTATTATCTGTACAGACACAATAATATGGTAAAAAAAAAAAAAACAAAAACAAAAACATTTGTACATTTTACTACAGTAAAATTTTAACAGTCGATTATCATTATTCAACTCCACTCAAATATTATTATAATGCGTTAAAAATTGTTTTAATTGATGTTTTGTATTCGTTCAGCGCGGTCTGAAGTCAAACGACGTTATTGGTCAAATCCCGTTCGGCCTATAGTAACTCGCGTTATTTCGTGTAACTCATTATCAAGGAAAATGTTTTAAATCATTGTTAAATATTACAAAATATAAAAAAAAAATCCGAACGTTTAAAATATTATAGTAGGCCAAGCCATTACGATAATACAGTCAATAGCATGTCCATAAACTGTCAATGTGAGGAGGGGACTTATATAATGAATAATAACGAATATTTAATTAAATAATTATGAATATTTTTCTGTACCTAACCTCATACATTTTCAATCAATCTTGGTAACTGAGCCGAAATTCGAAAAATATAAATTTCAAGATTAAATTACTTAATACTGTATACCTAGTTAGTTTTGTTGTATTTTGAAGCCAATAACTCACCCCCCCACCACCTGGCTTTAACCTCCTTCTAATGATGTGCAGTGCCATTGTCCCGTTTATTGGGCTATCGTAAGATTAACTATACCTACATAAGAACCTGCAATGTTGGGCTTAATTAAGATTCGAGAAAACAAATTTCCTGTACACAATTTTCTGTAAAACCGAAATACAAACGATGTTTTATAATGCGTACCCAGTACTTGTATTGAAAAAAAAAAAAATACATAATTGTTCAAAAATATTTAATTAGCTTACGCAACAACGGGCGGATTTATCCTCGTGTTATTCATGTTACTTATAGTATTTATTGCACCATCGATTATGATAAAATCAATAATTATATCAAATATGATTGTTCTTAGTATCTATAGTAATTATACCTAAGGCATATTTGTATGTACAAATATAATACATAACACTATTATAAAAAAACAACCTAAATTAATATACGATAATATTATGATAAATTGAAATGTAGTCTCGTTTGGTAAACTGTTCGTACCTACTATTATTATAATAATATAATACATTAGGTAAGTATTATTTCTGTATTATTTACTCCTCCCTTTGTTGGGTTACCGAGGACGTCTTGTTAAGGTTAGTTGGACTCGCGGCTGATTTACACGCGTAAACTTTGCGGGAAGAAGGTGATTATTGAGTTTAATTTTAAATAACGTACGTCACAATTATTATTTTTGATGCGTAGGTATATCATATAGATTTTTAATATTTTGGATTCTAAGCAACGTTTAGCTTTACAATGTTATGTTGTTTTTTTTAACACTTTTTGAGATTGTCTATATTTTGTACTCTATGCGAGGCATTGCTGTTTATCGCTTTTTCAATGAGTTTCATCGACATAAATTTCCGGTGAAAATATAAATTTATAATTTATATTATAGGTATTGAGAATAAAAATGTGAATCGATTATGTCCGCCTGGTATTTTCTTTGGTATATAAAAATAATATCTAGCAGAGGAACCATTTAATGAGTATTTCGGTTTGATAACTCACTTAGATTCTGCGAGAAAAACAAACGTTTGATAAATCTAGATAAACATATTTTAGGTATGCAGGTATGTCATTAAATATCGGCACACTCGACAGGTTCGAAATCTAAATTATTTTCTTTCCACTTTACAGATAGCTGCAACAATAAATACTATAATCAATATTATATTACCAATAGTAGATATTAACATATTAACTTTTGTACCTACCCACTGGAGTATGTGCCAGCCTACATTTATTTGAACAGTTTTTTTTATTCGTGTGATTTCTGTAGTTGCCCAATGTACTTGTTGATATATTTTTATCACATACAGTTGTGTAAACATAATATTATCTTTACGTATACGACAATATTTTATACTCGCATGCAATATTGTAGGCATAATAATTTTCAAAATTAATTACTAGGGGTCGGCCTATATCATTTTTTACCGAAAATCATGAATTGATATTAATATTAACTAATATATCGCTGGAAAATGCAATTTTTTTCGTATTTCAAAAATATTAGGTGTCTAGGCCCACCCCTAAATAATTATTAAATGATTGATTGAGATTGATTTTCGGGGAAATCGGCGAAATTCCCAATAAGGAAATTTGTCGATTGGTTTTTTCTGAATTTATTTAGCTCGATATCCGATACTCGATTATTTTGCGAAAAATCAAAATGATCGTCAGTACGAGGCATATATTATGTATAGTACATTCCCGGATCGTCGCTGGAAATATTATATACATTTACTTGTTTAAACTGTTAATTTGTATAAATTCAAAGAATCTTAAAAATTAAAAAAAAGTGGTCGGGTTGGTTGTATAATTCGTTATCTACGTTTCTAAACGAATTTTCACGTAAGCAAATAACTATTCTCGCGATAAAACATCGCGAAATATGCACTATATCGGCGGTATTTATTAAAACATATGTTTTTTAAACACAACAAATGAAATTATAAAAAAGTAAATGAAAAAAAAAAAAAAAAGGAAAAATTAGATTTTTAACGATTAATACTTTGCCGTGTTTGGGACAGTTGGTCATTGTCATCCGGACGTGGTGAATGCGGGCGTCGAGCAAATGCACCAGTTGAACACAAACAGCCGGTTTTTACATGACAATTTGGTGGTGTGCGCTGAAAAGATCGTGTCGAAAATGCCGGAATCGCTGTCCGTCTGCTTCTTCGTCAATTCCGGTTCGGAAGCCAACGATTTGGCCCTAAGACTGGCCCGGCAACACACTGGAAACACCGACATCGTCACTCTCGACCAGTGAGTATATTATATTAAATTAACATCACCAATAAAACGCACTTTTCCATTTTCCTAAAGAATCTTAAATTTAATAAATCGATTCATCAAATAACTGAAAAAGACGTTCTAGGACGATAATGGGGACGGGTGCAGCCAACGTTATAGATAATTTAATGTATATCTGTACGCAAAGATAAACCATTGCTTACGAAAAAAACGATTCTGAACGGATTTCAGTTGATAGAGATGCTTTATCAACAATATATATGTCATTTTGTAGCATAATAATTAAATATGTGTTATATATTTTCTTTAATAATATTTGTTTAATGTTGTACCAATTTTTCCAGTTTTCCTATGTTTTATCTCGGTTTTTCATATTTGCTGGAAAAACTCCTGAGAAAATCCAAAAGTGACATCTTTAGAGTACTTCCCTAGTGAAATTTCCTTTTAGAAACATTGCTATCATTATAAATTGGAGTAAAATTGTTGGTAGAAAAGTTGTGCATAAAAAAAAGGCCGTAATAAATTTTAACTAATTCCTACATTTTCCCGTTTTTTTTTTTTTAAATTCGAAACCGGTTGTATAATACTCTTATCATAATACTCCAAGTGACGCATTTATTTATTTATTTTATGTTTATATATACATTTTTTATTTACATATTTATTTACTTTATTTAAATAAAATTCGCACATTTTCCATTTTTTTTCGATTTTTCGCATTTGATGAGAAAACTATTGAGAAAATCGAAAAATGATTTCTTAAAGGTACCTTTCCACACCAATTTCCTTTCAGAAAAGTTACTACACTTAAAAATCGGAGCAAGTCTTCTTGTAGAAAAATTGTCCGCTGAAAAAAAAACATCTTTGTAAAACCATAAGCTTCTTCGCTCCACTCAGAATATAAAATGTATATCAATTTCTATTTTTCACCAGATTTTAAAAATTTTTCTATGCCAGTCATGTAGTAAGTTCTCGTTTTAGATTTGACCGTGAACAATTAATATTAATTGTGTTAATAATTCGTATAGTATTTAGTTTTCAGTATGTGTACCTAAATATAAAATTATTTTTTATTTTTAAGACCAGCATGAGGTGAAATGACGTCTTAGGCTTGCAGTAATTTAACATGCGCCCCGTTTTAGAAAATGTGTGGATGCAGATTGTTTATTACCAAAAAAAAATTTAAAAAAAAAAACACTTAAGAGCAGCAGTGGTCTGTCACTGGAGTTAAATTTTACCCTAGTTAAAGTGACGCCGTTTCAATATTGTGTATTTTTAATTTGTATAATTGATCTAAATGATATCTATATTTTAATTATAATCTAAATGATCTACCATGATTGTCAGAGTTTTAATCAATTTTAGTCTGTGGGGGTATGTTTAAAATTCTGCATTCCAAGTGAAAAAGTGTAATTTAAGCATACAAATGATAATTGTGGTGGCGGTTGAAAGTTAAAACTTTTAAAAAACATATTTTTGATACTTACACCTCAAACCTGGCTTAATTTGGAGGGTTAATAGGAATATATGGGTACAAAATCGCGAATCTGTATATTTTATGTTAAGTTTTATTGAGGGGTGGGTTTCATTTTCCCCTGCAATATCTGCCTATGGACGGTGAAAATTTATCAGTGACAAAAATAAATCATTATGATACTATAGTGGACATTTTCAAATGTTTACATATTCGCAGCTGCAATTGTAGCTAATACATTATTTTAACAAAATCACTAGGTATGTAAATCACTTTTTTATATTATATCATCAGCCAATTTAAATAATGAACCAATCGATACTATAGCCAAACAATTATTACAGTTCTACGTTGATACAGATAAAAGAACCACGTAGGTACATCATAAGTAATAAAATATTACGTCCTTGTATTATTAATCATTTTTATAGGATTTTACCGCCTCCAAGGGAATTTGCTACCTACGTAGGTAACGGTATTTTGATACGATGCGCTTATTGTTATTGTTTAGGTATTTATTGTTTCGTATAGGCAGGCACCTAGTAATTTTAATAACGTAAACGTTATTATTACGATGACGTTCAATGTACGCTTTACCTATTATCGGCAGATATAACATAATGTAAAATATAATTCTTCGAGTTTTAAATGCGAAAGGTTCAATTATTGTATAATTATATTCACTCGCCGTGTAGCATAGCAAAATGTTAATTATTATGGAAATTAGAACAAAACAGTAATGATAATATATTGCTAACGGGTATACATCTGTTGTACACTGTGGTTGGAAAGTTAAGAAGATATAGGATACATAGTCAATTTATTTTATTTAATCTGTACGCGACGATGAATCAAATTTTGCTTACAAAATACGATTCTGAGTTCTTATGGTTTGAAACTATGTAATTTTTACGGTTTTCTTCGAATTTTGAACTTAAAACATTTTTCAACGAAAAACATTACTATATTAAGGCTAACATTATTTGTGTTTTCATTAAATACAATTAATAATACTGAACTTCGTATTAAATTTCAAAGTATTTTTGTTCGACTAGTCATTTTATTCACATAAAAAAAAATATAAACTAAAATATAATTTTAAAAAAATGGTAAATACTTACAAATAGTTTAAAAATACACAGAATGTTATGAAAATATTATCACGTCTAGAAAAGGCTAATATAAGTATTCAGACAATTATAATTTATAGGATTCTAATATTATTTTTAACGGAATTATAACGTAAAAATAAAATAGTTATGATGCCATAAATTTCAAAGTTTATTCCCATAATTTTTCCTAGTTTTTCCAAATTATTTTGGAAATCTCTCGGAAAATCATAAAATGATATCTTTAATGCACCACCTAGATCCAAAATGTTATAAAAAAAGATTCTGGGCCTTTTTTGATTGGAGCAAGATTTTAGGTAGAATAATTATTTACAAACAGACAAAAAAACACACTAATGAATAGTAAAACCAGGGCGTTGCTCGTTACTACACAAATATGCAAAATACGCACGAGACAAAACCACACACAGATTTTATAATATTGGATACTCTACTACTGCATAAAAATGTAGACGATTATCGTCGCTTATCGATAAATAAATATATTATGTATTGTTGCACGATATTATTAAGCTTTATCTGTAAACGATTGTATTCAGTATCTACAGTGTACCAATTTGTGTTGAGTTTTCAGTTGGCTTTCAGTTTTCGGACCATCGCGTCGTACATCACACGTGACATTTAAAATAAAATAAATATGTTTAAACTAAATAAAGACGGACTGAGTACTGACTATGATATGACTATGAGTATGTTAAAAAAAACAAGTTTAAATTTTAAACCAATATGGTACCTATATTATATTATTCATATTTATATTACTTCATTTTCATAACTATTATTTTATTGCTACAAAATATTTCAAATTATTTTTAATTATATCGTTGTAACATACACATTTTTTTTTTTGGATTGTGTATTTTGATTTTACGGAATTTGAGTTTAATACAGAATTTTCAATTTGTATTGGTTTTAATAAATGTGTGCGGTATCATACTATTTTTTGTATGCGGAATTAGCCTATATATTTTTATAAATCTGTATACTACTTTTGTGTGCGACATTGAGTTATGCATTTTGTGCAGTATTGGATCGTGTTTAGTGACGGAAACCGTCGTAAAACTAATATGAAATATTTCAATGCAATAGTGTCTATTATCTTTATTATATAAAGTTCGAAAAAAAAACGATTTAGGTAGAATTATTTACAAAAAACACACATAATAAATATTCAAATTAGTAGCGCCATTTTAGATTTTAAATAGGTGTGTGAAAATTTGAAGGGGGCCAATTTATTTTTTTACCGGGCCACTAAGTAATAATTTATCTAATTAGGTGATTCAACCCCTCCAAATCTATTAAAATTTCTCAATTTTTTAAATAATTATTCTTTTTACTTTAACCACTTTCCCCAAACTACTGACCCTAGTTATGCTGTGTCCTTAGACCGCACAAACAAATTTGCATTAAGATATTACATTTATTTAAAAATGAAACTTATACTTACACACTGTAAGAAAAATAATAAATTTAAACATAAACGATTGTAGCTATGGTCTTACAGGAAATAATAAATAGTTACAAATGTTTATTCATTAGTTTAGAATTGTATTAGTTAACACAGAGCTAAACAAACTGCACGTATTATTTTTTAAAGCAACGGATATATTCTATTTTTTTATTGAGCAAATTTATCAACAGCTTTGTCCTAATTGAAAAGTTGAAGAAACGCAGCCCGACAAACAATAAAATACCAAATCTTATCAAATCCAGTGGTCTAATTTTAACTTGAAATCAATGGTTTAAACCGATATCAATATATTATTAATATTAGCTATGAAGGTTGAGGTGTGATAATGGATTTTAATAATATCATTAGTTTAGCTAACTTTTATTATATATACCATAAATATATATATATATATTCCTCTCATCTTTGTTTCAACTTGTAATTTTTTTACAATTCTTCTTTAGCATGTAATAATCAACTGGTTGTATTACAATTTAACTTTATTATTTTATGTAAAATTCTTTGATTTAAAGAGCCAACTTCTAATTGACAAGACCAATTTCGTGTAATCCGACCAATATTAAAGTACGGGAAAAAACAGGGTTCCTATAAGACACGCTGCACTCCCCCCCCCCAAATGGGTTCCCCGAGTAAAACACACGTGAGAGTTTATTGGAGCCGTTCTCTGTTTATCTGTAATGTTTCGGCTGAACACCAAGAGATTACTCCCGTGATACCTATACCCTATTTCAAAAGAGAACATACAGCTTTCGCGACCAATTTTCGTTCAGCCGCGTTCATCTCCATCAGATAGAACCGGTTACGACCATAGATATGTTAAGAAACATAATTTCTCAGGTTAGGTTAGGTAAGAAACATTATTTCTTGGGCGTCAGTCGTTTTTCCCAAAAAACTTGATTTTCGTTTCCACCAATTATCATTTTCGTCTTAACGAAAAAAGCCCGATTTTCGTTTCCGCCAAATATGTTTACTTATATTATTGAGATGAAGTTTGAGAACCTCTAGTCTATATACTGTGTTATCGATTATCGATGTATGTTGAGACAATTGATTTTACACGTGGTAATCCCTATTAATTATAAATCGATCGATAGATTTTCGAATCGCATTTTTGACTAGCCAAATAATTATATCCACGGGTACCTATCGATTAGAAATTGTATAAAAAATTCGCAAAATCATATTGTCTATAAATAGCCCAAAAATTGCTCAAATATTTTGAAAATTGTATCACGTCTAGAAAAGTCTAATTTAAATTTTCAGTCAACATTTCAAGTTTCTACTAATATTTTTAACTGATTTACAACAAAAAAACAAAATTGATAATAATAAAAGTATTGTTTTCATAAATGTTTTCCGGTCTTTCTACGTTTTAGATTCTAAGTGTAGCAAAGAATGTATTAGTTTTACAAAGATGTACACTTTATTTTTTATTTTTTTATACTCGTATGAAAATTCTACCAGAAAGCTTACTCCAATGTATACGATGTAGGTAGATCCTTTTCTGAAAAGAAATTTTCTGAGGGTGGTACTTTAGGGAAGTCATTTTTCGATTTTCCAAATAGTATTCTTAACAAATGTGAAAAACCGAAAAAAAAAAACGTGAAAATAGGTACAATATTAAACAAATATTGTTAAACTTCTAACCTACAACAGTGACTGCACCCATGCACGTGTGAAGTATATTCGTCTTTATTTTTGATTTTGCTCAATTATTTAAAAAATTATACAGAAAATCATGAAATATTTTTTATTCTCATCAACTATACTAAAAATTCAAAAATTCCAAACTTCAAAAAATTAAATCTTTATACGCTACGGTGCGTCATAAATATTTGTCGATTTCCATTTTAAATATAATTTTGTTTCCGGGTTTTCCCAATTATTTTAAAAACCCCTTGGAAAATCAAAAATGACCTTGTTACGTTCTGAATCTAAAAAAAAAAACAAAAATCTTAATAAAACAAGAATTTAAGATAAAAATGTAAGATCAAAAATATTAATTTGGGTATACTATTTTTAAAATTGTATCTATTTGAATAATGTTAATTGATACTTTGCTACGAACTGACCAAATGAATTCACATTTTCAGTAATCTCTAAAAGAATCGTAGACATTTTTTGAACATTGAACATATTATAAGTACATATTAAATACCTACATACAAATTTTTACCACTAAAATTATTTGTCTAAAAATCAGCTTTAAAAAATATATAAATTAACAAAATGTATTATATATTTAATAATATTATTATTACTAATATATTTCAGCGCCTACCACGGTCATTTGATTTCACTTATCGACATTTCACCGTACAAATTTAATTTACCCGGTGCGCCAAAAAAGCCGGATCATGTACACGTGGTATGTAATATTATACTACGTTATTGTTTTTTAGGTATATAAAAATCATCGTTTTGTGTATCATTATGATTGTTCATTTTTTTTATAAAAGTTGTTTTTTTATTTTGTATAGGCTCCAGTTCCAGATGTGTACAGGGGTAAACTGAGGACGGACGATTATCCCGAGGAGGATATGGGAAAATTATACGCTTTGGAAGTAAAACGAATAATCGACGAAAATGTGATCGGGCAACGAGGTCAAAAAGTTTGCGCTTACATTGCGGAAAGTCTACAAAGTTGTGGAGGGCAGATTATCTTACCTCATAATTATTTACGAGACGTATATAAGTAAGTATTTTCAATAAATCGAAAAGAAATAATGATATTTTACTAATATTATGGTCAATCGTATTCTATATAGTGTGTAATCGGTAATTGAAAATAGTATTCGCAACTGAATTTATTGCTATTCTTCAAAATTCAGATTCGTTATTTTTCAATCGGAATTGTTTTTATCGTATTTTTTCATGATTTTCAGTTGTTGAACAAACTTTTTAAGTACAAAATTAATTGATTTATAATAATTTAAAGTTATTCGATGTTGATAATGAAACACAAATACCGCTTACGTTTCTGTTCCAATTCTAAAAAGCATATTATTATTGTAAAAACCAATATTCTATTGATTCTTTATGGATTTTTCAAATTAAACAACTCAATAAACCAACGCGGCTTAATCCTTGATCTGGTATTCACAAACTCTAAATTTATATCTATTGAGTTCGCACCCGAGTATGCTGTTCTTTTTCAAAGCCAATCGCCCAAGTATAATAAGCTACTTCCTAAATTCGTATAACTGGGAACAAACATTCTTATCACTTCGTACAGACCACACAATGAAATATTTCCTGGATGCTATTCATTCATAAATTCCCCTATGTCCCCAAAGTATATAAACATCGGAAATAACAACAATAATATGATTTGGTCTTTTATAGGTATGTAAGAGAAGCCGGAGGTTTGTGTATTGCGGATGAAGTGCAAGTAGGTTTTGGTCGATCAGGTACACACTATTGGGCTTTTGAACTGGACGGATCGGACATAGTTCCGGATATCGTGACCATCGGAAAACCCATGGGTAATGGTCATCCGATTGCTGCCGTCATTACGACTGAAGCCGTGGCTCGAAGTTTCGAAGCTACTGGCATTCAATACTTTAACACGGTAAGCGCCGCTTAAATTGTGTTATTATTATTTTACGGTTTTTTCGTGAGATTATAAGAACGAATTTAATATAATACGTATAGCAGGAAAAAACAAGAAAAACTACAAGTAGTTACACGAAGGCATGTCAAGAGAAACGAATATTTATTTTCGGGGTCGTCGATAAAATATGAATTGTTCATTGTAAATATCTTTTAAATAACATAAAACAATTTTTCTTTATAGTATGGTGGTAATCCTGTGTCCTGTGCCATTGCAAATGCCGTGATCGACGTTTTGGATAAAGAAAAAATGATGGACAACGCTAAAAACGTGGGCGAGTACCTACTGTCCGAATTGAAAAATATGCAAAATAAGTTTCCCGACGTGATCGGCGACGTTCGAGGCGTTGGATTTTTTGTGGGCATAGAATTGATAAAAAATCCGAAATCGAAAACGCCGGCTACCGAAGAAACCCGAGAAGTCGTCAACAGGTAATAATATTTTTGTATATAGCAATTCATGAGACAGCGATTTTCTATACGAAGATTTTGATTAACTTAATTTTGGTTTTTTCAATTATTAATAATTTATTATATATTTACCTACATTTTACCCTTATTCTATGTACCAAAAATACATATCGAATTTTGATTTTTAAATAGTAACTTACATTAAGGGAATCCAAAACAAACGTTTTTTTGACTAAAACATACCAAACTTAATTAATCATACTAGCCGGCTAATCTAGTGATGTGACAAGACTTTAAAAAAAAAAAAAACTGATTTGAATTTAGCGATGAGATTGATTTTAGACCACATTTTTAGATTCCAGCCTGTAATTTTTTCAATCTTGGTTTAAAATTTTTAATATCTGAATATTATATTGTTGATTATATGGAATTTAAGATTTAAGATCTGAAAAAAATGGCATGGCCGATCTCAAGGAGATATAATTAGGAATTCGATTTTTAACAGTCTTATCACATCACTATAGACACATTAAGTTGTGTTAATGTGGGTGGTCTTACGGAGGTACTACTGACACTAACGTTAATTTATTACACTCACGGGCTATACAAATCGCCATGAAATAGCCTCTATTTAATTCCATTTCGTTCAAAATACGAGATGTGGCTATTAAACAACGAGACTGCTCGCTTAGAGGACGCCTTAGATGGGTAGTAAAAAAAACGAGTAATGCGTTGGGTATCTAGATATCTTGCATAGATAAGATATCCATGCACGTACCAAAACACGTTTTCGTCACTATTATAGTATTTGTACAGTAGTGGTTTGAAACGAACGTGTTTTTTTTCTCGTGCCGAAAACCATGTGTGACGAAAAACATGAGCAACGGATAAACGTAAAATTTTCTTGTTAAACTAAAAAAAACTCCAACTGAGTGCTATAAGTTGTTAAAAGAGGCCTATAGTGAGGATTTCTTATCTCGGGCGCGTGTTTTTGAGTGCATAAATTATTTTCTGAAGGTCGAGAGTGCACCGGAATCCAATTCAGTCGTAATACAAATTCAAAACCGTTTTCTTCGATATCAACGGCATCGTGATGACTGAATGGGTTCCAGAGGGTCAAACTGTGAACCAACATTACTATTTGACAGTTTTGGCAACATTGCGCGAATGAGTTTGTAAGAAACGGTCGATATTGTGGAAAAACAAGTCGTGGATCTTGCACCAGGATAAAGCGTGAATCGTTATTTGGCCGCTTAAGGCACTCCAGTACTCGAACACGCGTCTTACTCACCGACTTGGCACCCTGCGACTTTTATTTGTTTCCGAAGATAAAGTCTGCCTTAAAAGGAATCCGGTTTGAGTCGATGGAAGAGGTGGAACAAAAATCGGCGGAACTCCTGAATGGTCTTACGAAAACAGACTTCCAGCACTGCCTCGAGCAATGGAAGAAACGAATGAAACGGTGTGTGACGAGAGGAGGGGAGTATATTGAAGGGGAGTATATTGAAGGGGAGTATTTGAATGTAGAATAACTTTTATAATAAAACACTTTTTCGTAACTAGTCTCGTTATTTAATAGCCACACCTCGTATACACTTGGTTCGAGATAAAAAATTTTAAGATGAAATTTTGTTTTAAAATTAATTTGACTGACGACGAAATCATGACTAAATAAACTTGGTTATTAATGACATTATTAAATAGGTACCTATTAATTATTATAACAATATAATATAAAACGAATGAAACAAAATTTCAGAATGAAAGACGAAGAGGGAATTTTGGTAAGCTGTGATGGACCGGACGTGAACGTTATAAAATTAAAGCCACCCATGGTGTTCGATAAAGGCAACGCCGACAAACTTTTAAAAGCTTTAAAGAAAATGATTTCAGATATCAGAACGCAACGATATCAGCTACTGTGATTTATATTTTTAACATATTATTATTATTATCACACAACCTATTGACAGTGTATTTTTATTGATAGAATAAGTATAAACCTACCTGTATATTATTATTTTATTATAAAGTTTTTGTTGTTATTGACCAAAATGTTTGGTTTCATAATATTACCGTTGTTTACATGTACTTACGTATTTGTTAATTTTTGTTTTTATTATTATTGTAATCCTAAATTTTAATGAGAAAGTAGATATTTCTATTTATAAACACTTCTTTTTCTTCTTCGCTTTTATCACAACTATTTGGAGTCAGCCACCCTCGTCCTAAACTTTTACTTTAAACGATCGCCTACGTCGTCCCCGCATATATCAGTCGTCCTCACATACACCCACCATGCTCATATCATTATGAATCGCATAATTCGTATCCAACCACCTCTTTTTCAATCTTCCTCCTTCACTTTTTTTTCCACGTCTATTTTCTATTACAATTTTTACTGCTTCAGAATATCTCAGTCTATTTTCCCTCACTTTTTCTACTATCAAATATCAAAACCCATTATAAAAAAAAAAAAAAAAATACTGCATTACACTTTGCTTTTTTCTAGGATCACTAAGTACAAGTTGTACTAAAATTTTTGTTAAATTTATCAGTATTTCTGTTTGGTCAAACAATTATATCTACATAGTACCTACCAAATAAAAACTACGTAAAAAAACTCACAAACATAAAATTTCTATGAATAGCTCAGAAATGTTTAGAATATTTTACAACGTCTAAAGAAGGAAAATATAAATGTCCTGTCAAAATTTCAAGTTTCTTCTTTATTTATAACTAAATTACAACAGAAAAATAAAATTGAAATTTAATTTTTTTAAACTTTCCCGTTCTTTCTATGTTTTGTCAATTATTAAGAGAACTACAAGAAAAACCAAAAAACAACTTTCTTACTTACCAACTAGATTCAAAATTTAACATAAAAGGTTTTTTTGTCATTTTTTAATTGGAGTAAGATTTTTAGTAGAAAAGTTGCTCACACATACAGATACACACAGACACACAGACACAAAAAAACATATTAAATTCAATAGATCCCTTGCTCCGCTCCGAATCTAAAAAAAAACTCATGATAATAAAACCATTACTTTCCTCACTATGCTCAGAATTTAAAACGAATAAATAAATAATATTGGTATTTTATAAACAAGTAGATATATTATTTAAAGAGAAAGTATAAATAGAGTGACAATTATACATACCTTTTCTTACAATATTTCAAAATTATTGGAAAACGATATTGTTTTTACAATATACTATTGGTTTTGTTCAGCGTAATCATGAATTCGGATCATATCTAAGCGCGCTATGACAATATCGCATTTATTATGAACTTCGTCGATCGCATTTTCGAGTAGGTCCACTCTCTTGACCAACCTGGACAAATAATGCATAATATATTAATACGTTGTATTATTATATACCTAGTATAATATTGTCAAGTTTGACAGTATGATATTTTCATAACTCGCCATTCTATATCTGACGAGATGTCGGGATTCGTAGTTTGGTTATCTTTGTTGATTCCTAAATATAGAATAAAAGAAAGCAAATATACTACACGTATATTGTGTTTTGAATATCATGTAACAGTGACAATTTAACAACGGAATTATTAAATCCCTTCCTATATATAGTAAGGGTGAAAGATAATTTTTTAGACCGTTTAATATTCCGGAGCAAAAAGAATGACAATATTTAAAATAATTATCTTACTATTACTACTGGTTGAAGGTTTGTTCCGGAGAACATCCCGGAACATCTGTTTGGCTTCATCTTCATGGACGGTCTTTTGCCGTTGGATACCATACTGGTCGAGAATATTTTGCACTTCGAAGTTCGTAAAACCGCAGCTGAATATACATAGTATGTAGGGTACAATGATATTAATCATATACGAAGTGCACATGTGTAGATGGGAGGTAGCCAATTTTTTAAATGTTAACATAATGGATATTTGAAAGTGTTTTGAGACTTACGAAATATTGCGTTCTATTTGGTAAACACAAGTTTTAATTATATAATATTAAAGATAAAATATTGGATTTATTGGTTAAAATGGAACGTAGTTCAAGCAGCTGACCAGTTGTAGAAAAGCTTTGCTCTGCTGTACAATTTTCAAAAATTCCCTTCTTTCTCTGTGCCCTTCTTATATTAATATATTATCGACTCTTTACAAAATATGTATTTCAAATTTACATGGATATTAAAAGGTTAAACTCTGGGTCCCCGTATATACATCGTACTTGATTATGTTAATTACTGTAATAGTAATTAATCAATTTTATCAGATCTCGTTCTTCTCTCTAACACAGGCAGTTTAATGAATTTCTGTGTAAATGTAATTCGGCTTATTTGGATTTAATACAACACATCATGATCGTTGGCTCAGTAAAGGTCGAGTAATTGAACGTTTTTGGAACATTAAAGAAGAAGTAAAAACATTCCTTAAAAATGTAGATACTGAAGAAGTAAAAAAGCATTCGGAGTTCTTAGAAAACAACTAGATAATTATTTTTATTTTTATACTGCTATTTTTCAAATATAAAGATTTGATAAAGATTCTTTTCCCTAGACCTCATTGATTTATTATTTTAATCTTAAAGACTACTTACAAATACCTGGGTTATTGGATAACTATTTTCAAGTGATTAGCACGTATTTTGGAGATGTTGCTTTGAGCAACCTAGTAACAAGTTTAGTGAACAAACTGGTTTGGGCGGTTGTTTACTAATTACAGCTATTGTTTAATAACTGAATTTATTTACTTTTTGACAACCAAGGAACAAAAATCAGCATACAATTAAAAACTACAATTATTGTCTTCAGTTATTGGCTGCAGTTTATTGGTAAAATACTGCAGAGTAAACAAAACTTTTTGACGATATTGTAACCAAATAATAAACAACAACAATTAACGCAAAAAAGGGTTTACTGAAAATTGAATGATCTCAGAAAGTATTAAAATAATAGTATTTACAATTGTAGAGCCGCTTATTGTTTCTTAAATTTTCTATAAAACAAATTCTAAAAATAGTTAATATTTTCCGAAATAATCCGTGCCTTATGATAGATCAATCACCCTGTATAGACGTGAAATTTGATTACTATTATTAAATAGCTGTAGGTGTGTTTTGGTGGAGTAGTTTTCAGTAAACTGTTTGTTGCGTTGATTGTTGTTGTTTGTTACTTGGCTACAATGTCGTCAAAAAGTTGTGTTTACTCTGCAGTATTGTATCAATAAACTGCAGCCAATAACTGAAGACAATAATCGTATTTTTTTTATTGTATATTGATTTTTATACCTTGGTTGTCAAAAATCTAACCAAAACAACAGTTTGTTCGCTAAATTTGTTACTAGGTTGCTCAAAATAACATCTTTAAAACACGAGCTGTATTAGAAATATAGTTATAGTTATAGTTAATTACCTGTATAGTGTATACATTTTATTTATTTTGTTTTTCATCTTACGTATTTACTCAAATTGTAGCTTAAAGTTTACGAAAGATATACAAAAATACAAAAGTATGCTTATTCAAAGAATATGTGTTGGCATATTAAATTTGATGACTCCTCGATAAAATGTATAGTTTAAATATCGACGCATAAGAACTATTTGACAAAGACTATATTTTCGGGAGTACGAAATTTAAAACTGATTGTTTATTATAAATAAGGTCCCCTCTCATTTGAGTTTCGTTTATGAATTTTATATGTTTCTCCGGTCATATATCGTTATATACCGTTTAAGTGTCTTGTAGACATCCTCGTAGGTCATTTGACCTTGCAGCTGGTCATTGAACTTCTTTTCCTGACGTCGTTCCACCCATTTTCTAAGCCCGATTCGCTCGAGTGCCTTTTCCAAGTACGTCGAAACGCTGTCGCAAACGTATCGTTTCCGATCACCTAGCAATTCCTCAACGTTCACGTCGAAGTAGCCGTGAAAAACGATCGCCACCAGCATTGTCTAATAGACCGCCCGAAAAACAAACAAAAAAATGAACCCCAAGATTAGGTGGGTAGACCGACATGAGTTGCGTTAACTCTCAAGTAAATAAGCAGGTGATAAACGCAAGTGTACAGGTAGGTAAATACTTACTAAAATAACGAAAATCACAACGCACGTGAATAAGACGAAAATAAACGCGGTAAACGACTGGTCTGCTTGTTCGAGTGACCGAAAGTCGAAATCTCTCATCAGTATTCTGAGCGACGATAGGAACGAATCGTTCACGGTGGAGAATCCTTTAACCTGCAGGAAAAAACGAGCATCTATAAACTAGTAAACTGCTGAAACTATAATTTATTAATTAACTATTTAAATACACTTAAGAAGATGTCAGCGTGAACGTTTTTGAACAAGGAAACCTTGTGTCGAAAAATCGTTTTGAAACGAGTATGATTTAGCGTAAAATAGTCTAGTAATGTTATTTAATTGAGTATAAATTTATACAAATGTATACCTTTTTTAACTATAAAAATAAATTAAATAATGTTTAAATACAATTACTATACTAATAAAACGAATTAAAAGTAAATAATAATGAAAAATGTTCCATTTTCTCGCGTATATGTTATATCATCGAAATTAAGAAAATTGAAAATCTGATCACGATTATTTATAGAGTAGGATAATGATATTTGAACAAAAATTATATTTGGCGTTTTTTTGATACTCGACATTTCCCCTCCGAAAGATAAATGGGATGACAAGGGACAAAAGGAATGAAATCTGAAAACCGTATTGTGGTAAATTCATAGGTGTGCACACGGGGGGGTGTCAGGTGTGCCTGGGTACCTCCTGCCATTTTGTAATTGGAGCTCTAAAATTTAAGTCTTAGAGCACAGGGCTCGTATTTCAACTAATGTTACTAGAATAAAATGTAATGTATTCTAATATAATATGGGGTAAAAATAAATCATGTTTCGTGATTAAAAAATAATAAAACGTAAAATATTTTAAATTTGCTTCGAAAAACTTATTATGGTTATAAAAGCTAGATGTTATTGTTTACCAAAATACAAACAATAAATAAACACTGAAATTATCATAGAAATTGATATTAGATTCAATGAGCATTGTACTTTTGTTACTAGTTGTTCGTGTGAACGGGTATTTTCAAAATTAAATATCGTGAAAAGTAAATTAAAAGTAGGGACTATAGCCCAAGATCGTTTGGAATCATTAATTTTACTTTTCATGTAACAAGAAATGGTCTTTAATATTTATGTAGATTTAGTTATTAACGAGTTTAATAATTTAAGTAAGAGGTGCGTGTTATTATATAAATTTGTTATTTTTGTATTTAATATACATGTCTTATTAAGAAACATTAAGAAAAGAGCCCAAAAATATTGTAAACGACCCCCGAAATTTAGGTCTGCGCACGCCTATGCATGGTTTTATTCATTGTGGACATACAATCAAGAGTTTTATGAGCCGTTTTCGATATTTCAGCATTTATTTTTTCGGAAAGTCATATGGAGTGAAAAAGGAAAATGTGACCACGAATTATTTATAGTGAAGGATATACGAACAAGTTTTATGAAACATTTTCGGATATTTGAAAAGCCAAATGGAGCGAAAACTATTTTTTAACTCCTTTTGTAAACGAAAAATCTAATTATTGATTATTATATTACAATTGAAAAGCACATGCAAAATTTCAAGTTCATCTTATAATAAGATGCGGGACAAAAATCGATCGTAAATTAAATTTCTTCTTCACGAGCAAATTATTATTATAAAGTTTGGTAAAAACAAAACCACTATTTAGTAGTAAGTCTTGAATATATACGACTGGCCTTATTTTAGTAAATTAAAAACCACATTAATGTTAAACCCTGGTGCTATATTGTCTTTAATTTTAGAATCGGAGCGTATAGCGAGAAATGTATCGGTTTTACAATGATGTTTATTTTTTTATTATTCTGTGAACAACTTTTCTACCAGATATCTTGCTCTGATGTATCAAGTGTAGCACCTTCTAGTAATAATTGGGAAAAATTGGGATAAACTGTAGAAAAAACGGGAAAATGTACGAAATTTATTATTTCCGATTTCTTTTATGTATTACTTATAATACAGTTTTCATAACTACATTTAGATTTTACTTATATATTTTATATCAAATGAATTATTTTTTTTAAAATTACAATACAGAAAGCTAAATTGTCAAACCCAAAATTTGGATTTCATAATTTGAAATCCAGATTTAGTAGAGCCTAATATCCGAAATCTGGATTTTTAGATAATCCGGATTTATGTTACATCACTAGTAGGTACTCTAGCTGTGGATATAGATATTAAACTAAATAGAAATGCTTGAACATTTAGCAGAAGGTTCATTATAAGTCGTACTTTGTGAAAAAAAAATGAGTTTTTGAAAAGAATTTGAATATCAAATTTTGATGAAAATAGTAAATATTACGGCTTTTTAAAACATGTACAACCGAATTTCGTTCTGAATTGTTTTTCATTAGTAAGATATCAATTAAATCATTAGTAGATATCAATTAAATTCCTTTCTATATCCTACCTTTCTAACTTCTAACCTACAACAGTGGCCCATCTGTAGTACGAAGTATATCCATTTTTTGAAATTTGCATTTTTCTATAAAGTCATTAAAATTGCCTATATGTGACTCCTTAAATATCTGGCGTGTGATAATATACTCTTATTGGAGGAGAAAAAAAAATTGCGTTCGAATCATTTATACAGAGGAATATGGTATAGTACGAAAATGCAGTGGTTTTAAATTCTTACAGTATACTTATGAACATGCAAGAAATAGTCTGAAAAATGTAATTTCTCAAAATCGCTTACGAATACCTGTAATAATATTTATATACCAGATGAAGAGAAAGATTATTTCAAATCAAATCCTTGATTTCCGCATCTTAACATAGATTAGCGGAAGTCAAGTATATATAGGTTATCAATTCTATATAGATATAACTAGGATATCTTAATCCTTCTTTTTAGTCTCATTTTCATACCTATTAATACACCTATGCAAAAATAATATCATTAATAATGTTTTTTTTATATTATAATATTATTACCTGTGCCCCGAAAGCGCAATATCCGAGCATGGCGAACGCGATCACGACAACAGTCATCAGTACTAGGTATCCTGCGACGATTTTGAAACTCTGCAACACAGAAAACTTCGATTTATAATATGCATATATACAACATTTCAAGTATATTTATATTAAACAAATCCCCTACTGATGTTGGTTTTATTTTTAATTTTAAAGTATATTTATACTGTAAAACAATCCTGGATTTTATTTTTTTTCCACGTTGTTATTTTTTTTATAAATTAACAATCTTAAAAAATCTCTGGGAATTAAAATCCAAGCTATATAAGTATTAGTTTTTATATAAATATATACTTTTTTATTTTTATATTACCCGGCCCACGCTTAAGTACACGATCGTCATCGTTCTGTTCAGATCGGTGTATTTGATGATTTTCACGCAGACCAAGAAAAAGGCATACGCGGTCACTTGTAAGAGGATTTCATGTCTGGTGACCAGGTATTCAAAAAATCGCATGGTTCCCCGAGATGCAGCCTTGTCTGTGACAACCTTTTCTTGTAGTTTTGACGGTGGTTCCCTGAAATGAATCGCCAACGCAACGCCAAAGCTACACCATCCTAACTGTGGAAATACGGTTGGATTAAAAATCTAGATGTTTTTATAGTGTTTTCATGTTTTTACTACTTTAATGGACTTAAATAAAACGATTTTGGTGAAAAAGCGGACATCAAATTTCGGTCAAATTTCGGTAATTTAATCAGATTTAAAGGAAATCCTATTCAAGTAACCCGTTCTCTGTTCAATGACTTCAGATTGAGATGGGGTTTTCAGGAGGCATATGAAAGAAAACTTTAAACAAGTTGACAAAATTGAATAATATGCTGACTGCAGTCATGTATGGATAATGATAGGATAAATTTCGAACAATTTATAAGATATAAGTATTAAATAATTTTATAAAATAAATAATAGAAATTACAGATATTGTGTTAATTGGTTCTAAGTTTTTTGAATACTTTAATCGATTTAAATTGAAAGTTAAGCTATGGTATTCAGTCAATTTTGGTTTTAGAGCAATGATTAAAAGGTTAAAATAACTTTAAAAAATTCAGTTTATCCAAATCTTGTGTTTAAAATATATGTTATCATTTAAAAAAATACAAGTTGTATCACGCATGGTATGATAAAAAATGCTAAACATTTTAAAATAATCAAAATCTTATTTCAATTCGAAGTCACTAGACAGAAATATTTCGTGTTAATAAAAAAAAAAAACACACTGTACGCTTATATATTAGTAGAACAGTGGTTTACGATGACATTTTAATTTAGATACATATAGACCATGTTAATTGCTGATTTTTTTTTATCCTTGACAGACAATCAACTTATTCCTGAGTTAACCACTCTATTATTGTATAGGCGTATAGGCTCTCTAGGTCTAGTCTATATAGAGAGTCTCTATATAGGCTAGACGAACGTACAGTTTAGGTTGTTCGAGACTTACAACCACGATGCTGAAATCGATGATGTTCCAGAACACGGTGAAGTAGTCTAGTCGGAAGTAGGCCATTTCGTTAAGCTCCTCTACCGTGAAATAAACCAAGAATGCGACGACGGCGAGCATCATGAACAGGTCCAGCAACGAATCGGCGACCGCGTACCGGTACAGTTTTACGGTTCGGAACGATGACGACGGGACAATACCACCAGACGCCGGGAACTCGAACACTAACCTTTGGGAATTTATTATTGAAGAAATATCAACATCGTTTTATACATACAAAATTTAATATTAAAAAAGGACGGACATACTTCACATGTAGGTGAAGCCACTGTTGGTGGGAAGTTGGGAAGTTAGGGTACATACGGGAATTTAATACATATCTGTAAGCAATGATAAACCATTGCTAACGAGAAAACGATTCTGAGAGGAGTTCAGTTGATAGTATTGCTTTGTCAACAGCACAATATATGGTATATGTCATAGTATGATAAAATGATTACAATAATGTACGTTTTCATCATAACAATAATTGTTTAAAAAAGATTAAGATAATAAAAACTTAATAATAACAAAAAATAAATAAAAATGGTTGCCAATGACAACATTATTTTTAATCTTTTAATCTTTTTTAACCTAAAGACCGAAGTTTTCTTCATTATCTCAAATATTAATAAGAATTCAAAAAAATTTCCTCTTTAAAGTACCACTCAGAGAACATTTTCTTTCAGAAAAAGTCTTCACATAAAAAAAAAATAAACTTCATTGTAAAAATAATAAATTTCAGAATCTAAAATTGAAATTATATAAAATTATATGAAATACGTTCGTACTTGGCGACGCAAACGACGTTTATGTTGCAGTTGTAAATGGCGAAATCCACGAATACGGCCCTGGTGCCACGATTCAACCAAGTGTTGTATTCGAGATCCTTGATAAACTTTCGGGCTTCCGATTTATCTTTTGGAAAATCGAAATAGTATCCACCGGCTCCGTAGTACGCGATTTCGCCTTCATAAAATACACCCTGGGTTACCGAATCGTCGGAGTACGTCCATCTAAACATCAGAATATAATTAACTAAATGTTAAGTCTATATAATAATTAATTCGTTTTGATCGTTTTATCCACTTGAATAACTTTTAAAAAAATAATTGTAACCTTGTATTTTTTTGGTGAAATTGTAATAAGCTGAAATATCATATTATAAAAAAAAATTAAAATCGAGCTATACAAGTACGACATAAACGACATTTACAATACCTATTAAATTGGATTACGCGTAACTACGTAATAATTTATAAACTGTAGTAACGAATAATTGTTAGAAATAAATTATTTCTAAATAATCGGAGCGTTCGAAGTTCTAAGTTCATTAAATTTTAGTTTGTAGGATTGAAAACTGGTGCAGTGATTGGTGACATTTATATTGGAATTCAACCAAAATATTATCACTTCAATACGTCTATAAAACAAACTATCGTAACTCTCAATTTTGAGCTCATAAGGAACCTTAAAAGTGTCCAAAAGTAAAGAGAAAAGACATATACAATAAACAAAATAGTCCCTGTATATTTTCTGCGAAAATTCGATAATAAAATATATAACTTACTGAGTTCCTTTTTTCGGTCCGAAACTCGCCTTGTCTTCGTATTTGATCTCGTACGGGACGTAACATTCTTGGAAAAGACCTTTGAATTGGTTTCTGATTTTGCAATGTCCTTCTTGCACTCTAACCTAATATATAAGTAGAGCGTATCATGTAATTGCACTTATTTAATAAGAGAGAGCAAGTGTCTTTAAACATAAAAACTGTTTTAACTGTTTTTTTTTTTTTTTAACTATGGAAAAACATACATTTACGCAATATTTACGCAACAATGGTTTCTGTTATTTTCTAGTAATTTAGTCTAAAATAAACATTAATCGTACAGAACTGTACAGAACTTTCACCGATTGCATATACATAAATTTATACTTTTTATACGTTGAACTGTTTCCAACATATTCTATTATATTTTGAGTTGTTTAATTATATGCAATTTTCGAGGTTTTTTTTTTGTTGTTTATGGATACAGTTTTTTTTATTATTAATCATGAATTTAATTTAATGAGCGTTTGAAGTTCAAATTTATAAATGGAATTCGTTAAAGATACGAACAATTGTAATTTATTTTGTATAGTTACAAATTAATGCAGTTTTAAATTTAAGTTTATCAAAATATGTTCGTTCAGGATCTTTTATCGTTTGATTAATCGCCGCGTAAAGTTAGACATTGAAAACACACCTCCCCAACTGTTTTACTATCGTCATAAGTTCGAATTCGACGAAAATTGTTTAAATTACGTCAACATTACACGATACACGTGGATAAAACTTCCTGTATTCCTTTTTAACCCGGCCCACTTTTTCAATACGGGCCAGTGGACCACCGGGTCAGTAACTGTTCCTGCCTGTACGGACGTAATAATATTATAATAATGTTAAAACGGACGGCACTGATAGAGGCGTACGTTTTATAAATCCGTGTACGGAATTTTACCGAGATTAACGTGCAATATAATATACTGTGATATAATATTTTGGATACGACGGACAGCGGAGAAAAAAATACCGTCCGATTAGTACTGTATAACAATAATATCAGTGTAACACCAACATAATATTATTATAATTATCGGCATCGAAAAACGCGCGCACGCACGCAGACCATACGCGGAATAAGCCGCAGCCGTCGGTCGCGATGCGCGTCGAGGATTCGAGCGCAGTATTTATACTGGGAATCCCGCGCAGAGCCCGACGTAATCCTCTAAATGGGTACGGCGGCTCTCAAATCCCGCGGGATTTACTTCTTAAAACCACATAATTCTGTATTTACAGATACACAACAATAATATGTAATTATTATTAATATAATAATATTGTCACGATGTTTTCTGAAATAGACCAATTGAGAGTATGCCAGACAGAGAGAGAGAGTGAGAGACAGACAAGTATCCCGACTATCGCTGAATATGTCACACCGACACTATAACACACGTCCTAATACTGTCCAATAATATTAATAATATTTTATAAAACAATTATGTTTAGTAACTCGAGCGCTACGTGTTTGTCTGGTCCGTTACTATGATAATAATTTTCACCTGTCTCGACCTGGGCCTGTACAGGAATTTGTTCTCGTACAGTATTTCGGTACCGTTTCCTTGGTTTTCGCCCGCTGCTCCGACCGGCAATTCGTACAGTTTTTCGCACAGAACGTGATAAAAGTACTATAATATTGGGCGTACAATATAATACAATGTTATTGTTTATAAATAATGTTGAAACATTGAGCGTTTCATCGCGAATCGCCGCGTTATTCCGCGGTCGCGTACCTTCCAGAAGTTTTCCATGGTGATGATCTCGTTGAATTTTATGAACGACACGTCGACCATCTCGTCGTTTTCCGAGGACGAGGCGAAACCTAAGTCCAAGAACAACGAGGAAATTTCTCGGTTGACCACGTACGTATCGCGCGAATACAGATCGGAACAACCTGCCGAAAATTGCGGTTAGTTTACTATTGTTATTGTTATTTTTATGCGGCAGTTATTGTGTCGGTTGAATTATTCTGACGGTCGGTAGGCCTTGAAATCGGGCACTGCGTTAAAAAAATAATAATAATCGAGTGCTGTGGCGCTAAAAGTCTCTCAAACATAAAACAATAGCGCGTACTGGCTGTAACCATTAATTTATTATCAGCACATATTTGCACACCTGGCCTACACCCGCAAGTTACCGAACACCAATCATATGGACCTGCCTTATATATATAAGTTGATAAAGTTATAAACGACTTGCGCATTTGACAATATATTATCTATACATATAAGAATACCAATTATTTAAATATTAAAAGATATTTCGTTTTTACCTAAGTTTAAAACTGTTTTATATATTGCTGCTCTAAGGACATTTTTCACAATGTTCAAATTCATTTTTTTATTTTTTGAAGAAAATTACTAGTTACTATTAAATTAAAATCCCAACTCCCAACGCGTGCTCGATTACATGGCGCTTACGGTGGGAAATGTATCTAATTCGTTTACTTGTGTCTTGGTCGTATTGTTTTACGCATTTTTATGCAATTAGAAAAGATTTTATGCTACTTATGATTTTGTTTAAAAATAAATGTTAACAAAATTAATTCGGCTATTAGACAGTAGATAGGGGAAATTCTTAGATTAAGTCACGCAGAGTATTTATTCGATTAGTTTCCAGCTTACAGACGATGAACAGTGCTGCGAAAACACCGTACGTGAACATTTCTTGGATTGTACGTCTAATGTACACGTCTCGATCGTTTTGGTGTGCGGCGATCTGTCTGGTCTTCCAAAATGCTGGAAAAATAAAATAAGAATATTAATTGTCCAACTGGGATGAGGAGAATTTTGGAATCATTCGATGGCCCATAATTATAATATAATATGTATAGCTTCGTACTTATATTTACGTAAATTAGACTATTAGCAGCAGCTAATGAAAAAGCCATAGATGTAACAACCTAATGGATCATACACGAGATTTATTATTACACTATTATATTGTAAATTTTCGTCCAGCACCGGACACAAAAAGAACATTATGCAACAGTATGTTACTAATTAAAAAATAAATTACAAAAAATATTGTCCATAAAAAACCAAATTAAAATTAAAAAACTAATTTATAATAACTATAAATACTTTAAAAATGTTCAGAATTTTGTGAAAATTGCACCAAATTTAAATAGGGTTAATATAAGTATTCAAGAATATTTATTAAAAATGTGATATCATTACGATTATTTCCAACTGAATCACAATGAAAAAATAAAATAAAAAAATTGTTATTGTTATTGCATAAATAATATTCCTGTTTTTCCGACATATTTTTGCTCAAATTATGAAGTTAACTATTAGGAAAATCAAAATATGACCTTCTGCACCAACTTAATATACAATTTTCTACTCACACATTTTTGATTTTTATTTGCAATTTGAGTAAGATTTCTGGTAGAAAAATTGTTAAAAAATAACAGTTGAAAAAAAAATAAAAAAAAATACATTATAATAAAACTAATATATTCTTTACTACGGTCAGAATCTAAAAATATGCAATACATTATACAACATAAATACTAAAGTGATATAAATATGAAATGATTATGGTCAAAATGTGTTAAAAATACTATCGATGGGAAAAAAGGGGGTATTATAGCACCCCGTGGTTATGCCAGTGTTAGTCATCACATACTCGTAAATAAATTGTTTTTTTTATCGAGATTTTTTAGCTTTCCAATTGGTTAAAGGAATGTATACACGCAGAAGTTCTCTTCTTTTGGCGCCACAATATAATATATTATGTCATATGATAAGTATAATATTATATTAATTTTGACTAGGGTACATCCCTGAGGGTAGGAGGACATTTATACCCCACCTCCACGTACAATTTTACATTTTTACCTCACATATAATTTCTATTATTATCTACAATTTGAAGTCTTCATTTCGACAAAGTTTGTCTCATCGAATATTTTAGTATTCCCTCACTCCTCGTGGAATTGACCTATTGACCCGAATACCCGTCGACCTCTTACTTAAATTATGGTAATAATTGAAATATATAATTTATCGGCATTCAGAGTATTATGTAAGTCGTATAATATGGTAATATCGTCCCTAAAGCCTTTGCCATGCGCTATGAAAATTTCCTAGAATTCCGATTAGAGAGTATTCCATCGTAAATGTATCGTATAATATTCGTACGATACCTACGTGATTACACCTACATATTAGATTCGAACCAAGAGCCAAGACTAGAGTTGGAGATTTAAGCCTGTGGTACTTATAGAGATGAGATTTATTGTCGTTCTATATGCCAGTGCTTGATTTCGAAAAACAATATATTATAGAAACACAATTTCCATATTGGAGAAATAAGTAAATTTCGCAAAGGTAATATTTTGGACCGCGCAAATATCTATTAATAATTTATTAGACATAAAATATTGATAAAAGTTAATACTTTCCGCGATAATGAGTGTAAAAAAATAATCACTCTGTAGACCGCATGCGTTATTATTATTACATCGATGATTGGTCGTACGGCGAGGAATTTTACTCGGCTATATAGATTCGGTGCCACTAAACAATAAACAATGTGTGTAAATAGAAGAAAAAAAAATAACTTCTGTATGATATAATTTTCTGTTATTGAAATAAGTTATTTTGCTCTTATCGCGGTGAATAATTAGATGTAAGTACCTATGAGTATATAGATAAACAATTTGAACGTCGTCGTCGTCGTAAAAATTAAAAGGCCTAGTTTTTTTTTTTATATATATTTGTTTCGATATTAAAACGCCTGTAATCTTTAAAACCAAAAGTAAATTGAAGATAAATCGAAGGCCTTAATAGGTCGTAAATCAAAAATTATACCTACATCGACGAGACGATACAGACGGGTGCCATATAATCTCATATTATACACGGGTATGTTTGCTACTATTACCTCCTTGAAAAGAATATACATGTTTGACGTTACTTCAGTCATATTATATAGTCGTTGTTTCCTCATCAAAAAAGGGTGAAACAAGAAAAAAAGAACAGGTACCCGATAAGATCATAGATATACAGGGTGATCAATTGTTGAATATAATACATTTTTCGGAATTTTTCGTTCTGGAAAATCTAAGAAACAAGCAGCACTAAAATTTTACATTACTGTTATTCTGTGGAGTGATACGACTACTAAATTTTAATTTTCAAATGGCAACCTAATAATTTAAAAATTCCGTAAATAAAAATATGTAATTTAGTTCACATATTTAGATTTATGTTATTATATGAAAATCATGTGAGCAGTGGTTTCAATTCCAAAAATAAGTTAAATTATAAAACTATCAACAAAAAAATTCCGAAAAAATTAAATACTTCCCGAGATAATAACGACTGTTTTATTGATAATTGATTACTTTGTATACTATATAGATTTATACAATATTATATTACAACAATATTCTTTTCTTTTAACAAATTATTGAAACGCGATTATAGGTTTTTAATAGGGTATAATTATTATTATCCATCGTATTCGTATAAAATATAGGGAATTAATGTAATACTGAATAAAATTAGTATCGTATTCACATAAATGACTATCGTGGACACCTCATTTTGTTTGATAAATCCGATAAATTGGAAAACAAAAACTGTGAAATTGACCCTGTATCATACTTGAGAATAAAAAGTATTTAAAATTTGTTCTGCAAATAATCACGTGGTAGAATACGTTTAAATAATTATTTATAAATTAACAACCAGTTAGTAGTTATACTATATTTGCTTATATACCTATTAAGTTAAATTGTATTTATTGAAATAAATTTCACAGTTATTCACATTAAACCTTTAACTCCCCCAGTGGTCTATTTTTGAAAAATATATTGTAAAAAAATGACTGCAAATAGAGTTAATATAATGGCCACGATTAATCAATAAACTGATTTGTTGTTTTCGAAGTGCATTCTCAAATCCTTTGCTCTTCAAACAGATACATCTTTGCATCGTGCCTCCATGCGTCTTTACTGGGATTTGCTTTTGCCTACACGTGCTTGTTTATATTAAGAGTGACTGTTTGGAGAGCGGAACACAGCAGGAATATACCGGGGGCATGGATTGGCCCACTGGGAGTTAAAGATTTTTCGCAACGGACCGTTCCGAAATAATTTAGCCAATCACACAATTCAAATTTCGAGTAGCACCGTAGACATTTTGTTCGTTGTTTGGGTTTTAGAATTTTAAACATAATTTTATCATTTCATATCCTCCCGTCGTTCACGTTCGTCCGTATAGTTACTAATAGTTACCTACGGTTATTGATTTGGTTGACAGCGAGTGTTTAAAAAATGTATGAAATATTTCAGTTATTTTTGTAAGAAGTTACAAAGAAAATAATAATTTTAAAAACAAAATATATTTCATCGATTCAAACATTTTTTAAAAAGTGTACGCATTGGAACGCACGCTATTGCGAGATACTTGGGCTAAAATTATCCCTAAAATAATATACATTCAAACTGAATCAAATTTATGTAGATTTCTACACAATAGCTTAATGTTTTAGGTTACCGAATTTCTTCAAAATTATAATTATTGTGTATGGGTGCATTTGTTTAATGCATATAATACTATTATATTAGCATTTAATGATTCCCTTGATATCGGCGGTTCGAATTACAAATAAAAATGTATACATACCATATACTATATATAATATATATTGTTGGTACATAAAAAAATTTGTATTTTTATTTTTTTGGCCATGTTTAACTTTACATAGACAGTTGTGTCGCGTAAACGACCGATGACTGATCAATTTCCAGGGCTGTACTCAGCTTTGCCGGGTCCCGGGCAAACTAAATCCCTTTGTTTTTTTAGTGTTTGGCCTGATTTTCAATGGACAATTTGTATGGTAGGCCCGATCTCCTTAATAACAGACTTAGGGCCCGGCTCCAGACAAATGACCTGAGAACAGCTCTATATATTACGACTGGTAACGTACCTTTGCGGACCCGTAGTACGGCCGGATCCGACGAGTCCGGTTCCAAGCGGACTCCCGTGATCAAACCGGGCGATTGCATGATGACGAGATTACGAGAGAGAGACAGAGAGAGAAAAACCTCGCGTAATATTATAAACGGCGGCTGTCGGAAATATGATAATAACAGCAGCAGTGATATACTGTTTATGCACGCGCAAGCATTGTGTTGTTGTCACGCAACGGTCACACAATATCAGATGTTTAATGTTTACATTATACCAGTCGTTTATTTGTATTTTTTTTCCCGGTTCGTTTTTCGTTTTTCGCGCGGGGACCGCGACATAAGCTTATATTTGTTTGTTTAACCACAACATACGCCGACCGCGGCTCGTCTCTCTCTCTATCTCTCTCTCTCTCTCGGACGGCGAAAACAGAAACGGGCGTCGGATGGGGGGGGGGAAAGTCGTTACCGATTTAATAAGATCTATAATTCATAATATATATTATTATTATTATTATATTCCGCGGCGAGCCCGCAAACACACACAGATTCCTAATAGACTTTTCGGAGGGGAGGGCGGTCGAAGTCTAGCTATTGTTATTTATGCCTTTTGGACCCTCCGGCGGTGACAATAGCGAAAACACCCCACGAGCGGCGTTATAATAACAATAATACCGTATTATACAATATATGTACATTGTCATTTCTCTCGCAGGCGCGCGCGCGCGGTTTTACGACCGACCGTCCGTGTCCGCCGCCGCATTAACATACATATTATTACTGTATATACGAGCAATAATAATTACGACCTGTTTATAAGACCCCCGTCAGCTATATTATTATACGACGACGACGACGGCGGCGGTCCTCGTTTTGCATTTTATTTGAATTTTTCGGGTCCGGGCGCCCGTGAAACACTATAATACTCTGCGCATTCACATTCGAAAAGACATATTATTCTTGGTGCACACTCTTAAGCCGGATTTACACGAGACGCGAGTGAAATGCGTGAAGCATGGTGGTAGGGGGGGGGAATAAAGGCGATCGCCTCATTTCAAGAGGGGTCACAAAAACTCGATGACATTATACAATTTTTTTTTGCCCATCTCATCACTATAACATATGCCCCAAAGGTGTGTTGTAAACGGTGTATTTCGTTACGTGCTATAAGTCATCAACACGCGTTAATATTATTATCAGCAGGTGAAATATTTAGCTTTACATCAGCTTCAATATTGTATTTATATATAAAAATGTTGTACATTAAAATTAAATCTTATAACAATAGGCGATAACTTTTTTTTTCAAATTTAAATTAGTGTTGTGAATGAGTGCTAAAGCACAGTACTCCAGGGCGTCAAAAGTGTAAATAGGTCTTTGAACACGAGGTCACCTCACAAAATAGCCGATTCACCGAAATCGTGATTAAGCCTAAGTATAGCCATAGGTATAGCCATATATTTTGATAGTATTTCATTGTGAGGTCATCTTAATAATATATATCATAAGTTTAAAACCAAAACCAGAAACTTGAGCTTTACAATTATATCTTATAACTTATGAGTGGTTTGAATTTTATGATGCATAGTTATATTATTTAAAACATTTTAAAATGCATAATTTTTGGACACTATTGCGTATTATCAGAAATAAAATAACTCCTGTTATTGCTCGCCTATACGATAATCCTATTCTGCCAGGAACTGTAATTTACACACCCCAAATCAAAATAGTCGAATCACCCAATAACCGCAGCACAAAATGTCAAACAATCTATGTCAATAAAACGTAAATTGATAAAAATGTCACTTACTGCGTTTTACGATTAGACGGCCGTTTTGACAAGCGTCTAAAACTCGACAGTGGTCCGGCTCACCGTGAGGCCACTTTAGGCTGGTCGAATTATGTTGTATATTACCTCACGTATCACATTCACGTTATTTGAACCCAGCTTTTCATATCGAATTTACCGTTTATCAATTATGGCAGTTCGAAATTTAGACCACAGTAGTATGCACAAGAAATAATATAAGTATACGGTCATACGGGCACCAGCCATCATATTAAGCTTCATACATACAATGATAAAAAATCCGACGGCTTGGGCACGTGTAATGCAAAGAGAACGATATAGTGTAGAGCAGTTATGAACCGGCAATGAGCACAAAGAGACCTCGAAGTTAGCCTAGGACAAAATGGACTACGGATGTTGAACCAGATCTTGACAGAACGAAAGTACATGAGTGGATATAGAAGTAGTTCAGGATCGAGTTAAGTGGTGGGAGATTGTGATAACGACAATAATACGTACAGAGTAAATTAAATGCTAGAAGAAGACGAAGAAGAAACTGGGAAGAACAATACATTTAATCTATGTATGAAATAAATTAATATATGAAACGTTTATGACTTACATGAAATAAGGGTGAAATGTTGAACATATTGTAAATAAGATTATTCAATGGTTCTAAATGTATTGTATAATTGTTATACAATAATTGTACTATAATACATGGGAAAATCAAAATAAACTTTAAACTTAGAATCTATAAGTATTAATACTCTGTATGATTATGAATTGTATGGTATAAACGAACTTTAAAAAAAAAATCAAGGTTCAAAATTCAAAACAAATGTATAACGTTTGCAGTGAAAACTTTACTATGGGATTTGATGGCAGATGTTCAAATAACACTCAGTACCTATTTTAAAAATTCAAAATAAATAATTCCATTGCATTTTCGTTTAACCAAGTGTGTTCGATTTCCGCACGGAAACTATTTAGATATTTCGTTAGGTTCAATTATTCGCGATTTTCAGTTCAAAGCGTTATTGTAATATACTGCAGACTTCTATTATACGCCGTCGCACAATAGCGTGTGTTTTGGTATAATCGAGTTACTCGGTGACCCCTCTAACGAATTATATTATGTTATTACGAGTATATCAGACATTCTCGTTAAAAGTCAATTGCCCGTAAATATAATAAAGCACAAGAACTGTATAGGTTATATGTGTATAAGGGATATGTAATAACATTTACTTGAGTTTACTGAATTATTGCATTCGGTTATCGAAGTTAATACGCGCATAATACTATAATATTGTTACGCGTGTAAGTGTAATGTATATCGTTATCTGTGACCAATCATTTAATAATGTATTTAAATCTGAAATCGTCACAGTATTTGTATTTACGATTCGGACTAGTCGTCAAAACTATTCTACAGAGTGTATCTGCAGGATTTACAAATTTCTGCTGTAATTGTATAGGAAATTGTAAAATCCTGTAGGTACACCCTATACGCAATAAGCAACTTTACTATTTTAGACGTTAAAGTGATTACAGTCATGCGTTAAATCTGGCGAAGCTATCCCAGAACTAAAGAGTTCCATATCGATGATTAATATTCTGTAAATACAGTAGTAGATATCGTAAGATTCGCGCGGAAAGGAATGAAATGTTTTTTTAAAAATCTTAAGATTTGTCGAGTCTCTTCTAACAAGCGTTTACCCGTGAATCTCCAATATTTATAAAAACGATGAAAAAACTCTCATACAGGATAAAATAATCCTTGTGTTTGATATACAATCGATGCGTTTCACACGATAGAATTTTACTAAAATATCAAACTCCTCGCATATATTCGTGGATGTGAATAAACAATTTAACAATTGAATTATTTTACTGAAAAATAATAAAAGCAAATATTATAACTATAATTATAATATATCAATGTCAATTTAAACTGGTTGGTTGAATATAAATGTATAATATAGTCCTTATATTATATTGTTGTGTCGTTTTATGAGAGTTATTATTGTATCATTTTTGTCGAATATTTCTCAACAATATACTAAAACCTTGTTAAATATATACATATATATTTTATTTATCTTTGCCACATTACTTTTGGGCACTTTAAGCGGCTCTTTTTAAATCAATTAATGAGTTAAAACTTTCAAACTCGGGAGTTAGAGTGGTTTTATTAGCGATTCGAAGTAATAACATTTTGGTTAAATTTCAAAATAATATATTTCACCATGTGGCGGGAAGGAAAATGTTTTTAGTTTTGTACACTCCTACAGCCCTACAAATGAAGCCAGGGGTTGAAGTGTTGTATATATTTGGTGTAAGTATCAAGGATGTACTTTTTGAAGTTTCAACTTTCATTCCTCTCCCCAATCATTTTTATTCTCAAACATCTCTACAAAACCAAACTGTAATGAAACTCTTGTAACTATAACACAATATTTTAGATCAATTATATATTTATATATATAAATATGTGGAGGGTTTTAATAAATATTATTGACACATTGAGCATTATATCATTTCCAAATACTATTAATCGGTATTTTAATGAAAAAATATTTTGAAATGTTTTTGACCACTAAATACAACTTGTAATGAACTTTTTGTTCAATCTTCAGGCATTTGTGTAAGGCCAAACGATTTTATATACAAAAAAAAATACTAAAGAAAATCTAAAAACAAACTAAAAAATGTACAATATGCCTATAAAGAACTCAAAAAATGATAAAATGTTTTCAAAATTCTACAAGCCAATATAAGTTTTCTTTAAATATTTCAAATCTCTACATTTGTTTTTAATTATAACAAAAAAATAAAATTGAATATAATAAAACTATTTTTTCCGAAGACTTCGCTGTTCTTTCTACAATTTTTCCTAATTAATAAAAAAAACTACACGGAAAATCAAAAAACGACTTTCTTACTCACCGACATGACTCAAACTCATGTTATGTAACAAAAATGTATCTTGTCGTTTGTTAATTGCAGTCAGATTTCCGGTAGAAAACATGATTTGTACAAATTTAAAATAATGAAATCGGTAACCTTTCGTCGCGCAGTAAATATTTGTTTGTTTTTCTTTTATCATTTTTTCCCCAATTTTAATGAATAATACAAATAGCCTTTCTAATGCATTAACTAGATGAACTAGGATATAAACATACATCTCGATAGCTCCGCTCAGAAACTAAAATTAAATATTGCCAAGGATGATAAGTCGGCTGGGGGAAAACTCGACTCATGTGCGGCTACTTTTTTTAACTTTTGAAAAGTAGAATTGATA